AAAAAAAAAAAAAAAAAAAAAAAAAAAAAAAACATCAATCAGAGTAAGACACATCCTTCCTTTAGCTTTCCTCAACAATGATGAAAAAAAGGGAGGGACCCTGAAAGTTGGAACGCAAGATTAGGATGGCGAGAAGGCGAAAAAAAAAAAAAGTCTATCGATCGAGCTGTCAATCGTTCAATTAAGCAATGGCTTTGTTCGTTGGTCATGCAGCAAAGAAGACTCCAGAGGTGTGTTAAGAAATTGGACACAAAGTGGAGGGCATGAGAGGTGGTCGTAGATATGGAAGTCGGAAGTAGATGGTGCACAACGACGTCAAGAGGATGAGGGTATGTATGCATGGTGGTATGAACGAGATGCCAAAAGAACACAAGCGCGAAGAAATGTACCCATCCCGGTTTATCTGTGATGCATCGTAATATGGCAGACATGGTAGACGGACTTTTTGTGTAATGCACATCTGGTGGTCGTTGAATGAGGCAAGGGCTTAGTTAATTACTCAAGAGACCAACCAGCCACGCTTAGAAGGAGAATCCGCCAGGGAATCCTCCACCACCGCGCTGGCCACCGGCTTGAGCAAAGCCACCGCCGCCGTTCATCATGTTGAAGAGCACACTGGGGTCGATGTTGATATGGGTGCCACCCATGCCGCCCATACCACCCATACCGCCCATGCCTCCCATGCCGCCCATACCGCCGAAGCCGTGCATACCTCCCATGCCGCCGCGACCGAACATATCGGCCGGGTCCATGAGGTCGTCGCCGTTGTCGTAAGAGGCGCGCTTCCTAGTCTTGGTGTTAGTAACTTCTACCAATGAGGGCTCAAGTGAGAGAACAAAAACATACTGAGGATCAATCAGAGTCTCGTAAGCCTCGCCAATCTCCTTAAACTTCTCCTCACCCGAAGGATCATCGCGGTTCTTGTCGGGGTGGTATTGAATGGCCATCTTGCGGTATGCCTTCTTGATCTCCTGCTCGGAAGCGTCCTTGGACACCCCGAGGATCTTGTAGTAATCCTTGCGCTGCGCCTTCTTCAGCTCAAACTCAGCCCGACGAATCTCCTCCTGGATGCCCTTCTCCATCGGGTTCGTCTCCGCAACGGCCTTGTAATCGCGCACCGCCTCTTCCCAGTTGCCCGCGCTACCGTGAGCCTTGGCACGGACCTTCTGTGCCTTAACGTAGCTGGGGTCCAACCGGAGGGCCTCCGTGCAGTCATTGATCGCGTTGTCGTATTCCTTCAGGTTGATGTATGCCTGGGCGCGGTTCTGCAGGATCTTGGCGTTCTGGTCCTTGTTCTTGGGATCGACCTGGACGGCCTCGGACCACAGCTCAATGGCCTTGCGGTAGTCCTTGGCCTTGAAGGCCGTGTTACCCTCTTCCTTGGTGCGCGTGAGCTTCTGTACCGTGCGCAGCATCTTGATGGCCGACTTCATGTCCGGGTCCAAACCCAGGCACATCTTGAGCAGCTTCAGCGCTTGGTCGGTGTCACCCATGCCGTAGAAGGCGCGAGCGCGGATCAGCATCGCATCCGGATCCTGGCTGTTGTCACGCAGCATGCCAATGGCAATATCCTGAGCCTTGCCGAACGAATTATCGTTACTCATGCGCAAGTGCGCCTCTGCCGTCATCAACGTCCACTTGCGGGGCTCCTTGACGCCCTGTCCCAGCATCTGGCGCGCCTGGTCCAAACAGAACAACACCATCGACACGCCACGGTCCTCAGCCAACGCCTCCTCAGCCTGCTTCACAAAACGGAGCATCTTCTCGGCGGGGGCCTTGTCGGTAGCGGACGCGGGGGGCTCAACGCGGGAGAGCACGTCGAGAGCCTCAGTGGGGCGACCCAAGCTGACCAGGATGCGGGCGTGACGGTACATGAGCTTGGTATTGGTGGGGTCGAGCTCGCGGGCGCGCTCACAGTCCTCCAGAGCGGCTAAGTACTGGTTAGCGGCCATGTAGGCGGCCGCGCGGTTGGACAAGTAGACGGACGAGTTAGGGCTGATCTCGAGGGCTGTTAAGCGTTACTAACAGAGTCCTGCAAATGACGCACAAGGCTAGACGACAAAAACCTACCCTTGGTGAACTCCTCAATAGCGCGCGTGTAGTTGCCATCTTTAAAAAACTTGTTACCGGCCAGCTTGAAGTTATCGGCCTCGGCGGTGTTGCCGTTCGAACGATGGGGAGGTGGCGTGGGGCTACGTTCTTGTTTGCCATTGACGCCGTTAGTGTCAACATCCATTGGAGTGCGAGGGTCTTCGCTAGCAGAGGCCATGGCGGAGAGTTGACGGAGTTCGTCGGGGTGCAGATTAAGTGGGTGGAAATCGGGGTCGTGTGAGTATCGGTGCCGGACGGCGGACAGCGACGCAGTGGAACGAGGACCGGAGACTGGTTTCGTCCGAACGGAGGCTGACTTGGAGGGGGTAGAGGAGGAGCGACTGTGGTGAGTCGGACGTGTATTGGTGGTGGGCTTGCGCGGAATGGAAGGGCGCGGAGCCGGTGATGGGACAGATGACGACTGCGGAGAACGTGTCGACGAGACCGGGCGAGACGAACCGGAGGAGGAATGGGAGTGTCGAGACGAGGAAGAAGAAGTATGAACGGTCTTTGCCCGGAGAGGAGGGGGAGGTCTCGAGTTCGGAGTTGTGGAGGGAGGAGGAAGAGGAAAAGATTTGGTCGCCACCGGCGGAGGGGGAGGAGAGGAGGCGGGAGATGAGAGGGGAGTGGAGCGGGTGGAAGTCGCCGCAGAAGAGGAAGAAGGAGATGAAGAAGAGATTGACGAAGGGGAATTAGAAGTGGAAGAAGAGGAGGGAGAGGAAGAAGAAGAGGAGGAGGAGGAGGAGGAGGAGGAAGAAGATTTGGTTGGTTTGGCCTTGGATTGAGATGATTTGTGACGGGAGAAGAAAAGATGCGGGAGACCCATGGTTGCCCGTCTGCTGATTGGTGGAGCCGCAACGGGGTGCGAACCTGGAAGAAGAACGAAGGCGGTGGAAGAAGAGGAAGAAGAAGAGGAAGAGGAAGAGGTCAAATGGTGATGATGATAACAACAACAAGACGACAACAAGAATGCTGATGCTCAATCAATCGAGGATCTCTCCCACAACCACACAATCCTTTTCACACTGCACTGTCGAGTCTTCCTCTTCTTCTCGAGTCACTCACCCGCACAGCCAAAGAGGAGGGGATATTCTCTTCTCTTATCGGAAATCCAGATAGAGAGCTGGAGGTGGGAGTAGAGTAAGTCTTTCCACAACAACCAGTGCAACAATGTTATGCAGGACAGATCAGCACCAGACAGTGCAACAAAGCAGAATCCACAAGCAAGCAGCAGGAAATGGAGCAGCAGAACAGAACAGATCCAGATCCAGATCAAATCAATATAACAAAACTCCCAAACCCGCCAGCTGTCACCAACCTGTCAGGCCCAACTCTTTATGGAGTCCGCCCACCCGCCATAATTCCGGGGGCTGGAGCCGCGCTGGCCAATATTCGTCTCTCTCTCCTCGCCTCGTCATTCTCCTCTCGCAATCAAACAAAACTGCTACTAGTGCACTTTTCCGAGCCAGCAATCAATTCGTTTCCATTCGTTTCTATCCTTTTCATCTATCTGGAGGGTGCTGGTCACTATCGCCCGAGCTGGATAGTTCTGGTCCCCGACAGATGAGGACTAAGTCAGTAGCAAACAAAAGTACCAGGTTCTTAGCCGCTTTTCTTCCTTTTTGCCTACTCCTCCTTCTCCTCTTTTGACTTTCCTCCTCAAATAATAATAATAATAGAAAAAAAAAAAAAAAAAGGCTTGACCTTCCCCCCTTACCCCCATCAACAGGCCACGCTCCGGCCCAATCTTGGCCTGTGCGTTCCAATCAAAGTTCGATGATCGCTTTAGACCCGTTGCTCATCCGTTGCAGACCACTATCTAGAGAGTGGCAGCAGATTCAGTAGTCCTCCGTAGCCGCCGCTCCTGGCTGGTCCATTTGAGGTGCCGTCTCTAGCTCCGACGGATGATCGAGTTCCAACAGTCGCCCCAGCTGCAACTCTACCTCAACGCCACGGATAAGATCGTACGTTCGGGCTTTGAGGCGCATCTCTTCCTCCGAGCAGGACCGGAGGTGTGGTGCGAGAAGGGCACAATGATAGTCTTGCGTGGCCTCCTGCAATCGTCCCTCGACCAAGCGCTCGAGCTTTTTATCCAGTTCGCGCAGCCATTCTTCAAATGCCTGGCCTACCTTGTCTGTGACATCGCGAAACACCGGGATGCCTTTCTCTCCAGCAGGCTGCGACATCGTTCTACGGATAGCTCGCAAGGTGCCGGTTCCTGTCCAAGATGATCAATGACACCGCACTTTTACTCCCATAAGACGCTTGCGTACCTTTATGTTGACCGCCGGCTTCGTAGGTCTCCTGAAATCCCGTAGTAACGTTGTCGCTGAAACGACTTTTCGCCTTTCGCTTCTCCTGGTCCGTCCAATCTTCGAGGGTCTCGACTTCTTGGTTTATCGACTCGTGCAAAGCAACCAACCGGCGCTGGAGTCGCTCGCTTGTGGCCCGAGACAATTCCCACTGGGCCCATCGAAGGGCTTCGGAGTGAAAGCGACTAAAGGCCAGCTTCAGATCTTCACCCAGCTGCTGATATGCATCCGGCAATAGACCTTCAAATGCCCTATGACATGTCAGATCAGGACAAATCCAAGACGCGCGTGGGACCTACTTGCGCCATCCCGGTTTGGTTCTTGAAATCATCGGGTATGCTCTAAGACGGGGTCAGTTTGTTCGAGTAAAGGTCGGGCACGCCAAATTCGTCTTACATCTGATCATTCAAGTTCTAGGGAGTCATTGGCTTGTAAGTTTGATGCACGCTGGAAAGCGGGAAAAGAAAACTCACGAAGGTCTTGTGAACGCCCTGCCGACGACAGAGCGCGTGATAGGTAACCCAATGGAAACCTCCTTCGCGCGAAGAGGCATTCCAGCCCGCGACCGTCGATGAATACTCCTTATGACCGTGACGCCATGCTCGGTCTGGCTTGTTAGCCGGCCTTCATCTTAGTTAGGCTACAAACTTACCCAGGTGTCCGGTGATCTGTTGTTGGATGATACTCCGGCTAGCAGATATGCAAGCATCTCGGGATTTTTCCAGGGCCTAACCTAGTCAGTCAAGGATGTCCAAGAATAAGCCAAGTCTCGTGCCTACCTCAGTTAGGTCGTGTAAAGCGCCGCGGAACCCGGCCTCAATTTCACCTCTTCTCTTGGCAGAGGTTTCCGTAGCCGGTGAGGACCATAATGACATCGATTGAAGGAGCACATTCAGCGCCACCAAAAACCGCCGTGCAGTTTTCTCTCGCGATTTGCGAGTCAGTGCAATGCAGTACTGCTGGAGAGCAGGAATCTCTGTTTGTTCCAGTTGCGAGAACCCCAAAACCCGGCAGTTCCGTGCCGAATTGCTGCGCAGCCCTTGGTACGCTTTAGTAGACACACAAAACACGGAAAGATCTCGCTCAAGTTCGCCGTAGTCCCGGAGTGGAGCTTGAGAAGGGTTACCATCCAGCTGTTCGTCTTCTAGATCTAAGCCTGCGACAGTTCGAGCGAAATCATGTCTGATCTCATGCTTTGAGAAGTCATTCCGAGCCATGATGCACGACCGGAGGTCGTCAAATTCAGTTCTTTGGCATACCTCGAGCTCCCGTTGGATCTTGCGTCGTTGTTTGTTGAGCGCTTTGCGCCGGGCCCCCAGTTCGTGCAGCTGGCGCACTAGTTCAGAGGCTTCATCTTTGTCTTCATCTTCGTCTCCTATATTCTCAGAAACAGCCGTGCTCGCAAGCAACTCCTCCCGCGAGTCCCCAGCGGTACTGGCTCTCTTCCTTTTTTGTGGACTAAGCAGAGACGCTGCATCGAGATCGAAATCTTCTGCTAACCGCTCTTCAAGTTCCTCGATCTCTTCTTCAGTGGCGTCGATCTTGTCAGCAATCTGTGATAAGCAATCTTTGTGTGCTTGCAGCTGAATCTTCAGAGTCTCAAGTCTTTCCGGGAATGCACCTACACCGTCAATATCTGGTAGCTCGAGCCCTAGAGATTGCGCCACTTCTGTCGGGGCAATATCATCGGTCTTGGAGCAGACAAACGTAATATCACTGAATGCGTTATCCATGTGCATCTGTGCTCTGAAGTTCTTGCCCAACAAATCGCGAGCGACTTTGTCGTTTACCGCACGATTGATAGGCGCGACAATCCAATGTGCAGAGCAACACTTCATGTAGTCGTTTGCTACTGCCACGCGAGCTGCATTAGAATCATATATCCCTGGAAGGTCAACTAGAACAGCCCCCGTGGACAACGCCTTGGCTGGAACAAAGACCCGGACAACGCGAACGAGAGGCCAAAGCCCAATACCTCGATCAGCAAGCTCCATGTCCTCTACTGAGTCGGGATGCAGGCCAGAGGCTGTCTTCATAGTTGTCGACTTTGGCCTTTCCCTCTTCTTGCCCTTGCTGTCGATGTATGACTTGAGACTCTGAGCAAACTTCTTCGAGTTGTTCTCTTCAATGTCGATGGTTTGTCCCAGCATTTTGGTAATTCTCGTGTCCTCGAGAAGCTCGGTGGGTGTGGATTCGGAGAGTTTCTGCCGCTCGAAAGCCGGGTATACAGCCATGATCTTGTCCAAGGCGACTGCCGCCTCGGCATCCTTCAGCACCTCGCCACGAGCCAATTCCTCCGAATGGTCACGAAGCTCAGCAAACAGGATTTCTAACTCGCGAATCCAGTCTTTCTGCTCAATGAACTGGACTTCTGCTCTGTATTGCGGTGAACCACTGTTGTAGGAGACCTCGACGGGGACCGCTGTGGATGCTCGCATGCAGTCTGTGGTCAGAATATCTTTCTCGTCTATGAGCGCGTTGATCAAGGACGATTTCCCCGCTCCAGTGCCTCCAACAACTCCAATAATGACCTTTTCCTTGCGAGCCTTCATTTGGGTTTCGCTGACCCTGGTTAGCCATTCGAGTTCATCATTCCAGTCATCGAATTCGCCGAAGAGTTTGTTTATGTTTTCTAGCGCCTTGACACCCTTTCCCACAGCTGCTTCCAGCGTCTGTACGTCTTGATCTGTGACATTGTCGACATTGCATTTCTTCTTCTCCGAGAGTTCGGCGGTTCCTTCGTTCTTGACTTGAGCTGACTGTGACCCGGACATTTTTCCAGAGCTGAGCAGCATCTGCACTGCTGCTCTGAACGCGATTACTTTGAATACAAATCAGCAAGTCTCTGGTTACTGAGAAAGGGGTGCAGTAATCGGTTAGCTACTTACGCTGAAGTGCGAATATAGACGGAACTCGTTTGGTGTCCAACTCCGCATAATGTTTTGCGTAGAGTGCTTTGGCGAATTCTGTATCATCCACCTGTGCTCCCTTGTACTGATCTGAAGAAGCTAGGTCAGATGCTCGCTCTGTATACAGAGCTCGAACTTGAGCTTTTTCGACTTTCCATTTCGTCGCAAAGTCGGGGCAGGGGGGTGCTGCAATAGTCTCTTTAGTCTTTCTTTTCATTTGAGGGGTTTATCTGCCAACGAAAGCTTACCTGTTTTGTGCTCTGCACGAGAATGAGCGTTTCGTATCGACTGCTCGGCGATATAATGTATCTTGGCTAGGTCATTGGTCAAGGTCACATCACCCAGCTGCGACGACGTAGTAGCCTGATCCATGGTGCTTCGCATGAGGCGCAGATGGACTGAGTTGTCAACAACACGCTCCGAACTGTCAGGTTTGTTGAAAGAAGTAATTAAGGTCAAGAATGTGTGTCAATTAGATTTCAGCTAAGAAGATGCGATGTCAGGCGTTGGTAATTGGGACGGAGATAGGGAATTGTATGGAGATAGAGAGATGGATGGAGATGGAGAAAGAGAGGGAGCGATAAGTGGTGGTGAGGACCATGAGATGAAGCTAGAAAGAAAGGGGGGACTGGACTTGGTTATGGGGAGCAAGAAATGTGAAAGAGGCTGAGATGGAATTCAAAGTCACAAGTGAGCGGAAGTGAATGATAATGGATTGAGGGAGGTTATGATCTTGTGGCTGGCCTGTTAAATATCTCACTTGCCCATCTGATGTCAGAAGATTAGATGGATTATGCGGCCCAGGTATTTGGTCGTAGGAACCCGGGCATGTTGACCGGAGAGTGTGAACAAGCATCGAGTAGCATATCTCGCTGAAATAAACAGTATGTAAGCCACATGTGAGAAGTGTTACGATCGCAAAAATAGTCCAAGTCATTAGAAGTAAAATATAAGTAGCTGAGATAGATAAAAAAAGACAGAGCCAAAAAGACATGTTGGGTATCATCGCTTTCAGATGCAGCAAACATAGCCAAACTGAGCAAAGCCAAGAAAGGTACAGACAAAAGAACCAAGAAATCACAGCTTCCTTCTCCAACAAGGCTTTCACTCAAGCCAACGCGAGATCTGACAGTATAGTAGTGAGACGTCTTTCTCAGCCTGTGAGGGCCCGGTTTGCCCTCCGACGAGCTATAGCTGACCAGCGAGATCTCCGGCTACTGCCGTCTTCCCTGACTCGATCTGGAAGTGGCACGAACGGTTGATCGTAGATGTGGTGCTCATAGGGCGGGGGTTGGTCGGAGTAATCCGAGTCTGAAGCGTAGCCATCAAAGGCTGATGGAGAAGCAGGGTGTGTACTTCTGCGAGTCGCACTTTGCATCGGCCGAGGAGCCAAAGGGGAAAGGTACGGTGCGGACGATGAAGGCGACGGAGGCTTGAGGACCCATAATTCTTCTGACTCAACCCAGACCAGCTGATTGGCATGCTGCGCGGGAGATTCACGAGGGCATTGGCTGGAGACGTAGGTGGGCTGCAGAGTGAGGTCTGTCATGCTCCTACTCCGTGATGCCCAAGGAGAATAAGCAAACGATGAAGAAGGTGGTGGAGGAGGCAGGTTGAGAGTCGAATATGGTGATGATGATGGCCTTGTTCCACAAGGACTCGATGTGCTCAGGCTCGCAGCTGAGTGTATCCTGACATGACAGTGGTGGCAGAGACTGGATTCTTGCCGCTGTGGGATTACATATGAACAATAATCCGACTTTGACCTGGGAGAGTCGCATGCAGAGGCAGGCCGATGAGGAAGTGCGCTAGCTAGCCCGGTATCGAGGTGAATACGTGGTACAGTCATGTATTCCTTCGAACTCTCCAGCGAGACAGTGAAACGAGAATCCGCGATGGGAGGGCCTTCAAGCGAGGAGAGATCCATTTGACCAAGTAGGGGCAGAGGTAGATTTCAATAATCGAAGCCAGGCGAAGAACAAGCAATAGAGATAGCCAATTCACGAGGGAGACAACCGTGGTCACTCGGGTGGTACAGGTTGATATCGGGCAAAAGTAAAGTGGAAGAAAATACGAGGATTGTCGAAGTGAGAAGTCATGCGAGAAATTGGACAACAAAAGTCCCGAAGGACGGCCTCGTTGCCGTTTAATAAACATGAAGTCGAGGCGGAGTCCCCAGCAACATGACGCCGGGCATCCTGCTCAAGTCTCCCAGTGTGCACGGTCATGGCGTATTTTCTTTGACAGACATCATAACAAAGAAGTCAGATGAGACTAGACAGCCAACAAGACCAATCCGCGAGGAGAGCCTTACGTGCGCCTCATTGTGGGCTCGCCAAATCCAAGCTATCTGGGTCCGATGGGGGGAGGGGGAGCGGTGGACCAGACAGCTCATGAACAGGCCGGGAAGGATCGAACGATCTCAATCTGTTGGCGGAGGAGACTCGGGTTGCCCGGCTGGTGTTCGCCTTGGTATGGAAACCAGCCAGGAATCCGATCCATCGGGAGCCTTCTGCCCCCGCTATCGAAGGAACTTTCAATTTGCCCTATAACTTCCGATCCGAATTCATGGGGGGCTTGACCCATCACTTGAGAGGGGGGCGCACCAGCGTAGGATTTGGGGAGGATGCACCCGATGTTGTGTGATGTGCAACCACCATTCCCAAAGTAGAACGCGGGGACGCCGAGAAAGTATGCTTGACTGCAGGGAGCGACATCCATGGACTGCAGACGCCATGGCAAGGAGCTCATGTTTCAGAATGGAGAGCTTTGAAAGGGTCTGCGCAGTGGAGGCTGCGTGATGGCCGCAGGCGTTGGCGTGTTGGTGGGAAGTCAATGGTTCGCAACACTGCCACTTCCTTTGTTATCCGAGCTGTGTCCGCTCTGCATTACGGCAGAAAACATCAATCTGTCTGGGTCATTGAAATCCAGGTGGATTTCTCACCCCACCGAAGGATGATTATTAAAAGCCCCCTGTTCGTGTGGCCCTGTTGGAAAAGACAAGACGAGGTTGACCGGAGAAGGAAGAATAGTCGGAGTTTGTGGTTGTCAGAGAATGAATGGAAGGAGGGAAAGAAGGAAGGAAGGAAGTATGAGAAGGCGGGCCGAGACACATGACCGGCCAACAAGCAAGTTCGGACACGGAGTTTGTAGTCAGCAGCAGGAGCAGCGAAGTAACAACAGTAACAACAGGAACAACAATAACAACAACAATAACAGCAGCAATAAACAACACAGCCACCATGGAAGGGCCCCACCATTTTTCTTTTCGGGATGGCGACAGAGACCCCCTTTAGAATGCTTCTAGAAACCACCCCCAATACTCTTCTCTTCATCAGGAGAAGGCGATAGGGCTGACAGTGACACAATTGACCAGATGAAGTCATTTTAGCACGTATCATGAATGGAACATACCTAGTACTAAACCACTAAATAACTAGAATTTGAAACGAGCGAGTGCCCATCTCACTGGACATTGGGCAGTGCTCCTCCCCCCCACCACCTCTTTCAGCCTCAACTCTCGGTCACCTCGGTGTCAGTGACTCGGTGGAGGGCAGGACAAGCAGAGCCCGTCACAAAACAAACCGCGCCATCGGATCTGACCCGGTCCCCGATTTATGAAGGATTGGTTGTGAAACGTCAACGCTGCGGCCCCCAACTGCACTTTCTTCTCTCCCTCCGAGGTCTCTCCTCCCCAGATTCAGCCCCATCGATCAGCCTACACTATCCTTGCTTCGCGGATTGAGCAGACGAATCGAACACGTCAAGTCCGCAGCGAATTACCTACGAGCTGACTGGACGATCGGTGGCAGGTTTTGCCGCCATGGGCTGGTTGGCTGGGCTTGTGGCGCCTCCGCATAAGTAATCAATCTGCGACGGGGTCTCAGTTTTGAGATTGGCGGTCAAGAATCCATCAAATAACGAAGTTTAAAAAAAAGAAAAAAGTAGCATTGGTAAAGTAATCTATTACTGCTTCGATTTGGGTATGTGAAAGCGTTCATGGGTTACATTAATCGTATCCAGCCACCAAAGGCTTCACTGAACTCCAAGGCGTTCCAGGAAGCATGTAGAGAGAAAGTAAGATAGGTCAAAGACAAGAAAAAAAAAATGTTCAAGCAACGAATCGGATTTCTCTCCCAGAAAGCAAAACCTCGACACTAATTATGGCACAAACCCCGACTCTCTTGATCCATTCACACACGTCCTGGTTACTTTTCCCCGCCCGTAGCAAGGGCCGGACTCATGAAGGACCCGGGGCTACTATGGACAAGAAGGGGAATCTAAGCAAGGAAAAGAGCGGCGGCGGCGGCGGCACCAGCGAAGGCAAACGAGTTGCCGTTGACGGCGCTGGCAGCACCGGTGTAGAGAGCAGGGGAGGGAGAGGGGCTGTGTACATGATTAGCGTGGGTTTCATCGAACATGCATCAATCAGAAATACTCACGTAGCGCTGCCGCTAGGGTAACCGCTGCCAACAGCGGCGGCACCGCTGGGGATCAGAGCAGCGGACTTGGTGGGCTTGCCGCTGCCGGGCTTGCCAGGGAGGCCAGTGGCACCAGCACCGAGAGTGACGGTGGAGTAGGTGACGGTGGGAATGCAGGTGGTCACAGCGATCACAGTGACGGAGCTGCTGGCAGCGGCGGGGGGAGCACCACCGGCAGTCTCGGCAGAGGCGCCGGAGGGGACAACAGCGGGAGCCGAGGGAGCGGAACCGGCACCGGTAGCGGGGGAACCACCAGCAGGAGAGCCACCAGCGGGGGAGCTGCCAGCAGGAGCCTGAGGAACGGAGGTGGTACCCTGAGAAGAGGCACCCTCGGGAACAGAGGAAGTGGGCTTCTCGGGAACAGAGGTGGGCTTCTCGGGAACAGAAGTGGGCTTCTCGGGAACAGCAGTGGGCTTCTCGGGAACAGCAGTGTGCTTCTCGGTGGCGGAGGAAGCAGGAACCTCGGGAACGGAGGTGGTGGTAGCAACGGGAGAGACGCCCTCAGTGGTGGTAGCAGCGACAGCCTCGGGGGTCGAGGTGGAGTGGACACGTCCCGGGCAGTTGGTGACGGTGGGAGCGCAAGAGATGACGGTCACATCCTCAGTGGCGTAGACGGTCTCGACATCCTGGGGGATGGCAGCGACAAGGCTGGCGAAGAGAGCAACGGTGGCAACGGAGAAACGCATCTTGAATATGGTGTGTGGTGATAAATCTAAACCGTCAAGGTTGATTGATTTGGGAGTGTTTTGTTTGGTGGGGGGGTGGGGGCTGGTTGGTAAAGAGAGTGTAAACAGTTGGACTGTGGTTTAAAAGAGTGGCAGACCGAAGTCAAGAGGATTGGATTGCTTCAAGCAGTTGAATCTGAGGAAAGGGAAACAGAAAAAGAATCAGAAAGAACTGGAGTCGGAGGAGGGGGGAGTAGCAGCCTTTGTATCATCTGGGAGATTAACCTGGAGATCGTCTCAGGGCCAAAAAGGGGAGAGCGGGCTGCAGGCCCGCGAGTGGAGAGCACCAAGTTGTGTCTTAGTCTTACTCATGGGTGTCTGATATTGGGGCGCGCGCGCGGTGTAGCAGACGACTAGCAGTGTAGCGGTCGGTAGTCGACTCGAAACCTCATAGGCAGTCTACTGAGTCTAGGGGTCGAGGATGGGTCCGCCCTCATCTTTTTTTGGCCCTCGTGGGAAACGCCGTCAGCGATGGTGGTTGGGCAATCAGGACAATCAGCCAGACTAGTTCCACGGTTAGTCCCTGTGCCCAGGTTCGGTCCAAGCGCGCGCTGGTCTGAATTTCTGATCGGTTGTTCAGTTGCTTCTTTCGACCTTGTCGGTTTCCCGTTTTGGTTCGATCTTCTGCGCTTGGGGGTTCTTGGGTTGTGCAGTGAGGTGGGCGGGTTTTAGCCTCGACTCGGTTCGGGGTCGAAGTATGATAGCATTCCCAGCTATAGGGTAGAATTTCAGCAGAAAGTCGTGCCAAGTGGTACCTGCATATGTAGTAGGCAGGTGCCCTTTGTTTGTACGACTATCGCTACAATGGCAGACAGACTCTGTGCACAAATCCTTGAATCATGCGATGTACAGTACAGTACACCGGGCGAGCTGAAGAGCGACGGCGCATGCATGTTCTGCGACTGGCGAGACACCAAGAAATCGGCTGTCACAGAAGAACTTCCAGGCTCGAGGCATGATGAGATTCAGGGGTCAACCACTCCATTAATGAGCCACAGAACGTTGGAGGCCGGCTTAGTCTATGTTTCACCTTGTCCTTCGAGGCCAACCAGCGCGCCTTCAAAGTTAAAGTGGAGCCACGACCAAACTGTCCCTGGCGCCACCGACCATTCACCGGCTTGGCTGTCATCCCGCTGTGGCTCGCTTCCCCGCTTTGCCGCCCAGGACTGGATTCCCACTGGCCAGCTCGGTGGATCGGCTCTTTGCCCCTGTCTCGCTGCGAGGTTTGACCTGGTGCTTCGGGGAAAAGGCTTGTTGGTGAAATAGGTGCAGTAGGAAAGGAACCTGAATAGAAAGGTAGATACTGGTTAGTAATCTAGGATTCCGCCGAGTCAAGTCAAAATGGGTCGAGAAACAGAAACAAATCATGGAGGAATAGTCTAGTATCCTATTTTTGCTCGGACGTGATTTCTCCTTAGGGTAGGGTGTAAACAAATCCATGATCCATGATAACTAGTCAACAATTGGCGGCCCAACTGACTTTTGCCGACCTGGGTTGATCATTTGTGCGCTGGTCTTGCCCATCACGCTTGGTGCTTTCTCGGGAGCTGCAAAGCAACGGGCTGGGCGAGGGTTAAGCCTGCCGTCTCCTCGTGAAATCCCTGCTTGTTTGAGACCTGGAGCTTGGTGCACTCTATCTATCTCCCGCGCATGCTTCTTCATATTCCTGACGTAGTGCGAGAAGAACCATTTCTCCATGTGGCCGACGAGATTTCTGCGCCCAGTCTCCCTGGGCTCTTCTACCTGTCCGACAGTAGAAATCTCATTTCACCACATTTGATCCAGTTCGCACTGGCGCCCACTGAACTCATTTCATTCCACAAGTCCAGAGTCGCGCCTGGCGCCACGGTCGCTTCTATTGATTGCTTAATCTAATCCTAATAGTCGCTAAGCGGTTTCTGGCTAGCTTCGTGGTTTGAGGGGGAAGACCACCACGTCCTGGTTGTCTTTTTGACTTTCTCTCCATTGAACCGTCGAGGCGTTAGCAGACATCGTGCGCGCTGAGATTGCGCATTGAGATGTGCGTGGTTTGGGCAACACGGCAGAGCAGAAGAAGTTTCAATGCGGTGGTGTGCTAGAAACCCCAACACCTACAGCAAATGCATGCAAGCGAGTTGATGGCGCAATCGAGAACCCCGATCTGATTGGGCACAGGCGAAGAGTTCGGAGATGCGCCTGCAGATGGTAGCCGCCCAGATGCAACGATCGCTCGCATGCTTTGCGGCTAAGCATGGGGTGGGATTTCAGAACATGCATGGCTGGACCTGGAGACTGTTTGCATGAGGCAGGTGAGAAAATAGACCTCACCAACACACTAGTCGCCGGTAGCAACAATTCTTCCGCCATTATAATCCAACTATCATGAACGGACGACTATTGGAACCCTCTTTCTTTGCTATTAAAAGCTCGGACGGGCGGTCATTGCAACATTGGATGATCATCTCCGAGGTTTTCACCCCCAACACTGATCCGTTGCGGCACGATTTCTTTTTTTAGGGGGGAGCCAGTGCGATAGACCGTGAGATAGTTTGAACAAAAAGGGGCCAAGAAAGGGTGCCAACTCGGATGTGAGAGGGTTTCCTGGTTGGCAATCAATAGTGGCATTTTGCACTTGAAAAGTCTCACTTGAAAGTAGTGGACAGCGGACAATTGGTTAACCAGTAGTACCAAAATCAACATGATATGCAGCGAACATAGCGTCAGGGGAATTCATCTCGCAAACCCAACAGGGGAAAAGGGAAGATCACAGAAAAGGAGACGATCCTGGCTAGTATAAGTTGTACGCATGCCCTGCGAGAAAAGATGGTACCAAGAAACTGATTGTTGGCGGGTTGTTCATACAGTAGCACCCGAAGTCAAAGGTGTTCAAGTGCCGGCGCTGGTCGAAGTTTGCTCCACCGATCAACAAGGGGCGAACTGGCAATCATTCGACTGTGATGCTCAACTTCGGGGGCACCGGCAAGGAACTTGTTCTTTACCCCGGGTTTCTAGTTGATGGTTTTTTAAGGTAGCTGCAGTGGAGTTGGAAGCATTGGCCTATCCTAGGATCCGGTGAGGTAACCGTCCGCTGTGCTCGTAGTTGAAAAAGACATGTAGTCATACTGTCGGAGTCTGCTCGACGATCATGAGGAGATGGCTGGACTCACTGACGCTGGTTGAGCAAAATGTCTTGAGATTCGTGTGGGGGAAAGAGCTCCTTCAAGCGAGGATCGGCAACGCCGCGCGTCTGCTGCAAAATCTCTGCGAGAACTCAGTGATCGTGGCCTACGTAGGTGATTTGTCTAAAAATTGATGTTTTCTACGACAATGACCAGAAACGAAGTCATGCATGACCGCTGCATGACTGGGAACAAGCCTTGCCGGTTGGCGCTGTTGTTCGTAGGGCTACACTAGTAGGTTGAGGATTGCCTCAGAGTTTCGGTGCCAGTGGCATAGTTGGGTCGAAGCCACAGGTGTGGAATCGTTCATGTACGCATTGATGGAAAAGGGACCCTTCTCCATCAGATCAGTGGTTGTGGCTTTCCACTCGCTACCTGAGATTGGTCAGCTTTTGCCAGTCCCTGTCATGTCAACAACAATAACATTATCCCCGTCGTCATACGCAGTTGGCCCCGTCCTTAGTCTATGGCGGTGCAATGATGGCTGATGCTATTTTAAACCGGCACAAAAGTGGGTCTGGAGCGTTTGTGGCTGCTACCGAGTACCGATAAGTTATGCTGGTGGCTTCGGAGATCGAGGGGTTAAAAATAAAGACCTCTGGTGAAACCCGTGAAAGGGAGCGAGCAAGCGTCACTAGCAGAGTGGATGATGTCAGGTCTGGATCGGAGGGCTGTTGCGGTGTCTGTGTGTCTTTCCACAAGGCTGAACATGGCACGTGTCATCTTCAAACCTCATCTTGAGCTGAGGTCGAAGCTGATCTTGTATGATTGGCACTACGAATGGCTACGAGAACCGCCCCGGTCCGAACCAGTCATTCCAGGCATAGATCAGGGTGGTGGAGAGCAAGATTACAGGCCCTGTCCTCAGCTCCAGGAAGAGAGATTTCTTGGCACGAATGACGATGACTGGGACGAGGGAGATGAGAAGTTCGATGAGGGAACAAGCACGAACAAGCACTGGTTGCCGGTGTAGATTGAAGGGTGGAGTCCCGGATGAGAGTACCGGATCGGATGGATGGAGCTTCCAAAGCCTGCCAGGAACAGGGCAGGCCAAGTTGTGTAGATAATTATTGTGTTGAGGACATAACCCTCGCTTCCACTAGATGTTCTTTATGGAAAATGGAGCCATTGGATGGCGAGCTAAAAAATGAGTTTGGAACTTTTGCTTTCCACAATTGAAGAGTTTTCATGGATGCCTATAGATGCCCGACAAACGAGGCATCCGTCGGACAATGGACTGTTGACAATAAAGTGGAAGCAGTATTGCAAGGAGATCCGATAGACCTGAATGAACAATTGAACCAGAAAGATAATAATGGAAGTCGTCCATATCCACCACAAACATGAGATAGATGAACTGTCTATCTAAAATGTAAACCATTGCTCCTTGGAAGTATATAAAAAGATCGCCGAGTGGACACTGAGCTGTCAAGAATAGTAGCAATCTCCAGCGCTTTTTGAAACAGTCCGGTTCCACCAGGTCGGACTCTCTCCAGGGCCGCCATTCGATCTGACGGGGTGATTGCCATTGGGTATGCGTGGGATGTGATGTGATCATAGTAGTGGTAGTATTTAATCCCAGCTGCCAGTCTAGCTGTCTTGACTATTGAAACTAAAAATCTAAATTATCTTACTTGTGCATTGCTTTGCTTTGCTTGCTTGCTTGCTTACTTACTGACTTAGTGAGTGGTGTGGAGGTTTCAACAGGTTCAACCTGCCAACTGACAAAATCCAGCCCCAGTCGCTTTTCTTGTCTCTTCCTCCCCTCTTTCTCTCTCTTCTCTATTTTCTTACAACTCCTCCCAATCTTTTGACCACTCCTATGTGGCCTAGTTTCCCTCATTCGCTTGGTTAATATTGCGACTTTGACTGCAGTACTATTTACCCGACGGTCTTGCTATCCGATAGATCATTCTCTCCTCAATTCTCTCAGAGGCCACTGTCAAACAACCCCTCTTGTCAGCCGCCGCCTGCCTGGTTAACCCCACGGCCCTCTTTGTTCCGACCACCTCACCACCACCACTATTACAGCAACTACTACCACCTTCTCCTCTTTCTCCTCTTTTCAAACCATCTCAGCTTGCTTCTTTTACCCTTTCTCCCCTTTTTTTCCCCAGTTCTTCCCTTACACTCTTTCAAAGTGTCCAACTCAAAGACCGCCGATCTGGCTACCTTGGCTGACCCCAACGAGTTGTTTTTGCCTGGTGAGAGGCAAAACAATCTCGCAATGTCGTCCTCGCCGGTTCCCCTCCTCAAACCGCCCGTGCCGGGTAATCGCAACAATGGCAGCAGTCCTCGTCCCCCCAAACTCACCCTGGGAATTCCTCCCTCGCCCAACGCTCGTCCCGTCACAGGAAACGGAGTTCCGACCACTGTAGCGCCCCCTCCGACCGAGGTTCCTCAGCTGCAGCGTCCGGCCGCTCGCCCAGCACCTCCTCAACTGCGCCTCGCTACTCCCATGGGTAGCAGTCAACCAATCCCTCAGGTCAAGGCCCGACCGGCTCCTCCACCCTTGGCGACCACCGGCCTGAACGAACCGAATGGACACTCCCGAACGGGCAGCTTCACCTATCTCGATGGCAAGGCCAGTGGACCGGCCTCCGCATCTTCCTCGAACTATTCCGCCTTGTCGTTCGCTATGGGGCTCCGACAACCGCACGGCAGCACACCGGACCCATCATCCGCGATCAGCTCTGTGTATTCCGACCGGGAAGGAGGGGTGTCAATGGAACGGGACAGTAGCGTCAACAGCCTGATTCCTGATTTGGATAAGCTGAGCTTGGAGAAGGGCAGGCCCCTCGACGTGGATGACCTGGATGATGAGGGCTGGCTTGCAGCCAGTGAACAGAAAAAGATCGTGGAGTTGGGTAGTCTGGGTGAAGGAGCGGGAGGTGCTGTGACTCGTTGCAAGCTCAGAGAGGGAAAGACCGTCTTCGCTCTTAAGGTTAGTGTTGTGGGTGGGATATGCCGGGCTTGGGCGGATACTAAAGGGCTCTCCTAGATCATCACCACCGATCCCAACCCCGACGTCAAGAAACAGATTGTTCGGGAACTCAACTTCAACAAAGACTGTGCCTCGGAACACATCTGTCGCTACTACGGTGCATTCATGGACAAGTCCACCGGAACGATCTCGATTGCAATGGAATTCTGCGAAGGCGGTAGCTTGGACAGCATCTACAAAGAAGTGAAGAAGCTGGGAGGCCGGACAGGAGAAAAGGTGTTGGGCAAGGTCGCCGAAGGCGTCCTCAACGGATTGACCTATCTCCACAGTCGGAAGATCATCCATCGAGGTAGGTCCCCAACGTTCTTTTGGTGCATTCGCGATCGGACCTGTCTAATTCGGGATATGCAGACATCAAACCATCCAACATTCTCCTTTGTCGGAACGGTCAGGTCAAGCTTTGCGATTTCGGTGTAAGTGGAGAGTTCGGCACCAAGGGCGATGCGAACACCTTTATCGGCACTTCTTACTACATGGCGCCCGAGCGGATCACTGGACAATCATACACCATCACTTCGGATGTCTGGTCTCTGGGCGTGACCTTGCTCGAGGTTGCCCAGCATCGCTTCCCCTTCCCTGCGGATGGCACGGAAATGCAACCCCGGGCCGGCTTGATTGATCTCCTAACTTACATTGTCCGTCAACCGATTCCCAAATTGAAGGACGAGCCGGACAACGGCATCCGTTGGTCGGACAACTTCAAGTACTTCATCGAATGCTGGTATGTATTTGTGCTTTTCTCTGGTCAAGGCGTCACTGACAATGCCCCCTAGTTTGGAGAAAGAACCTCCGCGACGAGCGACGCCATGGCGGATGCTGGACCATCCTTGGATGCTGGACATGAAAAACAAAAAGGTCAACATGGCCAACTTTGTGAAGCAGGTGTGGGATTGGAAGGAATAGACTGGCCTGCACAGCATCTGGACCGCGGGCGCCCATTCGAGCCCCCCTCACCTCCCATTGGACTGATTCTGCTACCTCTTCTAATACGATCGCATATTACGGTCTTTCCTCTTGATGCTTACAAGTGGCTGGCCCTTGGTTGACCAGGATGTCAACGGCATACGAATCTGTGATCATGACGACGCTCATTTTTGATTTCATCCGTGCACTGTCTATCCTTCCTGGGACCATGGAGTTGGGATTGTTTCTGCGCCCATTGATTATTGTTATCATCGCCTGACATGATCACGCCTTTCCTTAATACGAATCCCTTCCACCCCCGCTGGTCCAGCCAGCGAGAAGGCCACCCGAATTTTTGTTTTCGGTTTCAGTTCCCATTGATCAGCGATCCTCATTCGCATTCGCATTCATCCAGCAACTCGACGTTGTTTTCTTCTGCTTCCACAAAAAGGGCAATTTTTGTTTTTGCCCAACCGCCAGCGGTGCTGGCCCTTGTCTTCGATTTTATTGTTTCTCTGCGTGTCCTATCATTCTGAGATTTTTCCCGGTCTACGTTCTTGCACGTGAGCGAATCCATCCATACATACATACATTCATACATACATTCACAGAAGAAGTCCGAAGGCATACCACATACATATGTGCAATTTTCTTTTTTTTTTTTTGTTACCTTGTGTGTTGCTTTTGAGTCTTCTTGAGGGACCGGGTCCGCATATTGTGGATATTGATTGGCGTCTATATTCTTGAGTTGAGAACTCATTTCATCGCACTTACTATCTTCCCTGACACCGTAGTTCTCCGTTTTGGGCTCAGCGCTTGATAGGTATTGGAGAGAATTCAGTTTAGGGTTGCTGTAGAGCGGAGTTGAATCGATTTAGACTTGACGAGACCGCTGTGTCTTATTTGGTGGTATGGGTTTATCGTCCTAGTTGCGTGTTAGTGCTGCTATGGATGTTTTTATATTCGCAGGGTCGGCTCCAGTCTGCGATGCGGTGACTATCGAGTCCTTTACAGACTAGACTAGGACCTCTTCCTCTCCCGGGCCATCCTTATATAAAGGGTAAACCCGTACGAAACACGTAGTCACCCGACGAAAACAATCGCACTTCCATCCTGATATTATGTCAACCCATGCACATCCTCCGGGACTGCTTGGGGTTTTATATAGTACAACTGAATATTTATTATTCATGAAGAAGAAGAAAGCTACATACAACGAAGAGAAAAAAAAAAAAAAGAGGATATTATACTCATGTCTGCTACAAGCGCTAACAAATCAATGCAAATCAAGTCATCTTCATTAAGACTCCCGTCCATCCCGGACTCCATTCGTCCTATCACCAGCACACACACAAACACACACCCCCACACCCGCCCGCCATCATGTCAACATGTCAATATGCAAAAGACAGCTCGGGCGATGATTAGCCCCGATTCACAGGCTGCGCGCCGAGAACCCAGCCCAGCCCGCTGACCAACCCGTCCGTCACCATGTTGCTGACGACGTCGCGCTTGCGGACGCGGTCGCCGGAGCCGGAGCCAGGCTCGTAGTTCTCGGAGGAGATGACGGAGTCGGTGCGCGTGTGGGAGGAGTTCGCTGCTGCTGCTGCTGCTGTGGAGGAAGGTGTGAATTCATTGGTGGGGTGGAGTTTAGAGAAGGAGGAGGTTGCGGAGGCGGTCTTGCTGGCTGATGATGCTGATCGAAGGGGGAAGGCGTTCTTCTGCAGGGCTAGGGCGGCGCCGCGCGCGACCTCGAAGAGACCCATTGGGGCTTCTTCGTGGTTGAGGCGGTGGTGGTGCGAGGCGTGCGCGCGGGCGCGGCGGGCCTGGTGCTGTCGGGTTTCCAGGGCGTCTTGCTCTGAGTGGTCGGGAGGTCCGAAGCCGCCGGGGAGAGTGTGCATGGTCAGCGACGAGGTGAGGTCGCCTTTGGTGTCCCAGATGTCTTCTTCGAGGGATTCCTGCGTGCGGAGGCTGCTGAGTTCCTCGTCGCAGCGGCGCCAGGCGCCTAGGATTTCAGGGAGCGGGTCCGGGTGATCGGAGGGGACGAGAATGAGGGCCAGGGAGAGGAGCTCCATTCTTTGGGTGAGGTGGGTGATTTGGGATTGCGTGGTGGGCGGGGTGGAGGTGGCGGGTGGGGGTGCGCGATACCGTCCGGCGGCATAGACCGTGCGCCAGGTGATGTCGTCTGTGAGGGTCGTCTCGGATGTAGAGGGGGACGAAGTGGGTGTGAGCCGCGTGAGGATGTAGGAGTAGGCTGTTGCGAAGTCGTGAGAGGTGAGAGCGGAGTTGATCGCTAAGGACATGATGCGGCGTTCGGCTGTGAGGGCGGCGTCCTGTCCGGAGAGAGGGGCTGAGCTGGAATGTTCATGGTGGTCGGAGAGCCGGGGGGAGAAGCCGGCCGCGACGAGGTTGCGGCCTATAGCCAGAAGATCGTCGACTTTCGTGTAGCTCTTGGGATTCTGTTCGAGTACTTTCTCAATGAGAGAGAGAGGGTCGGAGTGTACACGGATGCTGACGGGTTGGAAGGGGACGCCGTGCTGCAGGGTGAGGGAGTAGAAGGACAGCGAGTGGGTGGCTGAGATGAGGGCGTTGATCTGCTTGAGGGCAAGTGAATCTGAAAAGTGCGGCTGGAAGGCTTGAAGACTGGGGGCGACGTTAATGTTATTCGGTTGTGATACGTGGAAAGCGCGGTAACTTACATCTCGTATGCTCTCTTCATTCCGCCCCGCGTTCGATTGCCGTTGCTTGCGTTATCGTACGCTGTATAGATGGTCTCCTTGACAGCCTCTTCAACCTTCGACGGTGTCAGAGTGGCGTCGGAGCTGAGATAGGTATTAACAGCGAGGTTGTATTCTATGTATGTTAGTCGGATTGCCGATGTGACGGGTAAAGAGAGCTGCTCACCTCTGACTTCAAGCAACGCTTTTAAAACCTCCGCTTCCACAACCTCCCGGTCGACTCTCCAAAAGATACCATGATATCCAGGGTGGCTTGTAGCCCGCCGGGGCGTGTGTTCTGCCTCCCAATCGCGCAGCCAGAGTAGTTGCTGGCGGACCTTGCTCCAGTCTCGGCCCGGCTTGCTCTGTTTGACCACAGATTGAACTACACTGCGCATTTCGAGCAATTGCGTGTCCACATTGCTGTGTAGACAAATGTTTGCGACCGTCCGACATGGCATCGGATGGCCTAACTCATTCAACACTTGAAGGGAGACGCAAACGGCGCTAAGGAACGAGATTGAGGAGGCGGAAGGGCGAGTGAGCGGGTTCGAAGTTGTCAAAAGTGCATTCTGCATGAGCGAAACTCTCGAGGTTGACGAGATCTGCTCCGAGTCAAACATCACCGAAGGGAGTGCTGCATCATCGGTCTTCAGAGATAGATGCTGTTCCATGTCCAGGAAACTGGCAATCCGCGCAAGAACTTTGATCGACCCTTCTAAGGCCTCCTCGCTGACACCGGCATTTGCATAGACAACGGCCAACCCTGTCTGCCCATACCGCATCCGCAAATCTTTCAGCTCGTCACTTGATAGATTCGGGTCCTCCTCAGCATAGCCTCCCAAGTCAACATCCTCCGGTCCATCCCAATTTGTGAATGCGTTGACCGCGCTCTCATGGTCTACCAGACTGCGCGCCAGTAGCCACTCGTTGACCTGCTGCCATCCCACCCCAGCATTCGTCTTCGGTTTTACATCGTCCTGGGGCAATGAAAGAGTATTCTGTTGCGCGGCTTCGTTGAGTCTCCGCCGCTTGGTCCTGTTGCTGCCGTACATCCAAGCGCCCACCAGCCCGCGGAGGTTCTGTACCAAATCCATGCTGCTCTTTGTACTGCCGGTCATCGAAAGCAAAACATTAATGGCAATGCTGTTGTCCATCGACTCGAGGATATCCAGAGAAAATGTCTCGTCCTGGCTGGGGTAGTATTCATAGTTCAACCGCAGCAACGGTAGTAGACTCGAGATCAACCAAGTGCGGAGAATAGGGGCGCGAGGGTAGAACGGCACGAGTAGATCGAGGATAAGGGGTTGAAGGGCGGTTTCGGAGTCAATGCGATGCGCGCGGTGGATGAGGAATTGAGTCAGAAGGTCGGTGGAGTCGTCGGTGTCCTTGTCGTCGGGATGCCTCAAAGGCAGTAAACGGACCTTGCGTACTCGTTTCCTTGCGACGGTCTCGGTCAGATTCTGAACAGCCGATATATCAATTTCAGCAGCATCAGATGTAGTGTTCCCGCCGTCGACCAAAGCCTCCACAACGGGCGTGTAGGTTTGAGGTTGGCAACTCTCGGGGAGGAAGGTTAATATGATGCGCAAGAGGCGCTCGGTTGGCAGCCAGCGAGGGTATTGAGCTTGCAACTGCGGTAAGCGGGAGACATCCCCGCTGACACAGAAATGAATGGCTAAAAGAATCGCATGAGCACCCGAGAGCCTGGAAGAAGCGGCCATGGCGTATTATGAAAGTCCAAGCCAAATCGAGAAATCTCGAAGGAACTGGGTGCAAAGAGGGTGATGTGTTCGCGAGGCACGAAAGACGTCAAGGCCGTGCACGGACCAACTCCCGGGGCGGAAAGCAGAAATCAGCCAATGAATCGCGGGCGGTGGAAGAAGAACCTCAATCGCATCTGCTCTCACTCTGAGCCTCTCCGCTCCAGCAATTCCACCCCCCCTCCCTCCCTCCCTCGACGCCTCCGCCCTTTCAGTCTCTTGTTTCCCCCACTTCTATCTCACAATGGCTTCCGGCTTCGGTAACAACGGCGGTACGTGACTTTTTCTGCTTGGGTCTGGGTAATTGGTTGCCATTGCGGGTGGCTTCCCCGGGCCCTGCTTCCCGCTTTGATGCCTTCGCCGCCGCGGACGTTGCCGGCTGACCTTGATTATCTCTCTCGCAGGTGCTTCCCGCTGCTACAACTTCTGGCAAGAGGTTCTGGGTTGCTACGTAGTCAACTCGGCTGAGGGTGAGGCCGGCAAGAAGAAGTGCCTGCCCGCCTTGGAGGATTACCACGAATGCCTGCACCACAAGAAAGAGGTACGCTGTTCTGGATCCATTGCGACCTCTGTGTGTCGGTCTCCTGAGGGCAAACATGTTCCGGGACTTGGGAGACGTGAGTTCGTGCTCTGACTAACATATCTCCCTCCACCATCTAGGTCATGCGGACGATGAAGATGCAGGCCGCCTACCGCAAGGCTGAGGCCGCCCACCCCCGCGAGAACGCGCCCCGGGCCGAACAGATTCGCAGTCTGGGACTGCTAGGGAAAGACGAAGAGTCAGCGGCGATTTTGTCCAAGGCATGATGAGTGTTGTGCGCATTTAGGGAGTGTGGTTCCATGTTGATTGTTTCATTGCTACCGAGATTATGCTGGTTCTCTTATATCTTTGTCTGTTTATCATTGCGAGGTCCTTCGATGTATAAAATGGACAAATTTCTTCTATTAGCTTGGGAGTGGGGGTGGTGTACCGCCGCAGGTTGTGTTTATCGGGACTGGAAGCTTGTAGCGACAATCATGCTGCCGGCACGACGATAACTGCACTGCAATTCTGGCAATCAATGATGCGCATGCACATAGTAACCAGCTCATAGGGGAAATCACTGGTAGCTATTGGCCTAGTTCGCAATAACGCTATGTGTGCTGCAGAGGTAGATCTATTTGGGCCCATGGTATAGTTGCGACTGACGATCAGACAAAGAAAGAACAAGACAAAGGCCAGAACTTTATCATGTAAACAAATCATAAAGAGCACTTCTACGGAATTCGGTCAGAGTCAACGTGATAAAGTAATAAGAGAATACCTCAATTGAGTCAAAGATGGGCCTACTGGAAGTGACCGTTGATCTGATGGCAGAACTATATATTTATATCACAGCGCGCTCGGTCCACGGGATTTTAAAGCACCAATATCCGCGACCTGATTGGCTCCAGCCGATTCCACGTCATCCGAGAATCAGAGACTGTCATCTCGAGACTTCACCTGGTAGGCTAGTCTAACAACTCGCAGCTGTCGTCAGCAGAGTAGCCGCAGCCGGATGGATGACAAGGGATTCGAGGGAGATGAAGGCCAAGGACTTGCAACGAAGAATCCGTGGCGGAAGCATGAGGCCATCTGGCATTCCTTGGCACGCTATTGGGAGCGATCGAAACAAGCTCACATGGCGGTCTCACTGGGAACGCAAGTCATTTCCAATTTACAGATTCCCTACATATAACTATAGGGTACTTCTCCATCTCGGGGAGGTTGATGGATTATTGAATGCAACACGCAGGGCCGGTCCTGATCGCGGCGTCATTGCCGTATTCGTCGAGACGGATGGTTGCCTGGCTACTTTAGGTGTATACGCTGTCTGGGTGATCCATGAGGAGACTGCGGTGGTGATATTGTCGGAATAATCAGAATTTAGCTGAAGACATCATCTGAAGATGACTAGATTCACTACTGCTCTAATCCTTTTTTTCCCCTAGTCTTTTTTTTCTCTTGCTTTTTTCGCGCAGGGAGAGACACTCACGTGATCCTGTAGACGAAAACCTTTACGGTAGTGGGGGGCACTAATCCGCAAGCAGGCTAGTGTCCAGGGCCCAAGTATTGGTAGGCGCGCCCAGGCAAAGATGCCCCCAATGATATAAACAGGCTGCTGACCTCGAGGGCAGCCCGAACAGCTCTTGTTGATGCTCCTGTGCAGCCCCAGCTCCGGTACAGGCCCGTCCTTACTTACTAACTCACTTACTTACTTTACACTACAACATCAACACATCTTCATCTTCTCCATTACATTCTCCGTTATCGTCCGGTCCCTGATTTCTTTTTTTAAATTTATTACCTCGAGGCTTCCCTTCCCATTTTGGATTCCTTAATGATCACCGGCAGTGACTATCCACTATCGTCCTTCTGCTCGGCTACGGTCATTTTACTTTCATCTGGTGACAACCGTGCCTCGATTGGGACCGGATCTCCACTTCTGCCCCGAGCACCTTTGATCTGACAGGATTGAGCTGGTCCAGTGTGTCTGGATACCGGGTTTTTTTTTCTTTTCTTTTTCTTTTTCTATTTTCCCGACCTTCCTCTGCCCTTGGACGCATACTCGACGTTGACTCGATGGCTGTGACGTGGGTGTAACCGTCGTGTTTACTTTACATCCCTCTCCCTCCCTCCATTCCGTCGTTCTCTTGCTTTAACTTAATTTCCGGAAGGGGGTGTGTTACTGAAAGGAGATTGATTTACCATTAATTTGTTCATAATTCTGGTCCCTTTCTTCGGCTTCGTTCACGATACCCCTACCTTCGTTGTGATATCAGTTTTTTTTTTTTTTTTTCAGTTCTTTTGCTGTGTTATATTATATACCTCTACATTTCTTACGCCTTGTTCTCCCGCCATGACTTCCAGGTAAGTTTCCTGCCATTCCGCTTCCGTCTGGTACCGGCCACTAACCCGAACCGTTCTAGACTCGACCGCCTTGTCACGTGAGTTACCGCCCGGGTTCTCTGCATGCTTACATACTCCACTCAAACCCTCGATCTAACCAATCACACCCACAGATTACTTGAGACAGGCAGCACGCCGCTCATCCGCAATACTGCGGCTCAACAGCTAGCCGACGTGCAGAAGCAGCATCCGGATGAGCTCTTCAACCTTCTGGGTCGCATTCTGCCTTATCTCCGCTCTAAGTCCTGGGACACCCGGACAGCCGCTGCCAAAGCTATTGGCCTCATCATCACCAACGCAGACACCTTCGACCCCAACGAAGAAGATGGTGACCACATCAAACAGGCGGATGACGAGGATGCCGACATCGAGATCAAGTCGGAGGAGGGTCTGTCCGCTGCTTCCGCGGATCTCCTTCAACTTGAGACCCTCGACCTTCCCGCCATTCTGAAATATGGCAAGCGGCTGCTCGGAAGCGCAGGAAAGGAGTATGAATATTCACTGGCCGCCATGGATCCAGCCGCTCGACTCCAACATCAGAAGAAAACCCTGACATCGCGGTTAGGACTTGCAGGAGAGTACATTGAGGAGGAATTGATTGATGATAGCGATCTCGCCTTGAAAACACCTGCAATCAAAGAGGAAGTTCCCTACCACAGAGATAGTATCCACCACCTATCCTCGACAGCCCCGCTTCCATCACCTATGGAACCGGCCAATGGTGAGGAAGCTGGTCTCAGTAAGCGGCAATTGAACCAGCTGAAGCGCAAGAACAAGCAGAGCGCAAAAATGGGCGCGAACAAGGTCCGAGTCGTGGATCTGTCGGCTCGGAGACCGTCGGATAACGTCACCACTCCTTCTGCCACTCCGCATCCGATCAAGGCGGAAAACGGCGAGGAGCGTAATGGTGATTCGAAGCAGGACTATTTTAATCTCGAACGGTCGGCCGGCGGGGATGATGATCAGAAGATCGTTTCGGAGTTTAAAGGATCGGTCGTTCCAGAAAAATCTTACATCCAACCTGAGATTACCGACGAAGGTCCCAGCAATGCCTGGCCGTATGATCCTATGTGCGAGATCCTCACGGTGGATATTTTCGATCCCAATTGGGAGGTGCGCCACGGTGCCGCAATGGCACTTCGGGAGGTGATCCGCGTCCAAGGCGCCGGAGCAGGACGTGTGCGAGGCAAGAGCAGGGCTGAAAACAATGTCCTCAACCGCAAATATCTGGACGACCTCGCCTGCCGGCTCATTTGTGTACTTATGCTTGACCGCTTTGGTGACTACATTTCCGACAATGTCGTTGCGCCCATTCGAGAGACTGTGGGCCAAACCCTCGGTGCGCTCTTATCCCAGCTCCCGTCGCGTTCCGTGGTCGCCGTCTACAATTGCCTGTACCGCATCGTAATGCAGACCGACCTCAACCTGGACCGCTCCATCTGGGAGGTCTGTCACGGCGGTATGATTGGCCTCCGATACTTGGTTGCGGTTCGCAAAGACATTTTGGTGAAGGACCGCAAGCTCATGGATGGAGTCTTGGAGGCTGTGATGAAGGGCTTGGGCGACTACGATGACGATGTGCGGGCTGTCAGCGCCGCAACCCTAGTCCCGATGGCCGAGGAATTCGTGGCTTCCCGACAAACCACGCTGGGTAGCCTGATGACAATTGTTTGGGACTGTTTGTCGAACCTACAAGATGACCTGAGCGCCAGTACCGGCTCGGTCATGGATCTTCTGGCCAAGCTATGCACGTTCCGTGAGGTTTTGGATGCTATGAAAGCGAATGCCTCCATAGATTCCGAGTCCTCGTTTGGAAACCTGGTCCCCCGTCTCTACCCATTCCTACGGCACACAATCACCAGCGTCCGCTCAGCAGTTCTCCGCGCTCTAATTACCTTCTTGCAACTCGAGGGCGATGGTACTAATGAGTGGGTGAACGGCAAGGCTCTGCGATTGATTTTTCAAAACTTATTGGTGGAGCGCAACGAGGGTGTGCTCAAGCTCTCCCTTCAGGTGTGGTCGGAACTGCTCAGAGCTCTGGAGTCGCGCGGCTTGTTCAAGGCCGAAGCCGATCTTCTGAGTCATATTCAACCATTGATCACCCTGACAATGTCTCCGTTTGGTGTCCCTCGGTATCCGATTCCCATGAATGCCTCCCTCTTCATTAAGCCATCGGGCATTGCGTTCCCAATGAGCGCTTCTGCCCCCGCCAAATCCTCCCCAAGTGCAGTCAGTGCCTCGTCTGATGGACCCAAAAAGCGCGGACGCAAGGTAGAAAAGAAGGAAGCCCCTGCTATGTCGGCTCACAATGTGGACGGACACATGCTTCAGGGTGATATCGACTTGGTAGGCGCTGACACTATGTTGCGGTCCAAGATATATGCAGCCAAGGCGCTGGGTCAACTTCTTTCTGTCTGGGATAAGAGCGCACTCCCGAGTCTGTGGCAGTCCATCGTGGAAGGCCTGAAACACAGTGCATCTATGTCTCAGCTCTCGTCTGCGATGATCATCGAGGAGTATGCCAGGATTTCGGGCCCCAGCAGTAGTTACACATCGAGTCTTTGCGAGTCTTTGCGTCCGATCATCGAAGGCGAGCGTCCGCTGTGGTACGGCGACATCGCGTGCTACCTACATGTTGCCCGCGCCCAGTGTCACTCGTTGCTTAATGCCTTCCGCGACCATGCCCATGTTCCTAGCTCAAGACTTCCGACCCTTGCTGTTATTGTTCAAGGAGACGCCGAGGCTGGCCCAAGTGCGTTCTCACTTGCCGATGCCGAGAAGGTTATTGGTCCAGATTTCGACCGGTTGAAGAAAGGTCTGGCACCCGCCCAGCGCATCACAGCTCTGCAGGTCCTAAATGATACGCGCGCGACTGCGGAGACTTCTGTCGAGGAAGCAAGAAATGTTCGAGAGCAGAGGGATCTGCGGGTGCGGGCGGCTGCGGCTGGTGCGTTGGTGGCTCTGCACGACATCCCGAAGAAACCAAGTCATATCATCAAGAGCATGATGGACAGCATCAAGAAGGAGGAGAATGCCGAACTTCAACAGCGTTCTGCTACCGCCGTTTCAAATTTGGTGGAGTACTACACCACGGCCACCAAACGCGGCCCGGTCGACAAGGTCATTGGAAACTTGGTCAAATACTGCTGTGTGGATACGTCTGAGACGCCAGAATTCCACCACAACGCTTCGCTGGAGAAGTCTATCCTCTCCTTACGCAAAGAGGAGGACCGGCGCGATCATCCTGATGCAGCCAAGTGGGAGCAAGAGGCCAAGGAAGCGCGAATCATGCGCCGGGGTGCCAAGGAGGCTCTCGAGCAATTGGCGGTCAAGTTCGGGCCTGATCTCATGGAGAAAGTGCCTAATCTTGCAACGTTGGTCGAGCGACCGCTCAGAGACACGCTCACTGGAGATCTTCCGGAGAACATCCTTGACCCTAGCAATGAATTGGGCCAGGAAGTCGTTGATGGGCTATCCACATTGCGCGCCTTGCTACCCAAGTTCGACCGCGGTCTTCACCCCTGGGTTGTCGGCCTCATGCCTCTTATCATCAAGGCTCTTCAGTGCCGTCTATCGGTTATCCGGTACGCGGCTGCCAAGTGCTTTGCAACTATCTGTAGTGTCATCTCCGTGGAGGGTATGACCATGCTGGTAGAGAAGGTGCTGCCGACCATCAACGACCCCTTGGACGTCCACCACCGCCAAGGAGCCGTGGAGTGTATTTACCACCTGATTCATGTGATGGAGGATCGTATTCTTCCATACGTCATCTTCCTGGTCGTACCTGTGCTCGGCCGGATGAGCGATTCCGATAACGACGTGAGATTGCTGGCGACGACGTCTTTTGCAACGCTTGTTAAGCTTGTTCCTTTGGAAGCTGGCATTCCTGACCCGCCTGGACTCTCTGAGGAACTGCTCAAGGGCCGTGATCGGGAGCGGAAGTTCATGGCTCAAATGTTGGATTCCAAGAAGGTGGAGGAGTTTGCATTGCCAGTGGCGATCAAAGCGGAGCTCAGACCTTACCAACAAGAAGGTGTCAATTGGCTTGCTTTTCTTAACCGGTACAATCTCCACGGTATTCTTTGTGACGACATGGGTCTTGGAAAGACTCTTCAGACGATCTGCATTGTCGCAAGTGATCATCATCTGCGAGCTGATGAGTTTGCCAAGACTCAAGCGCCAGAGGTCCGGAAGCTTCCGTCTTTGATCGTCTGCCCGCCCTCTCTTTCAGGTCATTGGCAGCAAGAGGTCAAGCAGTACGCCCCGTTCCTGAACTGCGTGGCTTATGTCGGGCCCCCGGCAGAGCGCGCCAGATTGCAAGACAGTTTGAAAGATGCGGATATTGTCGTAACATCGTATGATATCTGTCGCAATGACAATGATGTTCTGCGTCCGATCAGCTGGAACTACTGCGTGCTGGACGAGGGTCATTTGATCAAGAACCCTAAGGCTAAGGTGACCATGGCCGTCAAGCGAATTGCCAGCAACCACCGGTTGATCCTTTCCGGTACGCCTATCCAGAACAACGTACTGGAATTGTGGTCCTTGTTCGACTTCTTGATGCCAGGATTCTTGGGTACAGAGAAGGTCTTCTTGGACCGCTTCGCCAAACCCATTGCGGCCAGTCGGTTCAGCAAATCGTCTTCCAAGGAACAAGAAGCTGGCGCTCTGGCGATCGAGGCGTTGCACAAGCAGGTGCTTCCGTTCTTGCTCCGTCGTTTGAAGGAGGAGGTTCTCAATGACTTGCCGCCGAAGATCATCCAGAACTACTACTGTGATCCCAGTGAGCTGCAGAAGAAACTCTTCGAGGACTTCTCCAAGAAGGAGCAGAAGGAGCTTGCCGACAAGCTGGGAAGTTCCGAGAAGACCGACAAGGAGCATATCTTCCAAGCACTGCAGTACATGCGTCGTCTCTGTAATTCCCCGGCATTGGTAGTGAAGGAAGGCCACAAGCAGTACAATGAGGTCCAGCAGTACCTGACCACCAAGCACTCCAACATCCGGGACGTGTCGCACGCCCCGAAGCTCAGCGCCCTGCGTGATCTGCTTCTCGACTGCGGTATCGGCGTTGACCCACCAACGGAGGGCGACCTGGGAACGGGAACAAGCTACGTGAGCCCGCATCGAGCCCTGATCTTCTGTCAGATGAAAGAAATGCTTGATATCGTGCAGAGTGAGGTTCTGCGTAAGCTTCTGCCTTCGGTCCAGTACCTCCGGCTGGATGGTGGTGTCGAGGCAACCAAGCGTCAGGACATCGTCAATCGCTTCAACTCCGACCCGAGCTATGACGTTCTGCTTTTGACCACCAGTGTCGGTGGTCTGGGTCTGAACCTGACGGGAGCGGACACGGTCATCTTCGTGGAACACGACTGGAACCCGCAGAAGGATATCCAGGCCATGGATCGTGCCCACCGTATTGGCCAGAAGAAGGTTGTCAATGTCTACCGGTTGATCACGCGGGGTACTTTGGAGGAGAAGATCTTGAAGTGAGTTTTCCCTTGATTCTATTAATTCCAGTAAGAAAAAAAAGCTAACCACGAGACCTAGTCTGCAACGCTTCAAGATCGACGTGGCCTCGACGGTGGTCAACCAACAAAACGCCGGGCTGAACACGATGGACACGGATCAATTACTGGACCTATTCAACCTGGGCGAGACGGCGGAGAACGCCGAGAAACCCAGCGAACCAACCGGCAACGAGGTGGACATGGTGGACATCGACGGCGAAGTCAAAGAGAAGGGCAAGAAGGGCTGGCTGGACGATCTGGGCGAGCTCTGGGACGACCGGCAATACCAGGAAGAATACAACCTGGACTCCTTCCTTGCCACGATGAAGGGATAATCTGTACCGAGCAGACATGCCCAAATTGCACCACCACTATAACAAAAGGGATTCTGAAGCAGCAGAAGACCCAATCACAGCACATGGGCGGCGTTGATACTTTTTTTTTCTTTTTCTTTTTTCCTTCTTCTTCTCCACACGGTGTTTATTGATCGATTGGGGGCAATGGGACCCCGGGATTGTGTGTATTCCCACCAAAACAAAACCTACCTACCTACCTACCTACCTACCTATTTTATTGATTGACGACCGACTCGGAAGGACACGAGACGACGGAATTGACTTGACACTTTTACCAGGGATAGACTCGGAGGGGTTTTTAAGTTTTTTTTTTGCCATATGCAAAAAGGAGTGTATGCTAGCTTTTCTTTTTTTCGTTTCTTTCTCGCTTCTTCTTCTAGTCAATGTATTATACTGGCCTGCGTGACCTTTGACGACATTGATGCTTCTCCTCTTGCCGTTACCAATCGATTTGTATGTATCATTATTGATCTTGAATAGAATTCGATACGAAGTCATACTTGGTCGTGTAGACGGCTCTACTAGAGTAGATCGGTCAGTTGCAGTAGTTGACGTGTGCTTCGTTGACTAGAGTAACAATTTCCCTCTAGGAGACTACCACTCACTCACTCCAACTATGCATTGCTAACAGAATGAATATTCGTAAAAGGAGGATACACTACACAGTTTAGCGAGAATCAGACATACCAGTGGGAAATACGCTACACAGGCCAGCGATAATCAGGCATGTACTCTACTGTACTACTTACCACTATATCTCACACCAGTAATACGTGTGACATCAAAGACGGTATAAACAAGACTGAATGAACTACAGCAAAGACAGAGTGTTTCTACTACTCATCTCCTCCATTCATCCATTCATCCATTCATCCTTCACGACTATTACATCAATTCCATCACATCACGTCTTTACCCTGAGTATCAGCCTCAGTTTCAGCATAATCCCCACCAACAACAAGATAAACAATCCACAAAGCAAAAATGAAGTGAAACTAACTAACGCCCAACAAAGGACGACACAGCACAGCACAGACAAATGTCCCACCCTGCTGAACAACTCACAGCCAGCAACGCATAAAAAGAGTTATCCAGCACTACGGGAACTGAAAAAAAGAGCATACTCAGAAGGACCCCCTACAGACAACAACAACAACAACAACCCCTATACCTCGAAATCCTTATACCCCTCCACCAAGCCATCCGAAAACTTCGTGGCGGCCACCCAAACCGGCGCATACTGCTTGACTTCGTCGAGGGCGGGGATGGCGCCGACGCGATTGTGGTCGCTCCAGAGGCAGACGACGCGGCCTTTCAGCTTCGCGTCATCATCTTCTTCTCCAGCCCGCGAAGAAGAGGGGTTGACGAGGATGTACTCCTCCCCGTTACCATCGGTTACGACACCGCCTTCTTCTGGAACTATGGACGGAACGGTCCACTCCACGTCCACGGTCCAGGTGTTCTCCCACTCGCGGCTCCAGAGGCGGATCTCCTTGGTGCCTCGAGGGGAAGTGTGCGGGAAGCGGGGATCGTAGGCGCTGCCTGCCACGCTGAAGGAGGAGATCGGGGTGTCGAAGAGGAGCTTGCAGGCGCGGGTGTTGCGGCCGGAGACCTGGATCTGGGCCGTCTTGATGTTATCGCCCTCTGCGGGATGGGGGTCGTTTGTTGCAGAGCGGGAGGACTCCGGAGAGGAGATGTTGAATGTCAGCCAGGACTTGTAGTCCTCTGGCGCTGAGGGGACCACGTCCGGCATGGGACCGGACCAGGAGCATTTCGTACGCTGGGCGAAGGGGTCGCAGGCGAGCTTCTGGCCTTGAGCGCTGGGCAGCGAGTGGGCGACCTGGGCCACGAAGGGCGAGATCCCGATCAGTGAGACGCTGGTGGCCGCCGTATCGAGGTTGATCTCCTGCTGGAAGAAGATCTTGAGGCGGTTGGACGCCGAGAACGGGAACGCGACCAGATTGTAAATCAGGCATCCCAGGAAGATCGCCAGCAGGAACAGAGGGATGTGGTACGTATGGCGATGGATGTAAGGGAGGAGTGGGGTGAGGAGGAAGGTAGTCAGGGCTGCGACGGAGATATAGATGAATAGAGAGGAACTGCCGTCTTGGCCGGTCTGATGTAGTGCGCTGGTCAGCAGCAACGCCAGCGGGCCGACCATGATGAGCACAATAGGTGCGGTAAGCAGAAACTGCAGCACCCAAGTCCATTTCGGCATATGTGCACTCCAGCGCTGCTCCAGGCCGTAGATATTCGGGTCGCTGGGTTCGTCGTGGTCATCATGGCCACCCGTGACGTGCACGTAGTTGGCAAAAGTGGTACGCTGGCCACCCCCGAGGAGAGAAGTCGACTCAGTGGGTTGTTCGTCGTCCGACTCTGCGTGCTCGTCCCCGTCGTGCTCCGAGGTGTGCTCCTCCCCAGAGGCTGTGCCCAGTCGACTGCCGCCGTAAGTGCTGGGACGGCGCGAAGACGCCGCCACGGGGGCATACTGGCTGGCGTACTCGGACTTCCGGGGCAGAGCGAAGAGCTCAAGATAGGAGATCCAAGTGGCCAGGAAAGTGCCACAGAAGGAGAAAAACACCCAGTAGCCGCCAGCCAGGCCCCACTGATTCTCGTAGACCGTCGCAATCACCAGCATCACCCAGGCGAGCACAAACATCCACGTCAAAGTATACACGCGGTGGAAAGCCGAGGGACGAGCAAAGTCGGCGACGCGCGAGACGAACCAGGCCAGGAACGTCCAGGCCGACAGCATCATACCCCAGACCGCATACTCACTGCTATGGATGATCAACGGATTGACTTTGGTCACCAGATACGCCAACCCCACCGTGACGGCCGTCGGGATCACGAACAGAAACGGAAACCTGAAGAATCCGCGCAGTCCCTGCAACGACACAGCCTCACCATCGTCCAGCCCCTTGACCGTGGACCGGAACAGATACATCTTGTCGGCCCGGCTCAGGGCAACGCTCGTCAGCAACAAGCCCAAGGGCGCCACAATGAGCATCGTCACCGACAATGCAAACAGGGTATGCAACTGGAACACCACGAACGTGGCCCCGAACAGATCAAACCACACTCCCCGCGACCCTTTCTTCCCAGCGTCATCACTGACCAACCCCTCCGTCGTCTTCACCGCCGCCTCCAGCATATGCCACAGACTTTCCACAGTCGTGTGCCTCGAATCATCCTGATCGGTGTGATACCTATCTCTCGGCTCCATAAACGCAACATCCAAGCCCCTCATGCCCAGATCTCCCTCAAACACCACATAGTCCGTCTGGGAACTGATCAGTCCCACCTCGAACCCATTGGCAGCCAACACCGACCCAAACGGGTGTTTCGCCCGCCTATAGTTCCTGGTCACTTCGGTATCACTGCCCCTGAACAGGATCGCCCGACCTCCGGCTCCGGCACCCTCCAGGTTCAGGAACGTGCGCGTGAACTTTGACAGCGGATGCTGACTGAACACGCGCGCTCCGTTCAGGAAATCCTCCTCGCCATTATTGAACAGCACCACCACGCCGCGACGGGGGGTATGGCCCGGGGTGGTGAAGTACTTGATCAGCTGAAGACAGGTGACAACACCGACTCCGTCGTCCGTAGCACCATAACCGGTGGAGACACTATCATAATGGGCGTTGACGAGGACGCCCCCTTCTCCTCCCTGGCCCGACTCCAAGGACCAATCCTCATCATCCTCACCACGGATATAAACAATCAGGTTGGTGCCTTCGAAGTAGACAGCCGTATTGGAAGATTTGAGAGTATTGCCGACGAAGGAGAGGTTCGACTGATTGTCGTCGAAGATGTAGACGGTGGGCTTGGTGTCGTCGTCGGTGGAATAGACGGTGGGTTCTGCTGCGCCCTGGTGACTGTGGAATGCGACAGGATGCACCCGGGCTGTCTGCATCGCGAGTAGGCCAGGGTCGGGTGTATCCGCGTCATTGTCGTGGACAATCTCCTTCACCCGTCGCAGGAGCCATTCTCGGACTTCGTCATTCCGCCGCGAATTATACGGATGGTAGCCGTTTGTCAGGACCTGGAGATCGGCCCATGCTTCGTGAAGATCAAGACCGTTGGGAGTAGAGGATGGGCTGGGCGCCGAGGGGAGGATGTGGTGGACGATCAGGAGGGGGATCACAAAAGCGAGATAAACGGCGGTGGTGATGAGGGTGACGGGCCAGCGCGTGAAGGCCAGTGGATTGGCGCGCGGGGTAGACATCGCGGCCTTTGGTCTTTCTCACGACCGTTACTGGCTGGGTATCCGTGATCGCTCTCAGCTGCACAAGCCGAGTTGGGCTGGGCTGAGCTGGGCTGAGCTTTGGCGTGAGACGGGACTGAGCTACTCGAGCTGAGCTGAGCTACAGTGCAATGGTGGAATGAATACTGAGATGCGGAGAAAGGAAGGAGTGGGTTGATTGCGGCTGGAAAAGCCGAGGCGGAAGAAAGCCGCCGTCATTATGTCATTCCCTGGGTGTCTACTTTAGTGATCATCGATCGATCGGTATTCTTAATTTCCTATCCTGTGGACAGTATCGCTAACTCATTCTCGGAGTAATTCAATCCTGCAGTAATGGTTTTGCTGCTCTAATGGCTCCATTCTAATACGATAGGTAGGTAGGTACGGTGGATAGGTAGAAACCCCGTCCCCGTAACCCATGTGAGGGCTGATGATATCACTACCATACCAATACCAATGACGAGAGAAAAAGAATCAGTTTTGTTCATATCAACCCGCAGTTCCCCAGCCGATGTATATAGCAGAGAAACAAACAGAGAAAGAGAGTGGAAGCTCCCCGAACGAACGCAACCGCCAATCAGCCTTGACCGGCTCCCAGGTAAACCGCTACCGACTATGCAAATTCATAATAGTAAAGAAAATCCTTGTGTGCACACAGACAGAAGTATGACTCCTCGCTGCTTGGTTTCTCCCAAAAAGAAAAATAGAGTGAAAGGAAACGACCCCACGTTATAAGACAATACACAAAAAAAAATGATAGATGATAAGATCCGATGCACAAGACACGCTCGAAGAAGTGATGAGAGAGAAAAGGGTATGGGTATCAACCGTGAGTATGTCCAATGTCAATGTATTCATCGTCGTTAATCGCCGTGGCCGCCGTGGCGCGCATCAGGCCAGTTACCTGGCCCTCATCCTCGTCGAGTTCCTCGTCGTCATCATACATGGTCGCCTCCGTCAAATCCTGCGGCGGAATCGGTGGAAGCATGTGGTTCAGGGTGGTGCGCAGTTTATTCACGCCATCCCCGCTGAAAACACAGAATACCTCGCGCTGTTGGTTGGTGAACTCTGGAGGTGCCTCGCGGCAGTGCGCAGTCACTTCGTCCCGCGTGTAGAACTCATGAATTCCCGTCAGACTGAGATGCGTAAGACGCGGGCAGCTATTGACGAGCGCTTGAATTCCCTGCAACCGGTTAGTATTACTCCTCAAAATGATTCATAGGACAAGCACATACTCTACAAGTGAGATGTGTACAGTAACTAAGATGCACCCGTTCTAAACTACTAATTCCTGCTGAGTGGTGGGAAGCCTTGGGGCCTGCCAAGGCTAAAATGCTGTTGTCCGTGATGTTTTGGCATTTTACCAAGCCGATCCGCCGGAGTTTAGGTAATGTAGCCAGCTGCTGCACACTTGCATCCGTCAGGCGGATACAGCACGCCAGGTCGATGTACCGGATTCGGTTGCAAGACTTGACCAACTGGATCACGGCCGCATCGGTGATGTTAGAGCAATGTCCCAAGTGGACGTAGTGCAAATTTTTGCCGAGCTTGCAGATGGCCCAGACTGCGCGATCCGTGATGAATCGACACTTTGCGAGGACTAGGTTTCGTAAGCGCGGCGCCGATGCCACAATTCGCTCAACGGCAGCGTCCTTGACATTCTCGCAGGATGTCAAATCCAGGATGCGCAGGCTATCCAAGGAAATATGCGGTGGCAGCTCCAGGAACGCCATATCGTCGATCTCACTGCAGTGGGCCAGCCGTAGCTCACGCAGGGTCTGTAGCGTCGTCATCAAGGCCGTGATGGACTGGTTGGTGACGAGCTTGCAGTCATGCAGGTCAATCTCCAGAATAGCCGGGCAACTTTGGGCGAACGACAAGATCGATTTATCCGTGACTTGCGCGACACCATTCAGTTTTAACTGGAAAACATATCAGCAACCGATGCAACCAATGTGAGAATCCGCCACGACCACCTACCCGCTTGATCTGCCGACAATTCCGCGACACGACAATCAGCGATTCGTCGGTCACCTTGATACAGTTCGTGATATTGAGGCCTTGGAGCCGTGGGCAGTTTTTCGCCACTGTGTGCAGAGTGTGATCGGTGAGATGCCGCAGGTCCGAAACATCCAGCGCTTGCAAATGTCGATTCCCTTCCACCAGATCCGACACCCCTTTATCCGACAATTTCGAGCAGTTGGTCAGCGTGAGTCGCTCGATTCGATTGCACTGAGCAAAGGTCATCACCGTGCCATCACTCACGTCGCTCGACAAGGCGGACAAGTTCAGCCTCCGGATCAGCTCCGAGTAGGAGAAAAAGCCGTTCGGATCGCCCACCGTGGAGCTGATGCTCTTCATGTTGTCCCAGCTGTTGCACGATGGCCGGTGCCAGAGGAGCCCCACACAGTTCGCCGCCCATCCCTTGCAAACCAGCATACAGCTTATCATGTCGGCTGGCGAGCTCAGTTTCGCGAAAATGGCGATCAAGATCTCCGGGGGCAAGCGCCCGACGGGCGGCAGAGCCCGATCTGAGTCGTAATAGGCATGAAGATCCCGACCGTTCGCGAGGCCCACGGAGGACTGTGAATCATTTGCCTGGGCTGTAAAGAAATCGGTGTCGTCATCGGCGGTACGATCGGGAGAGGTCGAGGAGGAGGATTCGGAGGGAGCTTCGCTCGAGAACCGAGCGGGTTGCCTTGAGCGGGGCATCTGGACCGCTGTCGGAGGGTAGTGGCAAGCGTGCCTGTTGAAGGAGGGGAGGGGAGAGGAAGACTGATCGCTGTCCTGGTCCGGCCAAGGTAGAACTTATTATCCGGGTAGAAAAAAACTATTCATAAGCCGGCCGTCACTTGGTCTAGAGGTGGAAGCCGAAAGAGGGATCGGAGATTCAAGACCGATCTTGGAATTCGAGGTTCGCCCAAGCAGACCGGGAGGGACAAGGGGGGTAATAAGCCTAAGCCAGAAGAGGCGAGTTGAGACCAGTTGGGTCGGATTTGAGAGGGAGAACGCGCGTCGGGCGTGTCTGCAGAGGATACCGACGAAGGCGAAGTAAGGCAAGGGAGGGAGAGGGGGAAGAAGGGTGTGAGAGAGAGAGAAGAGGAGGAGAAAAGAGAGAACGGCGTCTGGACGGGGGAGGCGAGGGAGAAGGAATCCCGGTCGGAGAACCGAAAGGGTGAGTTTGAGGTCGGGGGCGGGATTGAGCGCGTCCAGAAGATCTGCAAATCCGATTAGGGAGTATTCGGAGATAGATTCCAAAAGGTGTAATTACAAGCAAGCAATCAGAGCAGCGATAGTGCACTGTTGGCGAGCTGATGAGGATGTTGTTGATGTTGATGGAGGGGTGGTTGGTTTGGTTTGGTTGGGTCGGAGTTTATGGAGAAGAACTGACGAAAGAGAACAAGGCGGTTGCAAAGGCGGGAAGAGAGAGAGAGAGAGAGAGAGTAGAAAGATGGAAAGGAAAGAAGATGGACAAGGAGAGTAGATGTTGGGAGAAGAGCTTAACAATCTCTACCTCATTCACTATACTTAGCCTAAGCAATGGTAAGTGACTAAGTATTTATTCTTATTGATCTCTTTCCAACCATAAGACTGACTGATTGAGAAAGGAGGGGAAGATTGCCAGGGATGCCTGTCGCCAACCGACATCACATCATAGAAGAAGCTGAGGAAATCAAGTCGATTGCTGCTATTCTTGGGTTGGTTGACCCGTGCGCCGACTACTTACTACTTACTACTTACTACTTACTACTTTACTACATGCCTATTATTATCATCGATGGTCGATGATGCCCCTCTTGGGACTAATCCATTTGCTCATCATGGCTGCCTACCAGGTTGACTTTTATTCCCCCCTCATTGCCTTCCTTGTCTGTCGCCTTCAGCATCCCACCCTCTCCCCGGTGGTTCGCATCTCGAACCGAGAATGATGAACGGTCCCACCAGACCATGATTTATAACCAGGGCCCCGCCAACCTCGTCCCCTATTTTTCCTTTCATTCTATGCGATCTGACAACACGTAGAAAGAAAAAGACGCAGAGGAATTAGAGATCGTGATGCACAGTCATTCTTATCATCCTCTATCGTCGCAGTTCTCTATCTAATCTATAAAATCTCGCAGCCCTCCAACCAGACTCCAGACCATTGGATAGCGCTCCCAGCAATCATCCTATCTCTCCTTAAAGGACTACACGACCTCCTCCCACTCATGACCGAGATGCCCCCTTAGCCCAGTCCCGCAGGACATTCTTCCTGATTTTCCCCGTACTGGTTTTGGGCAGTTCCGCCACCACTTCCACCTCGCGGGGCACCATAAACTTACTGATGCCACTGGCATTCCGCGCCCATTCGATGACCGCCTTGCCATCCAAGTTCCGTCCTTCTTTGACAGTGATGAACGCCTTGGGACGTTCGCCCCAGTGGGCATCCGGCACTGACACGACACCCGCCTCCAGAATGTCAGGATGGGTTACCAACTGCGCCTCCAAGGCAACCGACGAGATATTCTCCCCCCCTAAACACCGCAAGTCAGCACAAGCATTCTTCAAGCCGCGAGCCGCGAGAGCTGAGCCCCCTCCCCAGGGGAAAATTATCTTACCGCTAATGATGATATCCTTGGCCCGATCCAGAATCTGAATCGCCCCATCGGGATGCCAGACGGCCAAATCGCCGGAATGCAGGACGCCCCCGAGGAACAGCTTCCGCGTCGCCTCCGGGTCCTTGTAGTAGCCGCGGGAGCAGATGTTCCCGGCAAACACAATCTCCCCAATCTCTTTGCCGTCTCGGCGCACGTCAACAACCGTGCCCTCGGGAACATCCGTCTTGATCACCCTGGCCGGCAGACTGGTGATGAACCCATGGCCTTGCCTCGCCATCTTCTCGTACCGCTCGCTGGACGGCAAGTTCTCCCAAGCAGGCATATGGTACCCCTTGGTGATGGGGCCGTACGTCTCGGTCATACCGTAAGTATGCACTGGGTGCAGGTTGAGGCCCGTCATTTGCTCAAAGAGATGGCCCGTCGGGGGGCTGGCCGCCACGGTTACACGCACCGGATGCGGCAGACGCTCGGCCTGGGGGGAGTTGCATAGCAGGGTATTCACCGTGGGCGCCGCGTTGAAATGCGTGATGCCCTCCTGCTGGAGCAACCGCCAGATCTGCGGATAATCGATCTTACGCAGACAGTAATGCGTACCGCGGACAGCGGTCACAGCCCAAGGAAAGGTCCACCCTGCACGACAACATCAGCATCAGCATCAGCTAGGCCCTCTCATACAAATCCTCGCTCCCTTCCCGACCCGAACAAAGAAAAGCACTCACCAACAGCATGAAACATCGGCAAAGTCCAAAGATACTTGCACCTGCCCTCCTGCACATTCAACCCGGACTCCACCAAATTCGCCATAGTCGCCAAGTAACAGCCGCGATGCGTAAGCTCCACGCCTTTCGGCTTGGCCGTCGTGCCACTGGTATACGCCAAAGCAAGCACATCCTCTTCCGCAGTCGCCTGCGCCTCCAGCCCATCCCACCCCCGGGCCCCCGTCTCCCTATCATACCTCAATCCCTCGAGGACCGCCTCATCAAACGGGCCCGACAACTGACCCTCCGTAACATCCGTATCCGTATCCACAATGACCGGCACCTCAGGCCTTGTAGATCTATACTTCTGCAACAGCGGCAGAAACTCCTCATCCACAATGATGACTTCCACCTCCGAGTGCGTGAAGATATAGGCGATATCCTCTTCCTTGAGACGATAGTTCACAGCTATGAAATCCGGTTAGCACGGGATGCTTATCGAGCAGGTCTCAACCCTCCCGTATATAAATATTCTCCCGGGGCCCAAGAAAACATACCAACCTGCACGGCCCCGGCAGCCGCAATCCCAAAGATCGCCTCCAAGAACGCCGGCGTGTTGGGACACAGGATGCCCACGCGCGTGTAACCATGGCTCTTCAGGAAGTAGGCGAGGCCGCGGGCGCGGTCGGCGAATTCGATGTAGCTTCTGCGGAGGATCTGGTTGTTGGTCGTTATGTGGTGGATTGCTTCGGCCTGTGGTTGTCGGGTTGGGGTGTTATTGACTGCGTGTTTGTACCCTTCATTGGGAGATTTGAGAGCGATGAAAACCAGATTGGAGGTTTTTGGGAGGGGGGGAGAGGATCAGATGATGAGTCGAAGGGAGGAAGATGTAGACGATCAGAGCTCGGGGTACTCACATCTGGCTCAATGGCTGCAGCCCGAGGGAGGAAGTACGTTGGAGATAGGGTATGAAAATTCACAGGGCGAGTCGCTGCTTCACTGGTGGTTGGTGTATTGTCATCGGTGGAAGGGAGGAAATGGGCCAGAAGGCCCGATAGACGGCTCTTTGCGGTGGAGGACATTGTGAGGCTAGGCAAGGTAGCTAGATGCCGTAGGCACAGTACTATCCTGGTACAGTACTGTACAGATCTATGCTGAGGAGTAATTCAATTGGATAAGAACAACAGCTGAGTCGGTAGGGATGAAGAGGGTGTGTGCGTAAGTGTGATTGAGAGAGACAGAAGAGAAAAGCAAAGCAAAGCAAAGCAAAGCTAACATTGGGGGAAGAAGAGGGACAGACAGACATTCATCAGCGAAGAGGAGTAAATGCGGGGGTGATCATCGTTTCCGTCGGCCTCGGGACCGCGGCGGAGAAAGCGGATCCTTTCCCTTGTCTTCCCCTCAGCTCATTCTTCTTCTCTCACTCCTGGATGGAATTAAACCTGAATCCCCCCGTCAACTTCCAGAGTCAGACTCTCAAGATCCGTCTGGTCCGGGGCTTATTTTGCTTCTTCGCAAGACCCGAGATGTTCAGATAGTAATTCGATTTGCTTACCCACCCCCCCAATAGACTTCGGTGGTAAGTTACACCCACTCAGTACAATCCTCTAATCTAGTCGGAGAAGGGTTGTCACAATGAATTCACAATACTATACCGTTAACCGCAGGGAACTCTTAATCCTTAGCGGCCTCCACCCCAGCCCAATTCACAATTAACACAATACAAGCCAAGATCCACGCCCTTCCCACCCACCACAATAAGCAATTAGCTGTCAGCATCTGACTTCATGACCAACCTCCATACTATCCTTAGTTTCGGGCTACGTAGACAGACAGACAGGCAGGCCAAGCGGGAAGAAGGCGTAACGATCCAGAACCGCCACCGAGAATGTGATTCCTGCAGGGTGCATTAGCATTGGTGATGACCAGCGCTTGCAGCTCCCATCAACAATAATAGATCGGATGGGCATACGTATTCGCTCTTGTGACAAGATTCTTGGAAGTGAGAATCGACTCGAAGTGAGATGATAATACTTCGCATCCCTGGCGATGATAGTCTAGTCGCGGCACTTCAATACGAAGAATCCATGGCCCATCCATGCAGCATTATCACGCCAAGCGGCAAGTGCCTTGCTCCGATTGCATGGAGGCGAATCCGGATCATGGACCCATCACACACAGCGTAATCGCCCCGAGGCCGACTACGATACCGATCATGGGCGGTAGCAGCTCTACGCTGGCGATAATGTTAAGCGCCGCGTGGACATACCAAGCAAGGGGACTGTCTGTCTGAGGGAAGAAATCAAGGTGACGAGGCTAAGTCTGGATCTTGAGGCATTTGCACGGGTGTGCGCTCCAGTCAACTTGACCCGGCCCAGCTAGATTTATTGCAGAAAGAATGGATACGATCGCAGAGGGGCCATGGATGAAGAAGGAAAAAGTGCTTTGTTTTTCTTTGGGGTCGTCACACAAGTCATTTGAACTCTTGAAAAGAAATTTCTTGGATTAAAACCGCCACGGCGCGAATTAACGGTCAGCTATTTTGAACAACCTTTCATCCCAAGCGACTCCCGTAAGTTTTTTTTATTAGAAATCGAACTTCGCCAGCCTCCCATGGTGCGTCACAACATTGGAGTATTGTGGGGTTTCATGAAAAGGTAGGGACAGGGAGTAAAAAAAAGGTCGATCGGTTCGCCGAACATCGTCGCTGAAACATAACCGTTCGCGATCCCATCCCATCCCATCACAGACACAAGCAACCGGCCGCGCAACCAGGTATCTAGTATCCGTACTGAGCGAGCTCAGTCTTGGTCTGCTCGCTGACAGCCGCCGACTTCTGGGCGTGGACGAGTTGACGGCGGGCGGCCTTCTTGCGCTCGTAGTATGCACTGCTCTTAACCTTTCTCCGCTCCTCAAGTCTGTAGAACATAAAATTAGCCCTGATCCCGGTCCCCAAGTAAAGATGCTGCTGCGTCGCAGCAGAAGCAAAACATACCTGGCAACGACGTCCTGGTACTTCCAGCCAACCTCGTGGCTCAGACGGCCGACGGTGCAGTACTTGCGACCGGGGCGGAGACGGAGGACACGGAGAGCCTGGGGAACGACGACGCGCTTCTTCTTGTCGTAGGGGGGAGGAACACCCTCGAAGACCTTGAGGCGCTCCAGAGCGGCAGCACCACGGGCAGTCTTGTGGGGCATCATACCGCGGACGGCCTTGTAGAAGATGCGGGAAGGAGCGCGGAAGTGGAAGGGACCTATGGCATTCACATTCAGCACCAGCCGAGACAGACGATATTGTCGGAAGCGTTCAGGAAGGACTCACCACCGCGGGTGGGGTTGAAACGGGTCATCTTGCGAAGGTAGGCGTGGTACTTGACTATATAGCACGATCCAGGTCAGTCAATTCGGTTCCGTCGTATAGTCGCATCTCCTGTGTTCCTCCACACTGTCGCCTCATAGTCCATCATAATCATTGTCCGTCGTCTTCCGCCGAGTCGCATCATGTCCACCTTTTCCTGCACCTTTCACACCGAAACATATCACACACGCAAGTACAGACAGGATTCGAGACGACAGTAGGATTGGCACACAAGAGATCGGAGTATCGAATGGTTATAACGTACGCTTCGCGCGGAAGAACTCGCCGGAGATGTTGAGAGCCTCACATCTCACGACGACGATCTTCTGGCCGTTGAGCAACTGCTTGGCGACAGTGCTGGCAAGACGACCGAGAAGGTGTCCCTTGCCGTCAATGACGACCTGCAAATCCAACGAACACGAGTCAGCGATTCTGAAATCAATTCCCTCATGCAACGCGAATTAATTAAGAGTCCTCTCCTCCACCCCCGGAAGGGCGTCCGTCTGGTCTCATTCCCTCCCTTCCGCATCTTTCCTCCTCATCCTCCCCATTCAATATTCCTTCCTCCACTGGCTCATTTCAAGGTGTCGAACAAATTCCCCCAAGACCTTCAAGAACGGGGGAGGACTCTTTTCCGGAACATAGATGTGCATGTGAAGAAGGGGCGGTGGTACGCACGACTGGATCGATGGAGGACATCCTGCTGTGTCGAAAGGAAAATATCCAGCGATAGGAAGAGCGCTGCTCTAGGATACTCCCTTGGGATGTATGTTGTCGGCGGTTGTTGTCGTTGTGGGCAGGTTCAACGCACACAACGATGTCGGATGAGTTCGCTGGGTTGTCGCTAAGCGAGCGGCGCTACTTGCTCTTTGTGCGGGAACGTTCCCCCGTCGAGGGCCACAGCCCTAACCCTTCCCGTTCGTCGGACTGTCACGTGATGATATCCTGGCCAGATCGTACTGTAGACGCTCCAGCCCTTCTTCCCAGTTGGGTCCTTATCTCTCATACTGTGTGAAAGAGTTCATCTCGATTCTAAGTCATGTACTGTATAGCAAAGCTGTACTGACCTTGTTGGCTACCTTGGGTGGAGCGACGTCCCTTGCACGGTGAGGGCTCTAAGTATGAGTACCTCATTCTTATTAGTCTTTTGAAGACGGAGATAGACTTGGACTGCCTAAATTCCCACCCCGCAAATACTGGTAGCTATCGCGACACTAGACCCAGTATTCCCCCAGATACGCTTCCAATCAATCTACTGTCTACGCTCCACGGTCGCATTCACCACTCAAAGCGTCGATCGCGCCGGGAAGCATTAAACCACAAGGCGACTGATTGTCCTTTCAGTTCAGGATATTCTAGGGTACAGTACATCTGCCTCGAATGGAGGGTAAAGTATCAAGCAACCAAAACTTGGGCCACTCGCCTACCAAAAGCGGCCCCATGTATGGGGCTCATCTTCGATCAGATGCAGAGAATCCGTGTATTGTCATTATGGACGCAGAGCAAGCGAAAGTCCCTGGTCATGATATCTGCTAGAAGTGAAATATTGTATACATTAAGATTAGTATGTTCTCACGAAAAAGACCAAAAATTATGAACGAGTCTTGCCAGTTCTTTAACTCGGCAGCGTGACGGGGAAGCCGAGCCCGTAACGCCCGAGCAACGGCGCCCAAACGAAGGGACAGATCGCAGGCATCAGCTATGTCGAAGCCTGTATCGATAGCGAAAACAAAGACAGGAGGGGGTCATGCGGCATTATACAAAAGACAAAAGACGGTGTTCTGTCTTCCATCACATCATACAGATTCAAAGTCCGAGTCAGCAGCACCCTCTAGTAGAAGGGCAGCTTAGCGTCTCGCGTGCCTCTCTCGATGACTTCCTCGAGGGTCCAGCGGGGAGGCTCAATAGCCTTGTGACCGCCATTGGGTCTCTCTTCCGAAGAGAGCGGCTCTTTCAAGCCGCCGGCGACCCCGGAAGAAAACTTGAGCTCGAGGGCGTCTCCGATCTCGTCGCACACCTGCAGAATGCGATCGAGATCATCTTTGGTGTGCGCAGCCGACACGCACAGTCGGGCACGGGAAAGCTCCAGAGGCGTAGCAGGGTAGGTCACCACGACCACGGAGATCTTCCGACGAAGCATCTCCCGCGAGAACGCGGGCATCTTGGCGGGGTTGTACAGCATCAGGGGCACGATGGGCGAGTCGTCATGCCCGTAAACAATGAACCCGAGCCGCTTCAGTCCGAGTCGTAGATAGCGCGAGTTGAATGCTAGACGCTGCATGCGCTCCCGTCCCTCACCCGGGTGCAGCGGGTCCTCATCAGCAATCAGTCGTAGCGAGGAATAGATCTGCGCCAGGACAGGCAGCGACGGGGCTTCACCGAAGATCTGACCGGCATTGATGCAGCGCACTTTGTCGATGATTGCCTTATCAGCAGCGATGTAACCACCATTGGCTCCGAATGATTTAGTGAAAGTGCCCATGAGGATTTCGACCTCTGCAGGGTCGACCCTGAAGTAATCGCAGACTCCGCGTCCGCGGCGCCCAACAGCCCCGATGGAGTGAGCCTCGTCAACGAACAGGTGGAACTTGTACTTCTTCTTCAGCTCCAAGATTCTGGGCAAGTTACACATAGTGCCCTCCATCGAGAACAGACCCTCTACGGTAACAAGGATTTTCTTCCAAGGACGGTGGGTGCGCGGCTGACCTTGCGAGATCGCTTCTCTCAAGCGCTTCTCGAGGTCTGCCATATTGTTATGCGCAAAGACCTGGATAGCTGCTCCCGAGAGACGGGCACCGAACCGGATAGACGCATGATTGAGCTCATCGGACAGAATCAAACATCCTTTTTCCATGATAGCCGGGAAGATTGTAGCGTTGGTCACGAAACCCATTGAGAACACCATAGCGGACTCCTTGCCCACGAACCGGGCGATTTGATCCTCGACCTCAGCATGCAGCTTGGTGATTCCCGCATCAGGGGTACCCGCGATAGAGATACCTTCCTTTCGGATCGTCTCTTCCGCATAATCGGTGCAAGGGCCCTCCGACTGCGCAAAGCCGAGATAATTGTAAGAACTGAGATTCAGAGTGTCGGTCGTCGTGCCCGTGAGGCTGAAATGAAGGTTATCCTCGGTGGTCCGGTCGAGGAGGGTGACATGCCTACCGGGAACCCCGGTGATCGGCCGCTCGAAGCAATCGTTGATCCTCTGTTTCAATCGACGCGTGTAGAAGCTCTCAAAGTCACTGTACAACGAAGCGTATCCATCCTGGGGCTTGAGGTGTCGGTATGAGTGAGACCGAGACCACTGCGCCCAAAAATCGTGGAAATGACCAAGGAAGATGAGAACAAGGAAGCTGACGTAGGTGGTCAAGACGAAGAAGTACGGAGGCTCGTCGATGACTGGATCGGGGATCTCTCCTCCCGGGTGTTCGCTGGTGTAGAGATGCGACGGATCGCCGAGGGGCCCGAACTCGGCGTGCTGTTTCGCTAGCTTGCGGATCGCCTCAGGATCGGGGACTTGAGGGTGTGCTGCACCCTTCATCGGGTCCGGAGAGCCGCCGCTGACAGCTCGGAGAGAGGCGATGGCTGTAGAGTGGGCAATGGGGCTATCGGATGGTGCACCAGAACCACCGCTGCTGCCTGGCAGGTCTTTATCTGAGCACTGTTTACTGAGCTTCCACCGAGGCATGTTGCAGGTGTGGCGTCGAGTGATCGAATTGTGCACCACCCCAAGCCTCAAGGCGGAGATACGTCTGTGTCCCTATAGGGTGAACCGGCGAGCGGGAAGGAAAGGTAAGTTAGAGAAGAGAAGCCAGGGAAGTGGAATGACGGTGGAGGTAGTATCGTGAGGTTGCTGAAAGGCCCTCATCATGTAATCGGGGGGTTTGCCCGAGCCCCACTGTTGTCGGCTGCTTCGGGAGATGGTTTGACGATCCGGTCGCTCATTGGGTTCATCCAGTACAAAACCCGGCTTCAAGCGGAGACTTTGGCTGCCTGAGGTATCCAACTCCCGGGCCAGACCGCTGACACAACTTGGTGCACTCACTCGAATTGACTACGACTACATCCATGTCATCCAGCTACAGACCGGTTCACCGGGCAATGTTCTCCCCGTCAGCCTATGGCTGCTGTGTGACGCTCCTTACTTTCTTCTTCTGATCGGAATTAGAGCGGTGATCCTCTAGCTGTAAGTGAGCAGGCAGCAGACTCGCAACATGACCCACTGATACTAAGCCTCGTTGTTGCACAGCATGATTGCATGTAGTATCATGGTCATGTCCTGGCTTAGCCCTGCCTATAATAGAAACAGATCCTTTGGTCTGACGAATGTGCCATAGACCACATCTCGGATATGCGTCGGAAGACGCGTTTCGTCTGTGTCTCCGACACACATGCTTACACACCCTCCGAGGCCGGCTTCAAGCTACCAGCTGGAGACGTCTTGATTCATGCAGGCGATCTCACCAACCATGGTAGCATGGCTGAACTCCGTAGAACAATGAATTGGATCTCTGCGGCTGACTTTGAGGTCAAAATCATCATCTGTGGTCAGTATCTTACAATACCTCGAGGAGCCCAATAACAGAGCCGCCTGTGGCTTGGCCTGGCCCAGAGACGGCGGCGATCCCGCAGGGCTCGGCTGTGAGGGGAAAGAGGTCCAACAGGCATAAGCGTGCTGAAGTATAGAATCATTCCAGGAAATCATGATATTACACTGGACCCAGAATTCTATGCCCGCCACGGCTCGAAATTTCATGGTCAGCATCTCGAAAACACTCAAGAATGCATCGAACTTGTCACCGAAGCATCGTCGCCTTCCATCGTATTTCTCAGGCACGAGTCAGCACTAGTCCGATTGAGTCGGCCCAACGGCCCAAACACCATCTTTAGAGTCTTTGGTTCGCCCTATTCCCAATCATCGGGGACCTGGGCTTATGTATACGACTCCTCGGATGCTGATGCGCTTTGGAGCAGTATTCCATTGGACACTGATATTGTGGTAACGCACACCCCGCCTCACTCACATTGCGACCGCCATGAAGTAGAGGGTGTATCAGTCGGGTGTAAAGCCCTCCGCCAGGCTCTAAGCAAAGTTCGACCGATGCTGGCCGTGTGTGGCCATGTGCACGAGTCGCGAGGCTATGAAAGAGTACGGTGGTTTCCATCATCCATACCGTCATCGACGACATCAAGCACCGACGATCAGCCAAGTCAAGTCATTCAGGGCACCCTCCCTCCACGAGGAAGTCGAAAGCAGAGCCTCGTGGACCTCACAGGAAAGCGGGTACCAAAGCTAGACAATGATGGTTTCTTCGCCGAGTACGTCACAACGTCATTCGGAACAATGTTCCAATCGACGCAGAATTTCATACTAACACGATTGCCTCACCCGTCGCCCAGATGGGCTCAGAAGACCGAAGCCGACCGACCAAGATCGGAGTCTGCCCTTTCATGCCTGAACAGAGGAGACTATGACGATGAAGATAGGCTTCACTTGCACAGACACGAAACATGCATCATCAATGCAGCGGTCATGGCCACCAGCTGGCCCCATCGAGGAGGGAAAAGGTTCAATGCGCCCATTGTCGTCGATCTAGAACTCCCAGTATGGAAGGAGGTATGAGGAGCCGAGTGACTGGAGTGCATGGGCTGAAAATGACGCCTGCCCTTCCTACAACACTCAATCAAGCATTATCTAAGCACAGTACTTTCTTTGTTACCGGTGGTTCTGGTACCATCTAGCTTCAACAAACAGACAGTTTGAGCTTTGACCTCCGGTTTGACGTATTCCTGGCTGTTTTAGGTTGTATGCATCAGTAGTTGCCTTGGAACCGAGAAACTTCTCAACCTAGGCAGTCCGTCCAGTCCGTTCGTTTCTCATTTGGGTAGACATGTCGACGTGATTGGAGACGTACAATCATTACCAAGAACCATGGTGATTTACATCATGAGCTAGCAGCAGCAAGGCGGGTCTTGGAAAAGCGATGCTCAGTAGCTCCCTTGCTCGGTGCGCTGTATGGAATCGTCATATGAGGAACTCAAACCGGGAAGAGGGGTTCCAGTCACCCACTAGAAATAACTAGGCAGGGAGTACAATGAACCTCATGAGCAACGGTCCGCCATGCCTGCTATTGTTAGTACTGTGGATAAAGCAGTTGTTTGATCGCAAGACCCAGTCAGATTACGAAGGTCACATGAGATGTTTATTGCCTGGGGGCCATTTATCTGCAGGTTTGTTTTGTCGCAGAACGGCGATAGAGCGGGGGTCAGCTGGGATCTTGGTGACGTTGGTGTGGACTGAGAACTCTGTACGCCGGATAGTACAGTACCTCAATCAGCAGCTGCCAGTCAAGGATAGGCAATGGAACCCATCTGGAACCGCCTAGTGAGGGGTGCAGGCGCTTGACCCTGTCGTATGAGCAGGGATAGGAGAGTAGTGAGAGGGGACGCGGCAGGTTTGTCAACAAAGGCGGGCTTGTTTCCCGAGCGCAAACTGCCTTCGAGCCACAGACGAGAAGAAGTCAACTGGGTGGGGAGCAGATCATGTTAACATGCAGAGATGTGCACACGCCACCCCCAGTAAACTGCTGGCTGAAGTTGGGACATCCGACAAGGAGTGAAGGCGCTGAATCATGGTGGGTCTCAAAACACCGGAGAGGTGGGGTATCCCGAGGGAAGGATAAACTACGAGTACCATGCCTCAGGTACCAAGTCCTACGACAGTAGGTATGATGTAACTGATGAGAAGGTGTGTCGGCGATCTGCAACATTTTGATTTATCTCCTTCTCACGTAAATTCAAGACCTTCATCAACAAGCTTCCTCGATGGTCTAACGGTCATGATTTCCGCTTGTCAATCCCATTCGGGAACAAGCGCGGGAGACCTGGGTTCGACTCCCAGTCGGGGAGATCTTTTTTTGGCGCTCTTTCCGCTCTTTAACTCTTTTGTGCAACCAACTGTGCTACCATGAAGAAGCGGCGAGCCAACTCTAGCCGCGTGGCTCGGCTGTGCCTGTTTTTCTTTTGTTCTTCTGGGCCACTTTACCGATATTTTGGGACAGATCAGCTCGGCATGCTGATCGCTCCAGAGATGGGCGCTGCCGTGGAATGAGCCCCCGGCTGAGGTGGAGCCGCATCAGGCTTCGTATCGATATCATCCAACAGCCCATTCAACGTTTGAAATTGGCCCTGACGCCGCGAGGACACCTCCACTGCCCAGAGTCTGAGCAGCGCCACCTGGCTGGGGTTGGCGCGCTAAGGCGGCCATGCCCATGCGTTTTGGTTCAATGGAGCTAGTGGCTAACACTAACGCTGAAAGAGGTAAGGTGGCCGCCGACTGGATTGATAAGATGCAGCCGGGGCCGAAAGTCATCGGAACCATTGGTGGGCGCTCGGTCATCCCCCTGGTGCCGCCTCCAGCTGGGGGTGACTGTGGAATCGTCGATGCTTACTGTATCGAATCCGTCACTCTTCCACGAGGCACTTGCGCCTCCGCGCCTCCACTTGCAGGCTTTCCTAGATGACCTCTGATCTGAAAATCTGAACTTGACAAATACTTGAGGGTTACAAAAAGCACACCCACCCGGTCAGCCCATCGGAGATGGTCATACGTATGCCGTACACCATCTCGGCGGAAGGGATGCTTGAAGGATGGATCGGGGTCGGATTTTCTCATCCAGCGATCATCAACTCAGCCGCTTCTGCGCCTAAGACGTTGCTGGAGCAAAAGCCACAAATACGCTCCGATTTGGCGAAGGCTGCTTTAAGCACCTGCTAACGTGTCGTGCGATTTTGTGCTACGTCTCCTACCTCAGAGGAAACCTCTTGACGAATGTCCAAGGTTGCCGCCGTAGTTTTTCCCACCTTCCAACTGTGATTGGACGGTCTTCAACCAAAGATTAAAGCACCCGTCTGCACGCTAATGCCGGGATAATCATTGCATGGTGCGCGGCCAAGATGGTTGGCCAAGCCTGGCTTCTGGCGCAGATGACTCGGTCCAGGGTCCAGTCTCCAGTTAGTCATTTCTTCGAGAACAGTCAGCTTCTTGAGCAACACTTGCCGAAGATGTCATGAACACGGGTAACATGGCGTGGGACAAGCGATTTAATCTGACAGGCCGGTGCGAGGTAGGATAGGCCGAGGATGACCATAGAAGACATCTCCTCGGACTTGCCCTTGCCATTTCCACCGCACTATGGACCGAGGTGAGGTAGGCCTACAGGCTATCGGGTCACGCCTCAGCATTTGTGCTGGATTGGCTGCTAGGAGGGTTGAGAGCCAGGGCTGAGATTGGACATGAAGACTGGGAAGCAGAGGTCGATAACTCACATATCAACCACGGAACCGCTCGGGATCAACCCACGGGACTGTCCCACGCGAATCGGATCGGATCGGTCACGATAGGCGACAGTGGTAACCTTGGGTGCTCCGTCAGGTACCATGTTAAATGGTCTCCCCTTCATGGCTGAAAATACTGCACGCTTGCGCTGAAACGAGTGAAATGTGTGATGCTCGGTCAGTGTGCAAAGCTAGCCTGCTCTGTATACTGTAGAGTAGGGGATAACAATCAAGGGGGGAAGGGGAGGGGGAGAAGCAATTGGCCGAGCTAATTCAAGGCTGCAGAACCCGGTGTATCATCTTCGGTGAGGCAACAGGAGTACGATGCAGCGGGGAAAAAAGCGCACGCAGATGACCACGACAATGATTGGACTATAAAGCCCTCTCGGTGAAGGCAAAAGGTGACGAGAGTTCGGACAACCTATGGGGGGGCTCGCAAAGCAGCCAAGATGGTGTGGGAATCGTGAACAGCGGAGACGCGAACTAAAATGTTGCAGTCACGGCGGGCGCCAACGAGCAATGATTGTCATGATGTTTGGACAGTTTGGCGGGAGGTGGTGCGGGGTTTCTGACTGCCGATGACGGCCACTGGTCAACACAAACAGGGTTTAGGGCGGATGGTGAGATTAATGAGGGACGCCAACAGTCGGATTACGGCCGATGATTAGTTGGCATCATCATCGCATCTGATCAATCAGCATGCAAGACGGCAGTGTCGAATCTTTCTCTCTCCCTCTCTCGGACTGGAGACTGGAGACTGGTAGAGCAGCAAACCCGAGGTCGATCGGAAAGAACCCACTAACTGCCCCGCATACCCTGGCCGGTGACGGTCGCCGTGGTGAACTAGGTGGTGTGTGCTCATCTGACAGGAAGAGATGTGATGCTAGGAGTAGGAGATGGGACAGGCAAGGCAACAAATGTTTCCTTGCTCGCCAAACGCTCACTTTCACTTAGAAGAAGATGTGGTTGCGGTGATTGACTAGCAAAGCATTGATTTATTGAAGTAGGTAGTTAAGGTAGTGGTAGTGGTCACAGGATCTGGGAGTTCTCGATCGAGGGGAAGTCAAGGACCGCACGCACCACTGGAGTCCGTCGGCCTTACCACCACTGTTGTGTTAGGTATGTTAGGTCAAGTAGGTAAGTTAACCAGTCCATACGGTAACCCCCTACACATTTAGAATTGGATTTCGGAGTATAGCTAGCACAACCGAGTTTTTGTACCACACCAGATTCCAGATTCAGGTTCGGCTTGACAGGTTGTAAATTGACTCGGGGGATATTCTATTTATCTCGTCTTGCATCTCATTGTGAAGACAGAGATGGGATCGGTAGAAACCCCCTCCAGGTTGCCTTAGGCCAGACATGCCAATTGACCGCTTGTATCTTATCCATGAGAAGGATACTTTCTCGAGCATTGTCTCATTGTCTGTCTCTGTCTCTCTTTGCCCAAGCGGGGACTCTTCCCCCCCATCTAAGGAAATAAGGACGGACAAAAGTCCCCTCCGGTGGTTTCATCCACTTCACCGCTGCTTCTGAGTTGGTCCCATTCCTTCTCCTCAAGAAGGCGACAAACGCCTGAACCTGAAGGCAATTGTGGTATTCACTGGCTGAGACTGATTGAGTCACTGTCAGGGGCCACACAAAGAGGACAGAGAAGAAGGAGAAGAGGTGAAGAGAAGAAGCAGGGCGTCTCCTTCCCTTTATCATCACTTCCATATCCTGATTACTCAGTGGAATTCTTCCTTCCTCTCTCTCTCTCTCTCTCTCTTTCTCATCAATCAGCATCTAACTATCATCTGGCATTAATCATTCCTTCCTTTCTCCTCCTTTGGCGCCAACTTGTGGAGAGGAAATAGCCAGTGGCATCATCGAGCGTCTTCTACCAGTTTCAGCCAACGCATCCAGTTCATCCTGCTGTCATTCTAGCTCTTCTCACCATCATCCACCATCATAATTATTCATCAGAGTCTGAACCGTGTTCGTGCCTATTCAGCATTGCTACTAAGCTCCCTAACGTGGTGCCACTTCACGCGGCTATTCCTTCTTTGGTTTCTGGGGGGTTGATTAGTACTGTATTGTTTTCATTTTGTGCTTTTAGTTTCTCATTTGATTTTCATTTTATAATTTTTCTTTTTCTTGTCTTTGAACGAAATCGGACATCAGACCTCAGCGTGGCGCAGTCTGCTTGGATCTGACCTTAGATTATAATTCTCCATTTTTTTTTTCGCCCCTCTGGGAGTTTGGTTGCCTCTCCCGTGGGCGACGATACTTTGACTTTACTTTACTGACTTTACCATACTCACTCACACTTACTGCCACTGACTGTTCTTGTTGTTGTTCCCCTGAGGGGAAAAAAAGCCCAGAAATTACCCGGACCCAAACGAACCCCATCGCCCCAGTTTCCCCTATTGGTCTTACTACTGATTACTCCCATACCAGTCAGTCTTCAGTAATAATACCCTGATATTCGCTCTCTTTCTCGCCCTCTCTCTCTTCTCCGTCCCATTCTCCTCCCCTTTCTCTTCTGCTGCCGGTTTTCCCCTGGCTGACTATTGTTGTTGTCATCCATTCTCCTCCAACCTCCCTTTCTCCCATTTCCAAATTCTTTCCCCCTTTTCCCTTCCCCTCCAATTATTATTCTGGCTGCAGCACATTGCTGTAACCCTCCTGACTCCGCTTCTCCCCCATTCTCGCATGTTCTCCATGAATTGGCCGCATATCCGATCTGGTGGAATATCTCGACTATGAGCAATTGATCGTCACGAGAACCCACGTCACCCCATCGTTCCCGTTCATCCGCCCACTCACCCCCAAGCGTACCTGCACGATATCACACTGCCTCCATCCGGAACTCGCCTCGCAGCTCTGTTTATTGTCCACCGCCTCGGTCGCTTCTGGTCCCTTTTATACAACGCCACACAACGCCTCTTACTCTTCCTCTCATATACTTCCCATTCCAATCTCAACTACTTTTCTATTCTAACCATACTAGCATCGTATGGTCTTTGTGCTTGGTGCGCTTGATCAATTGATCACAGCTTTCACATCATGTCCTCCACCCCAGATATCGACCCATATGTGGTGTTGGGGGTCCAGAAAGATGCGACGCTCGCTGATATCAAGTCCGCTCATCGCAAACTCGTGCTGAAGTGCCATCCCGACAAAATCAAGGACGAGAGCCAACGAAGTAAGGCTCAGGACGAGTTTCAAAAAGTCCAACAAGCCTACGAACTTCTTTCCGACGAGACGAGGAGGGCCAAATATGACAACAAGGTTCGCCTTGCCGAGCTTCGACGGGAGATGCTGGCGCGTGGCGGGAATCCCGACGGATCGTCTTCGCGAAGCAACGGCACGGGTTCCAGCGGTGCCCGTGAATATCGCAATGGACGGGTTTACGAGGAAAGAACCCCGGCCGACGCCACAAACTACTACGATGACGATGCCCTATACACCGATGGGACGCGACCAACAACTCGCAAGTATGATGATTATGGCAAGCGACGAGCTAAGGTGGCGGAAGAGAAGAAGAAGACCAAGAGTGTCCCTCTGAGTGCTGCGCGCGCCGCAAAGGAAATGCTACGGGACAACGTCAAGTCGACCCACTCATCTCGCGACAAGTACCGTACCAAGGAACGTAAGCGGGATGCCTACGACAAGAAGTATCCTGAACGGGCCGCCCCGTACAGCGAATCCGAAGATGACGGTGCCGCCTCCGATTCCAGCGCTTCCTCATATTACGTGCGAGTCACACGACCCTCCGAATCGAAGCGAAATCGGGAGTCTTCCACACGCAAAGCTCGACCCATGGAGTCAGCCCGCCGCCCCGAGCCTGCACGTTACGAATCGCAAGAGTACTCAGATCTGCTGGAGTCAAAGCATGAAAAGATGCATACTACCGCACGGGATTACATCCTGCGGTCGAAGGGAACCGTTCCCATCGAAATTGATCGACGGGCAAGGGCCTCCCGGTCGCCTCCTCGGCCTCATGCTTACGATTCAGCCGACCCCGAGTCCTCTTCATCCCGGCGCTCGAATCGATCCAACCGGCCCAGCAAAGAAACCGTGCGCAGCTCCAGTTCGCGCAATGGCTCCTACGAGCACGTCGAGTCCCAGTCTCGATCCTATGATACCAAAGTACCCAGCATGCCCACGGCTGCAACCTCGCCAGCTGTCAAATCTTCGTCGATTCGACCTTCTCTCCAAACTTCACGGTCTGCATCTACTGCACATTCTCATTCTCGCCCGAAGACCTTGAGTCGTTCGGAGCAGGTGCTTCTGAACATGGTAGATGGTGGTTCTCGCGCAACGAAGCTACGAACCACGGAGAAATACGATTCCGGATATTCTAGCCCGGGAACCCCAGAAATGCCACCAGGGGAAAGTCCGACCAGAAGATACAGGATCGTGACGGATCCAGAACCAGTGTTGGTAGAGCCGAGCATGCCGTCACCCCACGCTTCCTCAAGACACGCACGGGGCTACTCACCGCCTCGGCAAGAGCGTTCGGGGACCACCCGTTCCATGCCAAAACCACCCGTGCGCAGCAGTACTTACGCCTATCCGTCGGAGTACGCGGCTCGCTACGAGTCCTCATCTCGACCCAGTGCCTCGAGGCAGTCTTCTTCCCGACCCCTCTATGGGGAGGTAGAATACGCTCGTGGCAAGGACCGGGACTATAAGTATGCGCGCGAGATTGGCCCTGAGCATATTCCACATTCCGGTCGCGATGCCCATGCCCGGCGCATGGACGAATACCCCCATCCGCCGATAGGCAGGCGACAATCCGCTTATGCTCAATAAGTCATTTCTTTTCGCACCTATCGACGCAACCAATTCCACTCTACAACAAATTACCCGCGAGGACTATCCGAAACACCTGCTATGATCTACCTGGATCTTCTGTGATATGAAGACAATATCTCGCAATTGCATTTTGAGGAGTCCCTCTAATTCATGCATTTATCCCCTTCCAGATGTCGATGCCCTTATGGATTTCAGCTGTTTCCCACATACATCACTACTGTGACTTACTTATCTTCTTCACTTATCATTGCAACTACGCCGGCGCATGGGATGGATTCTATTTTGGTTTGGTGCATCTACTTATCGAATAGCCAAGGACTTGGGAGGAAATCAGGATGAGAGACGGGGGCGGGGCTCCCCAGCTTTCAAGGAGTCTATGATGATGATTACGAGTGACGAAATCGATTTGGGAGGAAGCGCTTCACATAACAACATATCCACTTTAGTACAGTTACAGTAACAAACTACCACATCCACACTACCATACCAATCTCAACAATGGAACTTTACATCAGACCCGATCAGATCCCTTACCTTTCTTTACCTCTATATTAGCCAAGTAGTCTGTTCGCTTGACATCATCCTAAGCTGTATCTAGCCTCCTTCCGGACCTTTAATTCGATTCCCCCACCGTTCGCATACAGCTTGGGTATTCATGCATTTCCCCCTCCAAGCTGCAAATACTTAATTTCGCCCCCTACGTAAGGTGGAAGCAAGAGGTAGAGACCAGGAGGGGGGGAGGGGGTGGGGGGGGGGGGGAAAGGGAGAAGGGTTATTCCTAACAAGCCAGTCAGCCATCCCTGAATCCAGAGCCCAGAGCCCAGAGTCCATAACCCACTGTATCTACATCCGCCCTATTCAGGTAGTAAGTAGGTGAGAGAGAGAGAGTGAGCGGGCATGAACGAGCACGAGCCCGGAAAAGTGAAGAGCGAAGTTGGGCCTCCACTTAGACCCAAGCCCAAATCTCCCCGCCCACCACCATTCTCAGTCCTTCACATGTACTTCCCGTTCGCGCGTTGCTCCCTGGTCGTTCGTAGGGTAGTGTAGTTATATTTAGAAAAGCAATAGAACAAGAGTCTAATGGTGGCAGCAAGGTTGCATTATACAAGGTGAAACTTTGACACCTTATGGTTGTCTTTGATTTGCGGCACTGCGGACATATATATATAAATATATATATATAGCTCGAGGAAGCAAAGCAAACTGTTCCCTATCCCTGGTCATACTTCATCGCGTCAGGCATTTACATTGGATTTAACCGGGAAAGAATGAACAGAGGGCCAGGAAAATGTGCAAGATTGGAAAGAGCAGTAGATGTTGGAAAAGAAATTAACCACGGTCGAAACACAGGGAAACCGGGGGATCGGGGATGCTACATTCGGAGCTCGGACTAAGCGGGTATGTATGTGGATTGTGCAGGTGTACATGCATAGGGATGTGAGTGTGATGGGGTGGGACGATGGTGATGTGTGTCTTAGACAGGGGAGAAGGGGGATGAATGTTCTGGCTCTGGCTAGATCACGGTCTCTTCTCAGTTGCGCTGCTGAGACGTGATCGCTGCTGGCTGAGGCTGAATGCGGTTGAAGAGGGTGACTGCGCTACAGTTGAGTGGGTGGGCGAACTCGCTCAGTATGGAAAAGGAAGATTGCATTGAGGCAGTATCGTCTAGGCTAGAATGAGTTGATCGAAGGTGAGGGATGAGAAAGTGGGATGTCAGATGAATGGATGGAAGGTAGATGAATTAAGATCACGCGGCCTGCCTCCTCGGAGGCAGGCGGGCAGTGAGTGGGATATGATATCAGTCACGTCGTCCGTCCGCCTCATGGCTCGCTCCAGTCAACCTGATCCGTCACAGGGTCTGCACCATCCTTGGCATATGTGATTCGCAGACGTAGGCGAAGTTTAGGCGGGAGGGCCTGTGGCAAATATTAATACACGTGCAAGGAATTAGGCAGAAAAGCAGGATGACTTACCCCTGCCAGGCCTGCAACTTTAAGCATCTGAATCCCCTCGTCACCAGTCTCCAATTCTGCTTTGCTGATCGCATTCAGCTGTAACCGCTGGCTCTTGGGAACAGCAGCCTGTAAGCCCACGTTGGAAAATTGACCAAAGTTCCCGACATTACGGAACCGCGCCTGGATTTGCGCATTACCGTTGCTGGCACGTTGAACCTGGAGTGTGAGAGTCAAGTCATTCTTGTTGTATGCTGTGTGTACAGGCGCGGAAGGTGCAGGACTGGGAGCTGGCGACGCAGCTGATCCAAGGCCTCCTAAGAGATCTAAACCTGAAGAAGCAGACTGCGATACGTTGGGGGAAGGCGAGGTGTCATTAGAGTCAAAGAGACCCATGATCGCGCTAGTATTGACGGATCCAGCCGGCTGTTGCGCGGGTTGAGGAGAAGGTGAAGACAGGCCTGCATCGCCACCGAGAATATCCGCCAGCAGATCGGCCGTGTTCTGTGAACCATTGGTGGTCGGGCTAGTTACTGGAGCATCGCCACCCATGAGGTCGAGTAGCATGTCCTGCTCCGCCTGCTTGACTGGCTTCTTGGACTTGTCTTTCAGTAACTTGCTCTGGCGTTTCTTGGCCGGAGCACCCAAGACTCTTTGCTCTTCCCGGATCTCGGGAGGGGGCATGCGTTCCAGGACACCTCGGCGGACCTGATCATATCCAAAAAGATTGGTGTACTCGACAGCCCGCTGTTGAATCTCAACGCTCAGGTCAGCGGTCCGGCTGCTAAGGAAGCGACGGAGCCGCTCGACCTCGGCTGGATCGGACATGCGCACGGTTAGCTTCATCGAAGCCGTGGTGATATATTCAATCACAGTCTGGGTAGCATATGTGCTGTTAAGGATATTGTTGAACAGATCGACAATGTCGCTCTCCTTCACCTCCTTGACCAGTTCCTCTTCTTCATATTGGCCACCACGCAGTAGATTGTCGCCGTATTCACCAATCACCCAGGTGGCGGCAAGGGTGAGGCCCTCCTGCGAGATGTCCTCCTTCAGCGCCAGGTAGAGCTTCTGCACGGAGTAGGTCTGCAACTCCGGAGTAGTAGCGATAAGGCGGACAAAGGAGGACAGAATCTGCTCCTTCACGTACGCACCAGCAAGCTTAAGCACACGAAGGATGGTATCCACATGCCAGCGTTTGTTAGGAGCATAGCGGTCCGCAGCAATGCCAATCTGCGTCGTCATCGCAGGCTTGAATTCATTATCGGCAACTTCCAAGAACGCAAGCAATTCCCGAACCAGGACGCGGACGTTACTCTCGTTGATGAGCATAAAACTCAGATCCAGAGCTCGTCTCCGGATACTGATATCTGGGTCGCGGAGACACTCCAAGATGGTGTTGCGGTGTCGCTGGACGGCATTGGGCTCAATGGCAACGACCTTGTTTAGCGTGTTGAGAGCGACGTAGCGGATGTTGTTGTCCTTGTTTGTAAGGAACTTTCCGAGAATGTTGACACCCAACACTCGGAGACCTGAATCCGCCTCAATGTCGAGAATGGTGAGAACAGCCTCGTAGAGAATGGCATTGCCGACGTTCTTGGTCGAATCAGTGTTGGTAGCCACCTGCGCCAGAATGTCGTTGATTGACTCGCTAGTTGCCGCGTCTCCTCTTCCCAAAACTCTGAGCAGGCGTAGAATCTTGACCTGCAGGAAAGGATCCGTGATACCAGAAACGTCATGTTCCGGAGCATATCCCGAGCTAGTCAGTCCCTTCAGGGCACGCACAAGTCCACCCGCCAGAGGCCTGAACATCTCAATCACCCCTTCTTGGCCTTCCTCGGCCTCTTCTGCCTCGCACATATCGATTACCAAGGTCAGACCACATAGCAGAACACCGTGGTTCCGATCTGACAGCAGGGTTTTGGCCTTTTCTAAGAAATGCTCCTGAAGGTCTGGAACCTTGCGACAAACGCGCATGGCGCACAGCGCTGCCTTTCTCCGAATGTACGGGTTCGCGGTAGACATCAGGGATTCGACTTCGGGGAATAGGTCTCGAGACATCTCGACGGAGGCGATATTGCCCAGCGCACAGAGGGCCAGGCCAACGATATATTGATTGGAGTGATTAAGGTCGCTACAACACATTAGCGGGTTTCATCGGCGACGCTGGCATGATTACTCACTTCTTTAGGGAATTCGTTACCAGCGTCAATACTTCTTGGTTTTCGTCCAGCAGTAGCATAGTGCCCAGATATCCCAGTCGCTTGTCTGCAAAGCGGTGGGATGCCAACAGCTTCAGACACTCGATCTGACCAAAGTGCGTCCGCTCACCCAAGGTGAACAGGTACAGAAGCTTGGCCACATTATTTCTCCTGTCCACAAGTATAAGCAGTCGGCTCAGGGGAGTAAATAACAGCGATGGAGTGTTCTGCTGACCGGACGTTTGAATCGTGGCTCTCTTCTCTGAAGGAAGCACGGATGGCCGCACTCTCCTTTTGAATTACAGCTCGTTCGTCGGCGATTGTCTTGGCCGACCGCACATTTCGAATGAATTGCTTGACTGTACCATTGGGGCGACAAGGAAAACAATGTCAGTGACTGGTAGGTCAAATTGTGGGCCAGAAGGCATCTCCATGTAGAGGGATAGGGTTGCTTCACTTACGGGATGCCATGGCGGGCACAAGGACCCCTTACGGGGAGATACAAGAGAAAGGCGGGGGAGGTCGCCCGGAGAGGGGAGGATCGGGGGGAAAGGGGGAAGAAAGCGAAGAATCCAGTCTGCGCAGTCCCAGGAGGTTAAGTAGAAGGGAGGAAGAAGGGGGTTGATACTGGGAAATCAATCAGAGTAGCAATAATCAAAGATAAAGATCGGGCCAACAGACCACCAAGTCTGCGTTCAGGACTGTGAGTTTCCAGATGGGTTGAGCCTCGCCCGCTCCTGCGACTTGGCCGGCTTGGCACTTGCCGTCTGGTTTGGGTTTAGCGTCTCTCGTGCTCTGTCCCGCGCTATCTGTCACGTGGCCGACTTGCCTTGCTGCCTTACCCGTCAGGCAGGAAAGCGTACTCGTATCTTTTCCCCAGTCTACCCTTACATCATCGGTCAGGTACCATCCCGACTGGTGCGGAGACTCGGCTTAACCACAGTTCCGAAGACCGGGATCAGGCGCGCCTCATGACGTCCTCGAAATACTAACTGGTACTGACTAACTGACTGACTGACTGACTGGCATTAAATCAATTTAATCTTCCTTCATGATGGTACGCTATCGACAGGCTACTGCAGGAGATACATGCTGATGATCATCTTTACGAAAGCCTTAAGCATACATTACATCTGCGCCTCAATGTCTGACTCTCTTTAGACTACCCCTTAAAAGATCTTTCGTATTCGTTTTGGTCGGTTGGTCCCTGCGCAAACCAGCCTTAACAGGTGTTTTGTGTTGTGTAAGACTGTGCCCGAAGTATAGGATCCACATAAGAGCGCATCAAATCCCCCCTCGCCCTTCTGGGTCTCTCTCTTGTCGCAAGTTCGTTGCATGCGTGGCAAAAAGAGCAGATCCGTTTATGCCCAGCATTGTCTCATATATCAATTGCTTTGTTTCCCTCCCCGCTCATTCTCTGCCGGTTCGATGTGAAACTCCCTCGTCCCCCTTTTCCTGTCCTTCATCCGATTAGACCAGCATGTCTTCTTCCATCCATCAGGTGGATGGTTCCCCATTGTTACGGCCGCGTGTCATTCCGGCCATAAAGAAGTCCGCGGATCCTACGTCAGTCCCTCAGCTGGCAAGTCTGGAATCAAGGTACGCAGCCTCCCAACCAAGGGGTCCCTCGGAGAATTAGCAGCAGCAACCCTCGACTGACAATCTTCACCTGCAGCGGCCAGACGACTCCTGTCCCTGAAGATGCCCCGCCTTCCCTCCATTCGATTTCCACGGCCCGAAAGCAAGCTCGCGCGCGTACACGCATCTTCTATACCATCGACTATGTGCCCCGAGTATCCCACTTCGACCCCAGAAGCGACTACCGCAACTTCCGCGGTTTCTATACCCTCTTTTGGATTGCACTATTCATCATGGTTGTCACCACAGCACTTCGGAATATCAAGGATACTGGTTACCCTTTGAGGGTGAGAGTCTGGAGCCTTTTGTCGGCAAACGTGTGGTCCATGGGCTTCAGCGACCTGGCTATGGTGGTAAGTAGTGCTGCGGTGCTACCCCTCCATCGCATCATCAGGGCGCACGGTGGCTTCTTGCGCTGGAAAGGAGGGGGCATGGTGATGCAAAGCATCTTCGAAGCAGCCTGGGCTTGTCTGTGGATCAAGTAAGTTGCAAAAGCTACACTCAACTCTTGCCGCGATTCGTTGAGCTAACTATTGGGCTCCAGTTGGCCCTTCATGATGCGCTGGACCTGGACCGCGCAAGTGTTCTTCACCCTCCATACACTGACGATCCTGATGAAGGTTCACTCATATGCCTTCTATAATGGTCATCTCAGCGAGACTGAGCGCCGTTTATCCTCCCTCGATAAACCCGGCTCCGTATCAATGGAAGCTCCTGTGCCGTATCCGGATGCCTCCCCGCGGCGACACGCGGCAACCCGGCGCCACAGCCATCACGCACGATCCGAATCAGTCGCAGAGTTGCGCGAGGACCTAGCCACGGAGCTGACCTCTCCAATGGGCAATGTCACATACCCACAGAATCTAACGGTCACCAACTATGTTGATTTCATCTTCTGTCCCACCCTGTGCTACGAGTTGGAATACCCTCGGAACAGTGACCGGGACTGGATCGAAATCGGCTTGAAGACCCTCGCGATCTTCGGGTGCATTTTTCTCCTGACACTGACGAGCGAAGAGTTCATTGTCCCAGTCCTGAGTGAAGCCAACATCCAGCTTCACACGGTGTCAAGCATGACAGAAAAGGCTCTAATCATGGCGGAGACCATCAGCATGCTTCTCTTCCCTTTTATGATCACCTTCTTGCTTGTGTTTTTGGTCATCTTCGAGTATGTGCTGGGCGCTTTCGCCGAGCTGACCTGTTTCGCCGACCGGCATTTCTACTCGGATTGGTGGAATGCGTGCGATTGGTACGTCTTCGGACACACACACCACACCCACTGTCTCTTATAGCCCTCGATCTACACTGCAAATAAGGAGCTAACAAAGTCAACGCACAGGCTCGAATTCTCGCGTGAATGGAACATCCCCGTGCACCACTTCCTCCGCCGCCACGTCTACTTCTCTTCCCTAGCGAACTTCTCCAAACCAGTGGCCATGTTCATCACCTTCCTCGTCAGCGCCATCGCCCACGAACTGGTCATGAGCTGCATCACCAAGAAGCTCCGCGGCTACGGCTTCCTGGCCATGATGCTCCAGCTGCCTATCGTCGCGGTCCAGCAATCCAAGTATATCAAGGGCAAGACCATCCTCAAAGTATGGGCACCCACTTCCCAACCTCAGTCCGTCCTTGAAACACAACCGAAACGTACGTGCGCTAACCCCGCCTCACCAACAAACAGAATTCCTTCCTCTGGCTATCCATGATCCTCGGCCTATCCATGGTAAGTCGTTCCTTTGTACCTCCTGCTGCCGTGGTTGCAGTTTAACTAACACTCTCTACCATTCTAGATGTGCGCGCTCTACGTCCTTGTGTGATACTGCAACCGTACAATCCACACCTTTATATACATACGTACAAATACACCAGTTATAACTGACAAGCCGAGGGGAGGCGCAATACATACACACGCCACCAACCCCACTTATACCATATTGTACAAGATTTCAGGCAAAGCATTTTCCATATTCTGTGTGTTAACATCTCATACTTCTTCTTCTTCTTCTTGAATGTCTTCATTGCATGTATAAATACCCCATCCTTCTTGAATGTGTTTGGATCGCCTGTACAATATCATATGCCTAAACCACTTTGGGGTCGATAGTAACTATCGAATTTGTGAACCGAACAGTTCTACCGACGAGTTTGATCAATCAGTTTGGGTGCGAGTAGCAAAGACGGGAGACTGGTTCTATCGCCTTCTCTACAAGAGTCTTCATGAACAGTCATAGATGCTATAGTATGTCATTCAAGATCTCTTCCTCTGCCTTGCTCGACGCTGCATACACGCTAGTCCACACTACAGAACTGCATACGAATACCGCAGTCAGGCGAAGAAAGCAACCAACAGTCAAAGATGAGTCCTATTTCCATTCTGCGCATCAAGATGACTAACGTCTGCGTCTATGCCCAATTCATGCGGAGCAATCAAGCGAGAAGAAAGACCAAACAATGACCATGAGATCGCCTTTCGAGACAAAAGCTTATAAACCAACCGGTAATATGCAACAAGGACACTCATCAAACAGATATTCCTGGACTAAAAAGAAACGACTCGAGAAGGAAAAACCTGGAACCACCTAGCTTCAGTCGACCTGAGAGATATAACTGGTAGAGTAGCCAGCAAACCGTGCCAATGTAACCCTTTATGAATTTGGCACACCAATGTCGATAAGGTGCTCAACACCTTCTTGAACAGTCCATGGGGCAAAGAGAAAAGAGAGCGGGAGAAAAAGAAGATATGTCATGTTGAAAGACAAAGAGGCCAAAGTCCAACTCCAATGGCAGATGTGTATGCACGCTTCTAGATATGCTCGATCGGCTCCTCGGGAAGAAGGATGACTCTATCCCGGCGGTCACGGGGGAGACAAGCCTTGAGAGGAGGCTGAACGATGTCATTGAAAAGAAAGGTCCCATAGACCAGCAGGGCGAATCCGGCCACTTGGAGCCATTTGAAGGTCTCCCAGCCTAAGGCTAGAGAGACGAGCCAGATGAATAGAGTGCGGCAGGTGTCGATAGTACTACGTGATGTAGCGGAAACGGTGCGAGTGACGGAGAGACCGAAGAAATTGAAGCCACTAAGACAGAGAAACTTAGGCAAGTCAAGATGGTGAAGTGTAACAAGAGCACTTACCCAATGCTAATCATGATCAGAACGCTGGAGATAGCAATAGATCGGTTGTGGAGGATTTGACTCCAGCCTTCCTTGGCATCGAAGTAGCCATGGCGACCTGCCTCGGTCCGTCCGACCGCCAGATACAGAATGATCGAGCCGATAACAGTCACACAGAACCCAAAAATACCCTCCCAGCCGACGACCTGAAGAGGGTCCATGGCGTAGTTCTCCAAAATCCACTCCTCCGACACAAATTGCGAAGCGGTGAAGATCTGGGCCGCGGCGATGAGAAGGACACCAATCAGTGCTTGCACTGCTTCTGGAGTTCGAGCAGTGGTCTGCACTTCCCTCAGGGCATGCGCGATGACTGCTGCTGCATTCTCTTGAGAGGGATCATGGCCCTGGCTACCGAAGAGCGCACCTGCAAGGCCAACTAGCGCAACACCAAGAACAACCACAAAAAGGGCAATCCAGTGGTAGAGGTGGAGCTTTCGATGGAGAAAGATGACACTGAAGAGGCCAACAAATAGGACGAGTGCACCACGCGTCATTTGATAGATACTGGCGGCAACAAACAGCAGGCCGACGTTCATCAAAGTGGTCCCTGCAATATCACAGCATGCCGGTGCTGCAAGGAGGAAAATCTTCCGTCCCTGAAGAAGGACACGCCCATCGGGTGTTTCAAAGGGCTTAGTAGGGTCGTGGGTATATACAGGACCCCGAATCGTGTAATCCTCTTCTTCTTCGTCAAGCCCATCGTCGTTATGTACGGGATTATAGCCACCCGCGAGAAGAGGCGACGAGTTGCTGGATAAGCGAGGGGCGATGTAGCGCTGGTAGAGATGGGATAGCAGTATGACAACCCAGCAGCCCATCTCACCAATGAACATTTGAACGCTATAATGTGCGATCGATATCAGCAAATAACTCGATTGATGAACCGAGACAGATCAGATGACTTACGTCTGGATCACCGGTTGCTCAAATGTATGACGATACTTGGGGTCCGGAGAGTCACAATTTCGTACACACTGCATATCCTGTTATACCATTGTCAGCCACTTTAGCGAAAGCGAAATCCTCAGTAGAGTGTCGAACCTGATACTTGTTGAGGATTGTATTGCATACTCCAGTCACGAGCATCATCGTGACTAGAAAGGGCACGGTGGCCTTGCTCGCCATGGTTGCTGTTGGAACGGATAATAGCTGGGAGTAAGCTCAATATACGAACCATAAGCTCTTGAAGAGCTAGCCTGGCTTATTTGGGGTTGGGAGTGGAAGGAGAAGAAAGCTAGTAGTGTTTATTCGAGGAGGCGCGATAAGGACCTAGCCAAAGAGCGCAATAGGCCCGTCACATAAATTGAGGAAGAAAACCGAGAAAAGATGTTAAGATGGAAACCTATTCTATTGATAGCCCATCCTGGAAGAATATAGGGAGGAGGGTGAAGGGCCTAAGGTGGAACACGGAACTAACAAAGACAGTGATAAGTGATGATGATGTGAAGAAGCAATGGAATTGGGGGGAGGCGAATGACGGGGAAAGAATTGGGCGGCCTGAGGTTTCAAGCTTATCGGCAGCTGATCGCCCGGTGGGGCGTCACGGGATCCTCCTGTTACTTATCTATCCTATCTAATTATCTACCGAGGTCCTCATCCTCATGACTATGGCCCCCGGAAATCCATGGCCGGTTTAGATCAAGAGTTGAAAGTCTACCATTGGAAATGTAAGAGGCTGGAAATGATCGACTTGTCATGTCCAATGGATTCAAAAGCATATGAAATGCCGCTAGCTAATCTCGAAAATCCCACTCGAGACACATCGCTGTCTGGGCAAAAAGACTCTTCTTTTTTCCACTCGCTCCTCGCAACGCCATGGCTAAGAAAAATGATAGTTAAGTGTGGACAGAAGACTCAGCAAATCATCCAAAGAATAATGTACAGCCAGCGTGTATCAGCCATGCCGGCAGAAAGTTAGAGACCACCACGCCGTTCGCCAACTCAAATCATAAACAGCGCTCATGATAGAACCGAAAATATGACCCATATCACATAGCGATTATGGCAATTCCGCTGTCGTCAACGTTCATACCCGTGTCTTTACGGTCGAGCATATCCCAATCGACGTCGTCCCAGGAGTCGTTCATCAGAAGGCCATCCTCAAATCGACTCGGGAGGTTGATCCAATCCACAGGTATCCAATTCTCGTCGGCAATATCTCCCCCATTCTTGCCATTGACCTCTTCACTCTTCGGGAGGTCGTTGTCCTTAGGAGTCTGGGTGATAAGGCCAGTCTCGATTGAATCCGGGGTGTCTTCGGCCTGAGAGTTGGTAAACATCTCGGGATTGAGAAATTCGTCCATCGCCCCAAAGCCAAGGCCAGTATCATCACCAAGATCTAAGAATGTGTCCTGGATTGTATCGAGAGATATGGCACTGTGTGCCCAGGGATCGGTCATTACCACGTCCATAGATGGTGGAGCATGTTCCAAGGGCTTGGCGTTTTCCTTCTTGTCGTCCTTGCTTGTTGTTGGCTTGAGAGGAGATGAAGTAGGCACTTTGGCTGAAGAAGTACGAGGTGTTAGTTGCAAATTCGAGGCCGGGGAACTAGGCTTGGGTCCCAGTTGGCTAGGGGCACGGCCGATGGGAGTTGCACCAGCAGGGATCGGCGTACCTCCAGGCTTGGCCTCGTTCTTCGTTGGAGATGATGACGCACCAAGCTTGCCAGGAGCCTGTGAGGTATCCTTACTGCTGTGAAGTCCTCCTTGATCTTCCTCCTTGACAAGGCTGGTACGGAAACTCTCGAGGGCAAATTCCAGCGGATTTTCGATAGGTTCTTCGATCTTGTGGCATTCTTCGACATGGCTATCGAGCGCGGTTTGAGTGGCGAATCCAAGATAGTGGTTCTGACATTCAGGGACACTGCACTTGAAAGAGCCACCCAAAGCTGTACCAGCCAGCTTCGTCTCTACACCTGGTTGCTTGTTCGGTTGAGTCTTGGTCATCGGAGCTCCGGACACGGGCGTAGCACCAGCATGAGACTGCTTTCGCTTCTTCGGTGGGGGCAGCTTCAATTGCTCCGGGGGTATACTTCCGGGCCCATAAGCATGCGGAACACCCTGGGGAGACGGTGCACCAAATGGCGCTTGCGGTAACCCAGCAGATCCTGAGGCAGTCTGGCTGGATGCTCGTCGAGCACGCTGCAGAGCCTCTTCCTGTTGCTGTAACTGCTGCAAGTTTGTCGCGTTTAGAGCGGGCATGTTGTTCGGGACGCTGGCCGGTGTCATGGATGCACTTTGCTGGGCATTGGGTCGTTGACCAGGTAGCTGGTTATGCTGCTGGTTTACTCGAGCAATCATATGATGGAACAACTTCTTGATATAATTAGTTGTGGCGGCGAGGTATTCCGGCGTGATCGTATATTGGTCGGTGAGGGTCCAGTCAGATCCAGGTTTGAATTGTCTCATTAGTTGTATCCGCTGGAGTGGGCGTCATTAATCAAATGCAACTGCGGGGAAATAAGTGGTCAAAACTTACCATCGCGAGCAAACTGCGAAAATTCTTGTCCTGGCCAGGAATTTTTGCGAAGAATTGAACAAGCGCATCCATTCTACCCAGATAGTCGGTCGAGTCACGCAGCTGTTGAGACATGCTTGCCTTCTGTTCCGGTGTGATTGCAACCGGTTCAGCGGGCGGCGCAGTCCTAGCAATCTCATTGTACAGTTTCACAATCCTTTCCGGTAAATTGTTCCATGCATCTTCAGCGGCCGTCCTACTGATGGAGCCACGGCCTTGCGCCTGTTGCCTCCGCAAATGTATCTCAAGCTGGGCACGTTGCTGAGGCGTCATAGCCGCCAGCTGTTCACGGGTGAAAAGCACGTTGGGCCGGTTTTGAAGAGGGGCAGGTCCTCCTTGAGAAGTTGCAGGCTGAGCTGACTTCTGCATAGGCGTAGTTTGAACTTCGGTGGGTTCATCATTGGGTAGCTTTCTTTTCGGTGCCTGCTTCGTAGCAGGCGTTTTACTCCCTTTCCCAGTACCTGCAGCTTGGGCTTTGGCCGTTGCATTCTGCTGAGCCTGCTGCACCGTCGGCTGTGAGGGCTGGGATTCTAACTTGGCTTGCGGAGCCGTGGAAGGAACAGTGACAGGAGGTTGTGCTGCTTGAGGTTGTTGTCCCTGTTGAGCAGCCAAAGCACGAGCTTGAGCTGCCTGTAACTGTTTCTGTCTGTTTCTCAGGAGCAAGTCCCGGAGCTGTTCATCGCTTAGGCTTTGAACTTGGGGACCGAGACGGTTCCTGGCCATTTGAACGTCTTGCGCGGTGATAGGACGCATGGCGGGCATATTGATAGGTGCTTGTTGCTGACCGGGTGGCAGCTGAGGATTCATGAATTGTTGCGATTGTCCCTGGAATGGTGTCGGCATCCACGGGCCCTGACTGTTCGGATCGGCACCGCGGCCGCCTTCTTTCGATTGGGCAAGAATCTGGGCAAGATGAAGTTTCTGCAATGCCATCAGTTTCTGAATGTCTACACCCCCAAGTAGTTGTGGGTTCGAGGCTGCCAGCTGCTTCAACTGCCCCCATGTTTTGATATGCTTCGGAACGGGCGAAGAGATGTTCGGATTATTATTCAAGATCGCTGGAGGGAAATGCAGGCGATCCATCTCTTTGACTTGTTCAGGTGACATCTCAATCCCTCCACTATGCTGGCGAAGAAGCTGCAACTTATACATGTCATGCTGACGCTGCTGCTGCTGCTGCTGCTGCTGCTGCTGTTGTCGCTGCTGAACCGACATCTGCTGTCCGGGCAGCATTTGATTGGGCGCTTGAGCGCCCGTCATGCCCGCAAAGTGCTGTTGCATATTGAGAGGAGCCCTAATGCCCTGGCCATTGCCCATTTGTCCGCCCAACATTTGTTGGCCTTGGCCTTGCTGTGCGAAGTTTTGCTGAATTGGCATGGACTGCTGTTGGCCTGCCCTTGCCATAGCCGGATTTGCCGTCATCGCTCGACGCTGCTGGATGAAAAGATTCAATTGTTCAGCGCTCATCTGGTTGAGTTGTTCTTGAATCGCTGGGGGAAGATTGGCCGGCATTTGAGGCCGCTGCATTGATGGCTGTCCGCCCATGGTCTGGACATTAGCCTGCTGCTGCCCCATACCAGGGGCTCGAGACGGAGGCCGGACTTGTGCAGCTACTTGCGCGGGAGAGATTTGACCCGCCATGGGACGGTTGAGCATGGACATTGCAGGGCTTTGTTGCGACATTTGATGTTGCATTTGGGAACCATTTTGTGTCATTGCGAGCTGCGCTCTTTGTGCAGCTTGGACGCGTGCTTGTTGGGCTTGCGGCTCCGTTTGTTGCAATTGAGGTCCTTGTTGAGATCGGCCTTGTGGCACGTTCTGCGGATTCTGCGCATGTTGTGCAAGGAATTGAGGGCTAATACCGGCTTGTGCGTTTTGGCCCATCTGCGGGCCCATCTGAAACATATTTGAGGCCGTATTGATCGATTGTTGGTTGATGGGCAAGGAACTGGCTGGAACCACAAGCTGGCCTGCTTCCTGCGAACGCAACCCATCCGCCTGCTGCCCTTGGATGTTGTCGACACTACCGATGAACGATGGTTCCGGATTTTGCTGATTTCCCATGGGATATGCGGAATTGCGCTGTAAATTCATCATGTTCGTGAGCATTTGCCGCTGCTGCGGGTTCATCGACTCTGCTAGCATTGCCGCCCCATTGGGATCGACACCGTTACCCTGAGCACGAGCCATTTCCATCCGACTCCGTTTGAACCGTCGAAGCTGGGTCAGAGCCTGCGAGCGAAAGAAATAAGTCAACGGATCCATGTTCTTCTTAGATAGATATTGGCGCTGTTCCGGCGACATATTCTGCAAGTTCATCTTGATCTTCTCCACATCTTCTTGGGGGGTCTTTGACATTATTTGGCTTGCAACTCGACAAACTTGCTCATATTCCTGAGCGGAAAGAGTCTGCAATTCGTCGTTGTAGGGAAATCCAGCCCCTGGTCTTTGCTGGGCTCTTTGCTGCATGATGTTCTGTTGTGCTGCTTGCGGCTGCTGTTGCGGCGCCTGTGGTTGTGGGCGATGTTGCATGCCGTTCTGTTGACCCAGATCATTGATACCCATGGACATTTGTTGTTGTCCCGGCATCGGAGATGCCTGCATGGGGTGATTCATTTGTGCAGGAAACCCCGCCTGTCCGACTCCAGGCATTCCTGCTGCCGGGCCCTGGGGCATCATGCCATTCTGCATTACAGCAGCTTGTCTTGCGCGAGTGTCACGAATATGGACAAGCTTCTCGTTGCAGTTCCTCTCATATTCGTTCTAGAACTGTTAGGCCATGTTGACGAGGGGTGCCAGCGCCAAATGAGTGCATACCTTCTCTCTTGCATCTTGAAATGCCTTCTGCTCAAAAGTCAACGCCGCACGAGCGGCATTTTGCGTGTCGATGCGGGGCTGTATTAGACGGAGTGATGTAATCCTGGTATCGAAGTGTCAGACCGAAAGAACTGTGCCTAGTCTAACTGGTTACACGAAACCCAAGCCACACAAAGCGGTCAGGAGCACGTGTATAGAGACATCGGCCACTTACATTTGATAGACCTTCAGTGCCCGATCTCTGATCTGAACTTCCGCTCGCCATCCTGAGTACTGACCCTGGGCCTGCAGCGCTTGCGCAACCTGGGTTAAGATTATTTGATTATTGTTAGGGCCGTTCATGCCTCCACCATTCATGCCTCCACCCACGTTGGTGAGGTTTGCCGGATTCATGTCAACAACCCCCTCAATGGGGATCGAGCAGTCCGCGCAAGCCTTCCTTTGACGTCAGCATTCGCTGGCCCGAATGCCAAGCGTCAACCTTTGCGACAGAGTCCCGTATGGTCAAAGGGGCGTTAATCGCACTATCGATATCTTGGTAGAAAGATGCTGGCGTTGGAGGGCCAATCGAAGGAGTTCACAGATGGAGAGCAATATCAAGAGAAGTGGGAACGTTCCAGATGTTCGCGATCGGGGCGAAGTCGGCAGTGATATGAGCTTCGTTGTTATTTTCGCAGGAAATATTCGAAACGAAGCAAGACGAATAGCAGTATGAGATCGTGGAATGCAAGTGGAACACGAGGGAACCAGCACAGCAGTGAAAAACAAGGCGTTCGGGCACCAGTGGTCTGTTGAGTGTGGTGTTGTTGGCAGGCGCCCGGAAAGTGACTTGAGAGGGGGGGGTGGTGGAGGGTGGGCTAGGCAGGATTACGCTAGGTGGATGTTGGATCAGTGACAGGGATGTCTGATGTACTGTGTATTGCACCGCTTTAATTCGCAAGACCGTTCGGGGTAACAAGGTATGGAGCTTCCCGGAGCCACGAGAGGTGTATGAAATGAGGCAGAAAATCAAGTCGAAATTAGAAGCCTAGGTGCAACGGCAACACATGTCAGTGAATGCGAGAGGGAAAGGCACGCTTCAGGAGCAAAGGGCAACGCAAAGGAAGAAGTGAGTAGAGGAATCCCGATGTTATGGTTAGGCAATGGATGCAGAAGTGCGCAAAAAAGCCGAACGGTCGGCAGCAGAGGGCGCTAGGATTAACTGAGCAGTAGAAGGGGATCCTCGAACTCACCTGATAAGAGCTCCTCCGATCTGGCGGAGAAGGATCGAGGTTGACTAGAGAGGTCTGAAAGAAGAGGGGAAAGTAGAAAGAACGAAAGGCAAGAGAAACAGAAAGAGAATGGGACCAGAAAGAGAGGAAGGGAGAAGGAGAAAGAGAGTCAAAATGCGGCGATCGATCACGAAACGAGGAAACAGAGTCTAGGTGGGCTGGGTGGGTAGGTAGGCAAATTTGGGGGGGGGGGGGGCCACCAAGAAGAGAAAAGCTGGGCAGGGAAAAGGGAAACAAGAAAATGAAATGGATAAATAGCCACAATAAATCCCCAATTTTTAAATGGGCAAGGCAACAAAGGGGAGAGTGCAGAGAAGTCGAAGATCTCGTGCGGAGGAGGAAAGAGAGCGAGAGAGAGAGGAAGACCAGAGAGAGGGAACGAGAGAAAGAGAGAAGGTGGATGGTGGTGGTGGTGGTGTAGAAAAGAGAGGAGATCCTTTGAGGTCAGTCAGTCAGTGAATCAGTCAGTCAGTCATTTTAGTTTAGTAGGATGGAGGTACGGTAAGTAGGTACAGTACACCTTGATGGACTCGGGTTGGGTGGTGGAAAGTGGGTTGGGTGGCCGTGATGGCCGTGATGGTAATACACCTAAAATCATTCAGGAATTGGTGGTGGCCTGAGGCGCCAGATCCACGCTGATGAGTGGTTAATGGATTTGGCTGGGGTGGGCGAACTAAACTATCAGTACCTTAGTTAGTCAGTTAGTATGATGGTAAATAGGCAGGCAGGCAGGCAAGAAGGTACTAGACCCATCCCCGTGCCCAGGACCACTTGGGGATCTGCCCGTTGGTCCTGCCCATCATTAGGTCGGTAGGGAGCTAAAGAAATCTAGGGAAACCTGGGAATCCTGAACCTTACCCAGTCGTTGGCTGACAACTCGACAGCTTGCTTGATTATCATTTGAGCGTTTGTTGGTCACTTCATCCTGAACCCTGCCAGAATACAAGAAAGTGGTTGATGATGGACGCATTCATCTCCTGTATTTATTGTACATACATACATAAATACATACATACTTGCATACAATGAACTGATTGACTAGCTTACTTACTTAATTAGTTACCCTACAAGTGAATTTATCAATACTTCACAGATTGTCTGACCACCCCCAGTTCAATGTCACTCAAAGTGACCTTCTTCACTGCTCAAGCCTTCGAGCCCTTTTTAGTCTTTGGGAGGGGGATCGCCCGTAGGAATTGACGGGGAGCCGATGGAGACCCAGAAAAAGCGGGCCATCCTTTTTTTTTCGCCTTCTGGTCCGTCCCAGACTCCCCCCATCACCGGAAATTCCTAGTCATTGGCTTCGACAGGTGACTGGCTCTACAAAAAGACGCAAGGTCTTCCGGGCCAAGAACTGTTGGTTTCGCAGCCAGTTCTGTCCTGCTTTCCTCCAATACCTCCTCGTACTTTGTATGCTTTCTTTTGCCTCTTTTGCTTCTTTCTTTGCTTCTTTGCTTCTGTGGTCTCTTCTCTTTCCTTGCCTCGGACCCAAGTTTCATCGTCAGCCCAACCACTAGTACCTCAAATTTGACTCGACCAATGGTGGATATTGCTCCCGCCTAGCTTTAGTGTTGTGGTTCAGAAGATCTGTGCTGCCGCAATCAGTCGGCGGACTGGAGTCTAATCAAGATGGGTATCACTATCACCAGAGCACACATCCACACACCACTTAATTCACTAGTCACCACTGATCAAAGTGGATTGCCAAAACCATAACAAGTCTTCCATGCAGGACGGTATCCGAGAACCTCGTAGCTTCAGCTGTACCTACGGTCAGACTTGCTGGTTACGGCAATTCAGTACCACCACAACAATCCTCCGTGGTGCCGCCAGGTGGTACAGACTACCTACTGGCGGGCGCCGACTCGGACTTGGCGATATCAGTTCTGCAAGATTAGACTTGAATCTCATTACACGAGTACAGTTGCTTAAGATTAATTGAGGTCGTGGTAAGTAGTTTATCATGCCGGTGCCCACTAACCGACCAATAAAGAACTCTAGGTCTTTTCACTCTTCTCCTTAGGAAAGGAGCATCTGTGCTGGAAACGGACAAACTACCGTGGACCATAGACAGGTAACTTGCCTACTTAATTCAGCGGCCAGCCCATGCGGACGAACGGACCCTTAACCCGAGCAGAATCAAGGCACGCATATTTCACCTCAAGCTTTCCTCGGACAGTCTTCGTGAGTAAATAGACCTGAGAATCTTGGTTTGAATTCGTGCCAAAATAGAGGCGCTTCCTCAGCTGCAGGAATGATGAGCGATACCTTCTGATTTCCTTCAGGAGACTCGGATCGGTACACTAGTTCACTAGTGTCAGTTACCTTGACAGAACGGACTATTCCTCATTTGAAGACGTACCAAACCCACCTGCAGCCTGAAGGTGCTACAAACCACACATATACGTGTGAATTGCAACTATTACCCGGAGTCAAGCGATCAACGACACGAGCATAGCGATTTGAGGGTTGGTATACATTACCATAATCCTCTCTTTGATGAGACACTGACTTAGGGTCTCCTTCATTCGCTGGCTTTCTGTTCCAAGAAGAGTTCTGCGACCGATCTAGTCATCGTGATTGGAGTCCGATTTGGACGGCTATGAGACACGTCTATCGATGGATCGCTCCCGAGAAAGCTTGAGAGGGTCTCAATGTCAATTTACAGAGTTTCCCTACCAACCCATCCGTGCTTGAGCGTGGAACTCATTAATCAGTGCAGTGCATCTTTAGACTTGTATGCAGAACTCCGAGGTACGTACAGCATATCATTAGAGCAGATGTGGCTACTGGATCACATCTTTCAGTTCAAGGAACGCCATGCTACACTATATACTACCAATTCATATCAACCCGACATTCAGAGACCAAGTTCAATGGGCATTGACGGTGAGGACATATTCAAATGTACCGGGTACCGTAGTATCTATATGGATTGTGGTCTAGACAACAAACATCCAGATGTCCGGTCTAAAAATGTCCATCTTCGTAGAGCTGGCAGTGGAATGCTCCGGCATGATCCAAAGCAACCGCAAGAGGAGACGAGACGACTCGGAGACGGGAACAATGGCGACTCCGCTGTTGCTTTTTACGGAAACAGACACGTCAGGCACCCTCACGTGACATGGCTGCTGTCGTCACCGGCTGGAGGCCGCTTTGATTATCATCGACCAACATCGAACTCTAGGAAATGAGCTGATCCATTCGGCAGATCTCGTCTCAAAGTCTCGGCCGCATTCATGATCTAAATTGTCTTCTACTTCTTTTCTACCTGGTCACATTTGCTTTCTTCAACTCTTCCCAGTATTTCCTCCTTCCCTTGCTCCCCATCTCTCTTTCCCTCTCTCTTCAAAGTACGGTACATTGCGTCCAGCCCCTCGATTCTCGATCGTTAGTCCTTCTCTAGTTTGCATGCAATGCTTTATTGATTGATCGCCCCGAGACCCTGATCTTCCCCGTTTTCTTTGCGCCGGATGTACTGACATCCCCCCTCCCCCAATCATCGCCATGGTTCTCGCCACGCCTGTGCCCGTTGGGTCTAGTATCTTCTTTTCTCTGGCCCTTCTCACAATTTCTATCCTTGTTCTGCTTCTGCTCCGGCGCTTCCTCACCTTGCGCGCAACCCCGGCTTATCTTTCCATTCCCGTCTTTCTTGCGCTCGCGCTTCCCGCCAGCGTAGTCCTGCTGGTTCCTATTGACCTGGCATCAAGTTCGCGCGATGGATCAGGTCCCACAGCCATCTGGCTACCTGACCGACTACTTCTCGTTTCGTGGCGTATCGCCTACTGGTTGATATTCGTGCTGACATGGTGTGTATAAGGCCCAGCACTCGTTGCCGATTCGCGGCTATTGAATTCAATTTACGAAGATGCTGATCGGAACTCACCACCTTACAGGGCTATCCTTCCGCTTCTCGGAGAATATATAGATTCTGGATATCGTGACCCGAAGGCTCGTATCCAGTATTCTATCCGGTCGAATGCACGTTACCAACTTATCGTGTTGTGCTGTGCGGTCGTCGGACTGATATACATTTCCATCCAAAATGGGTTCGAGTTTACCTCGATCAAAGCACTCGTCATGGCTCTTGCATACGTCTGGGGTCTTGTACTAGCCATATACTTAATGGGCCATGGACTTGTCTCGATTCCCCGCACGCTATTCCGCAATGCCGATGTCAGCGGCAGGCTACGGAGAATTCACGCTCACGCCCCCCGATTGCACGACCGTTTGATGGATGCTATCAATGACCTGGAGAGTCTCGAAAACCAGGTTTCTCAACTGCAGCGCCGGAAAACAGGGACTGCTCGCGATTTTCAAGACTGGATTGAAGAGCTGGCAGAGATCTCCGGTCCCGCCGAAGCACGATCTACCCTGCTGGATCACCCGGAAGGTTCCGAAACAATTCCAGCTGTCATTACAGAACGCTATTTGGCAGACTTGACCAGGCGTCTACAGCGTGCTCGTCACCAAAAGGCACGTTTCATCGATGAGTGGGACCGTCTTGTTCTGTCCGCTGCCGATATGCAGGCTATCATCAACTCGTCTGCATCTAAAAATCTCGAGTTTACACCGTCACCTTATCGCTCCTCATGGCTGCCGAACACGAAGTTCCTTAGCCCATACATGCGCTACCAGCTTTACGTGCGCGTCGTTCCCAACGTGCGGCTTGGACTAGGGGCCGTCTTCGCTGCCGCATCCGCTTGCATCGTTTGGTCCGAGGTGATCAAATCGATGGCGCCTCGGTTATCTGTAGTTACCCTCTCCATTGTATCCTATCACCAAGATCCTGCGCCAGTGAATTTCGGGCGACAGATTATCGCCTCTGCTTGGTTGATGTACATGTGTTCCGCGGCCTTGGTGGGTGTGAACGACGCCAAAGTGTGGGGCAACCGTGCCCTAGTTCGCCGGAACACGTACGGGGAGAGCGCATGTTGGTACGCCGGGCTTGTGGCTCGGCTGACTGTGCCCATCGCCTACAATTTTCTGACCTTCTTGCCGGTCAATGCCCGGCAGAGCACCATATTTTACAAATTTCTGGGCCGTTTAATTGATCTCACACCGCTGGGAAAGGGGTTTGACTACTTTTTCCCGGTTTTTATCTTGCTGCCCATCTGTGCCACTCTCTTCAATTTGTATGGCCGGGTGCAAAGCATCTGCAGCTGGGGACTTTTGGAAGAGGATGACGACGACTTAGAGAATAATCCCGGCGGCTACGGATTGGGTGGTTGGCGTGAAGGGCGCGACCTCATTGAACGGGAACTCAACGGTCTCGGCTCATTGGGACTTTCGGCCCGTGGTAGTCGGTCACCCCGCCCCTCAAGTCGTGTCGATGAGGAAGTGCCTGCATTTATCTCTTCGCGGACTCCTCTAGTTGAGGGCTCTCGGACGACTCGGGCACCTCGCAGCACTCTTGGTACCTCTGCCTTGGTCGAGGACGAAGAGGAGGAGAACTTTTTCCAGTCGTTCGCACATCGGATGAAGAACACCCTCGAAACAGCCAGCAAGCCTCAGTGGTTCCAAGGTGACGCTTTCCGCCTACCGCGATGGATGGGGAACGACGGCAACGATGGCAGCAGCGGTCTCGCAAGATGGTTTGGTGGTCGGCCTGCACCTGGCGGAGTCAGACTCTGAAGACATCCATCCATTCCATTCCATCCTAGAAATTCTAATGTAATTATGTAAAGCTAAGAATGTACATATTATGCCTCCCCTTGGAGGATCATCATGGATGACTTGCTTCCATACTTTTCTCGAAGACTGGTGGAGACGATGATGTCAGTCATGCAGACACTAAGTACGAGTACTCGTACAGTACATCAACTAGAACTATTCCGGCTTCTGCCTAGCAAGGCTCACGAAGTGCCTGAGACCTCATGAGAGGTCAGTCAGCCTTGTAAACAGGGGCACACCGGAGAGGACCGGAATAGACAATGCCATTGTGGTTCCTGAGGCCACTGCTTCTCGGATAAGCTGTGCAATGTTGCTCAGGCTTCCACATTATGCCATCCGTGCTCGTCCGACTGTAACGATGGGGAACCGCTTACCTTGTAATTCATTGTGTGAGATGTACTGTACACCAGGTCCTGTATTTTATGTCACGAGTATGGGTGGCATAATTGCTTCTTTTACTATAGCGTCATAAGTACCTGAATACCTCTATGAGCGAAGAGTGAGTACTTGGGCCGGGGGGCGAATCACATTCGTGCCCTTCTATGAGCCGATATCATAGGTCTATAATGATGCCTAATATCATGGGGCAAGCTGAATGTATCGCCTTAAGGCCCTGGGTCGTCTATGATTTGTACTTGCGATTTGATCTCTCAGCACATGGCAGTTCCCCCTTTGATAGGTACGCATGTTGATGATAAGCTGATTAGATCTGTCAAAGCTATCATTCTATGTGTATACGAGTAGTTTCGTGCATGCCACGTGCGAGTGATCTGCTGACGTAGGCAGCTTTCTTGCTGCAAGATGGATGCGATCCATCGGTCTTAAGCCATTGACGATACTGAGCATGATCGCAGATCGATTGGTCATTCTGTTGAAGATAGATATACCATTCAGCCTTGTGATGAGCCCACCCCTCAATGTCAGTCCCAGGGCCTTTAGTCTGAACTGCTTATGTGAAGGGGGTAAATTCTTTTTCTTAAGGAAAACCATATATCTATATATATATATTAATAATAATGATAACTGATCAGCACCTGGGACCGATAACCGAAGTCGACCGAACGTTCGTGACAGACGGACAGCCTTCCAGCCTCACGAGCCTCCGCGGCTGCGGCAAAAAAAAGGCTCTCTCCGCCTTCTCTGCCTATTCCGGAGCTAAGGAGAGGCCAGCTTCCAGTGACCTCAACACCGTTCGTCATTCCTCCTCTCATTGACTCATTCTTGGCCGACAATCCATGAGCCAGTTGCTATCGCACATATCTCTGTCCTCCCTGGGCGAGACGTGTGCTTCCTACATCGATCACGTCGCCACCAGTCTTTCTCCTTCGCTACAGACTTTGCACCATCAACTTACCACTACTCTTTCATCCGCCCAAGCCTCGTCTCCCTTGCGTTTTCTCACGCCTTGGCCGGAGTTGATCGCGGAACACGCAGCCAGCGATTATACCGCCCCGGTCGCCTACACACTCCTCGCCTGTGCGATCGCAGTCATCGTCATGTCTTCCTGGCGCCCTTCCTTCAATTTCTGGCGCCGCTCCCCCAACTACACCAGCGTCCAGAACCCTCCCCATGTTACCGACAGCGACTACAGCTACATCACGACAGATGAGATCGTCAACCCGCTCAGACAGCCGGCATACGGACACCAGTACGCTGGGGCCGATGATGCTGAGCCCGACACCATCCTGTTGAAACACCGCAAGAACACCTACGACCTGCACTTCCCTGCTTACGCCATCAACGAGGGTGCCCTCAGTGTGGGTCAGCTGAGACAACGGGCAGCGGAAGTGACGCGCACGCCTGACCCGAAGCGGATCCGATTACTCTACAAAGGGAAACTGTTGGACAACGATTCGCTGCCCTGTCGGGCGGAAGGCCTCAAGCAGCAGTCCGAGGTCCTGTGCGTGGTCTCGGAGGTGCAGCCCGGGGTGAGCTCCCCCAGCGAGACGTCCGAGGCGGAGGTCGAGCCTGCCCGCCCGCAGGATCCCCCTCCCAAGCGATCGGGCAAGAACAAAAAGCGTGGGAATAAGGGCAAGAAACCGGCCAAACAGGCAGATAGCCCTGCCACTGGTGGTGCAGCGGGCTCGACCACTCTGGCACCCCCGGCGCAAGCGGCGCGACCATCCGCCTCCCCCAGTCGATCGGCCATGCCGTCACCCGCACCCAGCCTCAACGCCTTCCGCACTCCGCTGGACCAGGCCAACGGCCTCTTGTCGTATCTGCATCGGGAGTTGCTCCCTCTCTGCGAGGAGTACTTCACCAATCCTCCCACAGACCCGAAGGCGCGCGATTTCGAGCACAAGAAGCTCAGTGAGACCATCCTCGCGCAAGTCATCCTGAAGGCGGATGGCATTGAGATCACGAATGATGAGGATCGTGCTGCCCGGCGTGCTCTGGTCAAGGAGGCACAGACGTTACTGGGCAAGCTTGATCAGGCACTGAATAATTAAACTACCTTCCACCTCTTATGTAAATGACCCATTTCTTGATAGCTCACGAAAAGACCATAATACTACTGTTGCCGTTTGAAGAGGAAGGTTTGAGACATTTCTTTCAATTCCCTCCGGCATTTGTTTATCTGTTTGTCTGGATGATTGGTTTCATTTGTAACTTACGACTCATGTATTCAGCTCTGCGTTCTGTGTTGTGGTCGCAGGGCCTGGGTACGTCGCTTCAATGCACATACAATTTTACCCGTGGATGTGATACCGCATGGGAATGGTGTCCGGATGATGTCTCAGGGTGGGACTACTGAATAGGGTTCTTGCCGGTTGATACTTTTTATGGGGACGGATAGTCCGAGTCAACAATGCCACGTGCGCTTAGTTTCTGAAACTGCGACGATCAAGACCGACAAGATGAGATGGGACTGAGACTGAGAAGGTCTTGTCGAGTCAGTAGTGAAAGTCTAGGCGGGCATATGGCCTGGAACCAGCAAACTTTCCGCGGCCAACGCTGTTTAGCCGAACGTCAGCCCTGTCTGTCGTCATGAACAAGGCCCATGGAAAACACTATCACTGTCATAACATACTGTGAAGGATTCAATTGCACTGGTAGGGCGTAAACATGCCGGTGTAATCGACCGGCATGGAAATCCAAACTAGATCGAATGATTATTTGCTGGGACTTGCATGATGCATAATCCACCAGGTCCTGCTTTCCTTCCGCGAAAAGTCGCTCACTCTCTGTGATTGGCAGGCCTGCGATTGACCGACCTTTTGCAGACAGCCAGTTGCAATAGAAGACTCAGTGCTGAACACCTCGTATTCTGACCGTGAGCTACCCTGAGTATTGTACTTCAAATCTCAGGAGGTGTGATCACTCATCTTGATCAAGTGGACGACTAAGCATGATTGGAGAAGACTAGCAGAAACTCTATGTTGAGATCGACCTAACCGGAAATGAACTTAGATCTGCTCGCTGTCACAGCCTTAATTCCCAGTTTTCCCAGAGCCAAGCTCCCTGATTCTGGTGGGCTGGAGATCTATCACAATCTTTGGATACGTGCGATGCGAGCTTATGACCCTGAGCTTTGTCCCATTTCAAAAAACCCCCCAAGTCTCGGGCCGACCACACACAGATTGTTGGGGACATTCCACGCTGGATGATCGGAAATGTCAAATCGGACTGATCGACTTCGGCATGGCAGACAGGAAGAGATTCGGTGAAAGCCAGTCCAGATGAAGCTGAGGAGAACTTGTTCGTCAGACTGAGACTGGGTTGGTGAGAGGATAGTAGTCTATTGGCAATGAAGCTTTCTTCTTCTTCTTCTTCTTCTTCTTCTTCTTCTTCTTCTTCTTCTTCTTCTTCTTCTTCTTCTTCTTCTTCTTCTTCTTCTTCTTCTTCTTTGTTGTTTGAGTGACAGAACTCTTTATTTGGGACACTCGCAGTGCAATCTTGAATCATGTTTGGAGATACCCTAGACTAACTACCGTACTTGGTCCCCTATAAATTCATTTCATTGCTGGGAGGCACGGGATGACAGGCACCGCCCATAGCCTACCTTAGTTCTAGGCTGTCTTCTTTTCCTTCACGAGGGAGAAATAGTGACACTATAACTAACTACCGTAGTAACTACCTAGTAGACTAACCAACTTACCTCTAAGCCCCTCCTCCCTAATTGCCCCGTCCTGCGGCCTGTCTTTTGTCTCGACTAGTCTAGCGCCTCGTCCTTTCTTCTCCTCTCCTTCCTCCTAAGTTCCAAGTTCTCTCTCTCTCTCTCTCTCTCTCTCTCTCCCTCTCTCTGTCTCCCCCTCCCTCTCTTAGTCTCTCTTCTCTTCTCTCTCCTCGTCTTCCTCCTTTACCCCGTCTTTGTCGGCTCTTCGCTGTTCCTGTTTGTCTTCGTCTTGTTTGCGAACCCCCCGGGACCTTAGGACAGTTGACTGGACACCTCTTCTCCTCTTACCTTGAAACCAAAACCTTCTTCTCCCTCAAACCGTGTTCTCCGCCCAAGTTCGGGTGTCTCGAATGCTGTCCTGAACGCCACGGTCCAGCCACACACCTTTGCATCACTCCTTTCCCTGGCTATTTTTTTTTCTTGCCTCCCCCTCCTCCACCCACCGCTTAATATACTTTATTTTGTCTTTTCTCTCTGCCCCTCCCTGCTGAGGCATCTAATATTTCCCTCTTCCTCCAGCTTGTTCTCGACCGTTTAGTCTCCTTCTGACAGCTGCTATCGACTCGCCTTGCCGTCTGTCATCCGCCATCGGCCTTTGCCGTTCCCTGAGCCGGAGAGGCATATCCACGGTACCGATTCCGCCGGGCCCTGGCTAACCAAGCGTTCAACCTCCCCCCGGAGAACCACATCGACGGTCGCGCAGCAATTTCGAGGTGCTAATTTCTCCACTTGCTCCTTATTTACAATTTCCTCTTTTCGGCTCGTCTCGCTCGCTCGCTCGCTCGTGCCCGCGACCCCCTTTCTCCTCCCCCCCCCGACTTGTCCCCTCGCCGTGCGGCGTTCACTTTTCTCCCAGCCTCCCTACCCCTCACATCATACATATTGTTGCGTTTTCAACTCAGAGGAGGCACTTCGACCAGAACTGCCCTGAGCGGTTGGTGATTCTGGTCTGTGCGTCTCTGGGATGGCCTGATCGGGGACAAGGAGAGTGAAGAGCAAAAAAAATTCGTATTCCTCGCCCAGTGACCAGCCGCTCGTCGTCGATTCCGTCTCAACCACCCTCATCACGCACACCAGGTTCCAGCTGGTCTGGGCTTGTCTGATCTATAATTACTGCTGCTGGAATGGCGGGGACGGCTACCGCGACATATTCGACAGATGCGTGGACGTCACCCAGTGTAGACGGCGGTCAATGGGAGTTTTCGGTTCCGATTAGACAGGATGTAAGTGTGCCCTAAACTGACTACAGTGGTCACGCTGCGGTAGCTTGCAGCCACTGTAGAGTATGCTCCGATCCAGTGGGGTCGTAGAAACCAGACGGACTGACCCTTGGCTGTGTTAGAGCACTAATCATCGCTCCAAATCCCGCTCGTCCCACGATTCGCGCTCTAGAGGACATCGGCCCAAAAACTCGCGCAGCTCCTCTCTGTCAAGACAGGTCCACGCCCACGAACAGTTCAATGCGCGCGGTCGTCGCGATTTCAGTCACAGTCGCCGTGAAAGCGAAGAAGTCAACGCGCACCATCTCTACAGACACGAAGCCGCCGACCATAGCGCTAGCAGTGCTAAGGCCTCGACCGAGATCCCCCGTCAGGATGGCACAATGAAGACCAGCGAAGGCATTGGAGTGTACCTCGGAGAGCTGGACAATGAGAAATGGATTCATCGGGATAAACTGGCCAAAATCGAAAGTCAAGAGCTGCAACAGTTGTTCCAGCGACGGACTGCAGCAGACGGTGTTCAGACTGGCCGTGGAGGATCCCATGATCGTCATGGAGCCAACGGACGCTCTTTTTCCCCGCACTCGCCAACCGAGCAAACGGAACCGTGGCCCAGCTTGCACGACGGTTCACCACGCGACTCTTACGACTCCAGGACTTTCTCTGATGACGGCGGTCACCACGATGCCACACAAGGCGATCGTGAACACTGGGATCTTCGCCGGCCGGAAGAAATTGCTGCAGACGAGGCGAAGGAGCAGGCGGCATCGGGCTTCTACCACAACCCCGGCTTGCGGAAGAGCTCTTCTCGGATTCCACTTTCGAAAGCCAGTCCAGTACCTATCTCGCCTGAGCACACAGGACGAGAGTTCCCCATGCAGCGCACCAGAGCCCTCACCAATGGAGAAGATGAGGTGCTGTCGATCGGAATGCCACGTCGAGCCAGCGAGCCCATGACGGTGGAGGCAGCAAACGGTCTACCTGCAGGTGGCAGCAGGCCTGGTAGTCGTGGATTCCCCACACAGAATACGGCGGCCAAGAAAACACCGGCGAAGGCAGGACATACCAATCGCAAGACGTCTGCCCCTCCCGCGACAAGAAAGGCGACTCCAAGAGCTCGTCTCCCGTCTAGCACCCAGCGGCTTGGAGCCAAAGCAGGCGAGGGTCGTGGTCCTAATCCTATCAATCGGCCGGAAGGCGATCCCCCATGGCTGGCTACCATGTACAAACCGGACCCGCGTCTTCCTCCGGATCAGCAGATCCTCCCCACACACGCGCGGCGCATGCAGCAGGAGCAATGGGCCAAGGAAGGCAAGACTCCTACGACATACGACCGCGAGTTTTCTCCGCTTGCCGTCGGACCGGATGGACCATTCAAAATGGAAAGACCGAAGTTTGAGACCCCGGAGCCGGCAAAGCCGCCGATGGAGGAGAAGCCAAAGGATGAACCGCAGCCTGCACCACAGCCAACGCTCCACGAGCAGCTCCCGACTAAGGAAGGTGAATCTGATGCACGGCCCGTCACAGGCAGCGGGTATAGCACTATGCCCCGAGTGCAAGACCCAATGCCCGCAACACTGACCCCCAAATGGAGCCCGCCGGTGGTGACGGCGCAAGAGCCACCGCCCAAGGAGAAGGGCTGTGGATGCTGCATAGTAATGTGATCTAACCCTGCCACATCTGCCCTCTCAGCCTGAGCAATCTTTCAGCGAATAATCTTATTTCCACTGCATAATGCTTCCCATTCTACTTGTTTATTCAGCGTTGCAGGTCTGGGTGTTGTGTTTAAATCTCCAGGATTCTAATTCTTTGTCCATTTTTTTTTCTCTGTTGAGATCTTTGTGTCTACAAGACGTTCATTTTAATTTTTGCGGCCGTCGGCACTTTTTATTCCCTCATTTTGTTGTGTTTGAGCATTAGTCATTCCTTGGAATTCCCTTTATTGGCGACGCATCGGCATTGGAGCGGTCATTATGACAATTCACGCACCTTTTATTTCCCCTTCTGTCTAGGCGAACCAGACCATTTTCTCTGTGTGCTGTGAGTATTAGGTTGAATGTGAATCAGCTAGTTCTTAGAGAGGTTGTGACATAAGACCGAGTCGGATGATATAGTAGGTGTTCAGCCAGTGAGGAGCAGTAGAAATGCCCGAGACAAGACTACTGCCCTCTACGGAGTAGTACAACAACAGTAAGCAAGCAAGTAAGCAAACCAACAACGCACCCCCGCAAGCAGCAGCTGAATAATCCCCCCCCCCCCCCCCGGTTCTCGGACAATCTGCCCCTCGAGATCGGAGCGATGATGCCATCGCAAATCCCGGCCACTGGACCGACCGCCTTACATAATCCCCGCGGGATGATTCTCAATCCCGAAACACCGCCGTCGTAAACTTACGCCATCCCGCCAACCTTTTCCTCTCCTTCACTGACTGTCTGTCCGACCTTCCTTCCTTCAAACTACTACTTGTACTGTACACCCATACAGATAAATACCCCTCACCAACTCCACCACCTCCACCACTCTTCCTCCTCCATCTCCATATTCATAAACCTCCTCTCGACCCGTCCGCCCTCGTGCAACCGGTCGAAACCCCACTCTGCCCACCATAGCTTCGATCTTCCAACGACTCTTCGGCTCCTTCGCCGCGCCCTCCCCCGCCGCCATGGCCAACGCAAAGACCACCGCCCAGAACCTGATCAACGAGAATGGCGTTGGTGAGTTATCTCGCTGCATTTCTAACGATTTGATACTGATACTGTATGATAGTCGTTTTCTCGAAATCCTACTGCCCCTACTGCGTCGCCAGCAAGCGTTTCCTCGAGAAGCTCGGCGCAGAGTTCAAGGTCCTTGAGCTTGATCAGACTCGTACGTTTGCCTTTTCTCTTATTATAAAAAAAAATGGTCTGGGATGGGGGACGTTCCTCCCTGCTGGGATGGTATCCCGGGTGGGGTGGAAGGAGCTACGTTATAAAAGGGGCTGTGGCTAACGCTTCTATGATACGATACAGCCGACGGCCAGGCTATCCAGGATGCGCTCCAGGAGATCACCTCGCAGCGCACCGTGCCCAACATCTTCATTGGGCAGAAGCACATTGGCGGGAACTCTGATCTGCAGAGCCAGAATCCTGCGCAGCTGAAGAAGATGTTGACTGATGCTGGGGCTTTGTAGGCTTAGTTAGATCTTTTGATTTGGGTTGTGTTTGGGAGGGATTAGAGGGATGATAGATACAACGTGGATTTTGAATGAATGTATTGCGGGTTTCTCTTGAGGTTTTACTTAGTGCCCTTTCTGTTGTGCTGCTGGTGTAGAGTTCGTAGAGGAGAGATAGGGTGATTTGATTCAAGAAGAAGTTTCGTATAATACACCTAAAAAACCTAGGTCAACTACAGCACCTTCTGCACAACGGTCCCAACGGGCCGCTCCACGACCGCCATGATGCCATCGACGACGCTCTCGCGCGCCGGCTCACTCGACACATTCTTCCCAGCCAGATAATTCATCCACACGAGCCGGCTGACGCGCTCGTCCGCCACCCGGCCCATGTACCGCGTGGGCTTCCCGGCCTCAGTCTGGAACAGGGCATCGAGCTGGCCGCGGGCGTTGCGCACCAGCAGCACGGTGTGACCCTTGGGGACGTTCTTAGTCTGGCCACCGCCGAACAGAGCCTTGAAGGTCTTGACGGCGGCGCCGAAGGCCTCGTCCGCGTACTCGCCGCGGAGGGGGTTATACTTCTGGGCGCGGGCGGAGATGCCGCGCACGAAGGCGTCGCGCATGTGCGTGAAATCCGTGTTGCGCACCGGCACGATGCGGAACGCCGTGCGCAGCCCGCCCTCGCGCAGGATCGCGTCCCACACCGCATCCCCCTGTTCGCTGCTATCCAGCAGCAGCTGGCGCAGACGGTCGCGCTCCGTCGACACCAGCGACGTCGCCGCTGTGGCGCCCACCGCGTTCGTGATGACTCCCCGGCCACTTTCTCCGGCTGCCGCATCAGAGGGGGTCGAAGGTTGCACCGCAGGCGGGTTCACGGCCGTCTGCACCAGCCGCCGCTGCAGCTCCGAGATATCCGATTTAGCCACGTACATGCCCACAACGTAGACCTGGATCTTCAGGAACGACACCGTGCGGATCCCCAGCCCCAGCAGCTGGTACTCCTCCTCGTCCGCGGGCTTCTCGGCGGCCGTCGACAGCGCGATCTCGTCGCCCGCGCTCAGCGGCATCGTCGCCGCATCCAGAACCTTGGGTAGCCGGATCGTCGCGGGGAAGTACGGCACCGAGCTCGTGCCCGTCGACACCTGTTCCGCGCCTGAGTCTTGCCCCTGTAGCCGAATCAGCGATGGGCTGCTGGGGAACCCGTTCGGACCGTCCAGCTGCGTCTTCTTGCTGCTGGGCGAGAGGGAGTCGGCGGCTTCGCGCGCGGTCGGGGGCTCGGACCCCTGCTGCTGGTCTTGGTCTTGGTGTTGGTCGAGGCCGAAGAGGTCGAGCTTGATGACTCCGTACATCGCGATCGCGCACGCCGCAATCCCGCTGGCGGATAGGATCATCGATCGCTGATATTTGGTGACATCCTTCTCGTTGATGTTGTGGGTGCGGGCGGTACGGAGGGGGTTGGCCGGCGTGCTGTTGGGGGAGCGGGCTGGCGTGGTGGTGGAGAGATGGAGCCGTGGCTGTTGACGTGCCCCCCGCGATAGGAGGTAGTGTCGCCGGATGCATTGGTTGCAGGTACGCCAGGGCATTGCGATGCCCTGGAGTGTGGTTGGCGTCGCCATGGTGCAATGTAGGTGTCTTGTATGTTTATGCTTGGAGAATGTGGTATCGGCAACCTTGAACATGGCGGATGACGATGGTCTGCTGCTGGTTGATTCCGCCGGAGAATCAGGCACGTGATGCGGACTGCCCTGATTGGTTGCTTGGGACTATGGCGATGTCTAGAAATTGATTGAAGCTCTACACGGGGTGCTTGGGGTTTTTCTGAAGAAGTAATTGATTTGGCTAGCTAGAAGCTTCTGGCTATTTTACAACCACTTTGTGGCTTCCCCCACTGCCGACTGCCACCGTTGCCGTCTTGTCGACGTAGCTGACGCCCTTGGTAATCTTGTTGCCGTCGATTGTAATCGTTGGCTTCTTCGAGCTGATGTATGGCAAGGTCAAGTTGCCTGTCGTTCCCTTGGGGACGGTGAACTCCAGAGTATACTTGTCGGACTTTTTCGTCCACGCTGCCTTGAATTTGCCAAGTGCAGTCGTGAACCCAGCTTGGGCGGATTTGAGATCGCCGAATTGCGGGGCGAGCTTCCAGGTCGCCCCCAACGGGGAGGTGACGGTCAAACCCACGATGTAGTTCGTCAGGGCAGACGTTGGTCCTGCCGACCAGCCGTGTGCGTGCGAGACATATGCCGTGTCGTAGTAGTATCCACGGCTTGACCGGTAGCCAAAGGTGCCGTTCTGGAGATACCCTTCAATCACGGTACTTCTGGTGCCGTTCGGGTTGTTGTAATACCAGCCCCAGCTTCGTCGAATCAGCTCCAGAGCTCTGGCGGGCTGGCCCACGGTAAAGTGACCCTGGATCTCGAAGGATGAGATAAATGGCGAGATGTTCTCGGGCAGCTCAGGGGCCACTGCACCGATGGGTGTCCAGTTATTGGTCAACTTCTCGGAGATACTAGCAGCGCGCTCGGAGTCAACGACGCCGAACAACAGAGCCATGCTATTTGCGTCCTGCGGGTGAAGAGTCGTATCGGTTGCGTTGTCCTTGAATGCTCCGTACGAGTCATCCCAGCAGTACTTGTTGATGGCCTCCCGCAGCTTCTGGGCCCGGCTGGTATATGTGTCCGACAACCCGGTGGTGTCGCCTGCCCAGGTGGCAAGCTCGGCTCCTGTCTTGAGGGTGTGATACAGACTGGTACTTGTTAGATTGGCTTCAAAATCTGAAGTCAGGGTCCTTACATCATCTGCGCTTCCGTGTTGTTATATCCCTGCTGCCATCTGGCCCAGTCGCGGGTACCCGTGACATCCAGCAAGCCACTGGCGTAGGTTACCTTGCCGTAGATGTAATCCATGGCTTTTTTGTAGCCGGCCCAGTTCGTCTCAAGGAAGTCGGTGTCATTGGTGTACAAGATGTAGTTATACGTCCCCACCATCGACCACATGTGGTATGTGTCCGAGTTCTTCTGGCTAAGGGGAGGGCCTGATTCATCGAACGCCCCAGTCGAGGCCTAATCTGCATTAGTGGCTTGAACGCAGAGTCCTGCTTACTGACATACCTGATAGTTGTACATCACTTGCAATGCGTTCTTGACGCTCTCCAGATTGCCGATGCTAACGAAGGCAGCTGGTACCGCAATGCCCATATCGCCTGGCCACACAGCTCTATCTCTCTTGGCACCGTCAACAATGATAGTATCACCAGGCCCCAGAGTGGCATTGTTTGCCCACCCGCGAGGCACCGTCGGAATCTGGCGACCAGTATTGACAGGGACCTCGTTGGTCTGTAGCGTGTAAGCGCCGCTGTACCAGATCGCATTCAGTAGGTCGTCGTTCGAATCGAAATATCCTTGATAAGCTCTCAGATTCGGCCATGTGGGTTGGAAGCCAATTTCCAGGCTCACGTCCTTGATGTGGACCGCAGTCGAGTTATCTGTGATCAGGAAGAGCGTGAGGTACCGAAATCCACCACGCAGATACTTGTCGGGCATCGTATAAGAATGCTCGCCCGCTTCGGTGAAGTTTCCATACAGCGCACCATCGGGGCCCTTGAAGCCTCCGTTGGACGAGTCCGACCATTCGCCAATGTAGTCCTTGGCCTCGGTAAATGCCAATCCCAGAGCTCCACTACCTGTGGAAGTATACTTCACGGTGACAATGCCACCTACTTCCCTTCCGAAGTCGTACACCACCAAGGATCCATTCCCCTGTAGTTTGTACGGGGCATAATCATGCGTGACATCGGTTTTGGTTATTAGGAAGAGTTTCTCGGGATTCACAGTTCTAGAGGATGGCGCGAAGATGTTTTTCTCCCAAGAACCTGGGAAGGCCGCGGTGGTAGGACCGGAACAGGTGGTGTTACGCCAACAAGTGGAGGCACCAGAGAGGGGAAGGAGAGCTATAGCTCCTAGCAGAGATGGAATCCAACGCATGACTGCTGTCTATCGCACTGGAGTCCGGTATGTCAAGCACAGACAGTCGTGAAAGAAGAAGGACGAAGCCATAATTGCGGCCCCAGGGGATATAGATATAAGCAAGGGGTGCCTCGAGTCGATGGTTCCCCGGAATTTCTACCCCAGAGAAAAGAAGAGGGGGTATTCGCTTCCTGGAGTTGAAATTAATCTGGATCTCGGCTCGCTTGCGATGCTTGACCGAAATGAGGGGAAAAGCGAGCGAGTCACGCAGTAGGCGTTACTCGGTTAAATGCACGTAATGAGTCGACCAATTTCATTTCATACGGAGTAAAAGCTTTAACGGCGTGGAGCTTAACTAGATGGGATGAGCACGTTCCAGAGATGCAGCTTGCATGAAGGTGTCATTGGTGGAAATTGCGTAAAGGGAGGCCGACGATCATGCATCTCTGGCGCTGTTGCTGGTTTTACCCCGTCTTTTCTCCGCATGTCCTCCTTACCCGCTTCATTCCATTATTTTCACTCGGGGCAATTGGCCCCGATAGATTGCTCCCATGCTTGATGTAACTGTGGAGAGCTACCCCTGAGCCCCGTTGGCATTATTAAAACAGCACGATGGCGCGATGTGAATCCCGCATACAACACTGAGTCCAGGCATTCTGACTGCGTATCGACTCCGTCCCGATGCGATTCTTCACCCCACCCTCGTCTCTTTCCCTCCTATTAGGTCTTTCTGCTTTAGCTTCTGCAAGCAACGTCCAGAAGAAAGGCAATGTGTGTACAGTAAAGGCCAACGGACATCAGAAGGACGATGTACCAACCCTTTTGACGGCATTCAAAGAGTGCGGCAATGGAGGAACTATCATTTTTCCCGAAGACCAGTCATACTGGATTGGACAGAGACTCAATCCCGTTTTGAATGATGTCGCAATCGAATGGCGAGGAAAGTGGACGGTAGGGGTCTCCATTCACAGACAAGCCACACATGTTGACGTCCTGCATTAGTTCTCGGATGACCTGTCCTACTGGCGTAACAACTCCTACCCCATTGCCTTCCAGAATCATGCGGCCGGCTTCGTCATTACTGGGCACAACATCAGTATCAATGGGTACGGCACTGGTGGTATCGACGGCAACGGCAATGTCTGGTATACTGCAGAAGCAGGCAACACGAAGCCCGGGAGACCGATGCCATTCGTTTTCTGGAACGTTTCCAACGTCGACGTCGAAAGTTTTTACGTCAAGGATCCCCCGCTGTGGAGTTTGAACATCATGAACGGCACCAACATGCGGTTCAACGACATCACCTGCAACGCGACGGCGGTGGATGCGCCGTACGGCAAGAACTGGGTCCAGAACACCGATGGATTTGGTAAGTCCCTTTTCTGACTAGACGAAAGTGCGTATAAGCTGATCATGGACTCACAGACACGATGGACGCAACCAACATCCAACTCACCAACTTCGTCTACCAGGGTGGTGACGACTGCATTGCCATCAAACCTCGCTCCTACAACATCGACATTCACAATGTCACCTGCCGCGGTGGCAACGGGATTGCCATCGGCAGTCTCGGCCAGTACTTGGAAGATTCCAGCGTTGCGAACATCAGGGTGGACAATGTGAAGGTATCACGGCTTCTGTTCCTTGTTCACGAACGGAGCAAACAAGACTGACCATTACAGATCATCCGGTACAATGAGGACATGCACAATAGCGCCTACATCAAGACCTGGGTCGGAGCCCTCGTGCCCCAGAGCTCCTACGAGAGTGATTACCTCCCCCGCGGAGATGGCTGGGGCAGCGTGAAGAACGTCATCTTCTCAAACTTCGATGTGCAGGGGGCCAATGCCGGGCCCTCGATCAGCGAGAGTAGTGGGAACAATGGTTCCTACGCGGGAACGAGCAAGATGTTGATCGCCAACGTGTCGTTCGTGAACTTCACTGGATGGGTTGATACTACTAAGACCACAACGTCGTCGGTATCGTGCTCAAAGGTCTATCCTTGCTATAACATCGAGTACGACAACGTGGTCCTGTACCCGAAGAACTCCACCGCGGCGGGCAGGGGCTCTTGCTCTTACACGGCTGATAAGGGCGTTCGTGGTTCGAGTGGCTGTTAGGTTGTAAGGCTAGCTACAGCCTGAATAACCTTCCTTTCGCCTCACTTGTATAGATCCGTGATGTACATACCGAACAGCAACTACGATGGTGAAAATATCCTGGCAGGGCTTCCCAGTCGCGGTCGCTTCCGCATCGAAGGGCTATCCGTCCGATGCCTGATATCTGTATGCTTCAGGTATTCATTGTGTCTTGATGTTGTCAATGTGAATCAGTAGCCCACAGGAAACCGGCACACCAGCAGGTATGGCGAGTGACTTGACTTTTTCTCTGTCACTATCATGATTCTATTCCTGCCACGGTGATAGCTAAGTAAAAGGAGCACGGAAGGGCGATTGAGGAACAGTTTGTAGCCAAGCTTTTGGCGTGGACAAACAAGCCCCTGGCCAAGCCGCGCTGGTGGATCGGGGACGCTTAACTTGGGGTGCAATAACAGCGACCCCTGTCAGGGTATTTATGTCATGTCTACGATCCGATAGCGGGTGATGTCAGCGAGATAATGATGCTCTGTATCGTCACCAATCGATTATACATGGAATGAGGTTCAGCAGCGCTGAGGACAAGAAAAAGAGAATTGCCACATATACACAATGCATTTATTTGCAAATGAGCAAAAAGTAATGACCTACGCAGGGCTCGAACCTGCAATCTCTTGATTCGTAGTCAAGCGCCTTACCATTGGGCCAGCAGGCCTTGCTGATGTAGTCTTCCCAGAATATGTGTAATATATCCTTAGAATACAGGATCGCTAAGTCAGAGGACATTGCGGCCAACGGTTGGCAGGTATGCTATGTAGGACAATGACAGAAATTATTCAAGGTGCGTGCACGGCTTAGGCATTATCTCTATCTATATTGTTCTTATAGTATGCTTATCAATGGGACACAGCTTTATAATTGTTCTTTGGGTTTACTGGATCTGGATATATACTCTTCTAAGCACTGGCAATTTGTCTGATTCCATAACCCGAACCAAATGATATCGTGCATACAGAGGAAGTCAACAAATAACACCCATAGCTGCACTGATACATGTAGTCTCAGCATACGCCCCCTCACTCACAAGCTCGACGATCATGCACGTCAACAAGCCCCCTGCGAGTGGAGGGCGCGTGCCTCATGATTCACCGAGATGATAGCAACACCTGCAAACACTGCCAGCCACATAAAGATCCAAGAACTGATTATATGGCTGTACGTTTACTAAGAATATGGAGCATAAAGCAACATGGCATATGTTATGAAGGTATCGTTCTATAGCATGATGGGAACTTCGCTTTTCATGGCCTTCTAGTAGATGCGGGATGCAATAGCAGAGGAGAAATCGACGGCATAGCCGAAATATATAATGTCTGTATATCGGGTGGAAACAGATGACAAGGTGCTATAGATATGCGCAAAGTGACATGCAAATTCTTCTGCTTATGTGCGAATTAAGTTAAGATCATGAATTCATTGACCAAGTTCCCAGGGGATCTAAGAACTCGATATCCCACAGCAAATCTGCACTGCACGTACAGATTTTATACTGTTATTCTCCAGCTCACCCATTTGAGCCGTCATAGACTGGCAATGTGCCCCTAGCTGGTTAGACCCATAAGAAGCCTAGGCCGAAGTCTCCTTGGGAGCACCGGCTTCACGAACTGCATTGGCGACACGGGTAGCGAGATCGTCGGCCTCAGAACGGCTTGCCGCTTCGGCGTAGACGCGCACAGCATCTTCCGTACCACTTGCACGAGCGAAACTCCTTCCCTTGTTGTACCGAGATTGCAGGGACTCAATCTCGGCTTGGAGGCCGGGTGGTGACTCGAGTTTACGCTCAGCGTCATAGGCTTTGAAAATTGAGCGATCCGCAACCTCGACACGAACAAGGCGAGAGGGCAGATCGGTGTAAGTAGCAAGCCACTCCTTAGGACTCCAGCCCTTGTGAGCAAGAATAGCCTCGACGAGAAGCATGTCAGAGATGGCGTCACCGACAGCCTGGTTGATCAAATCGGTGAGAGCCTGAAGGCACTCAAGCGAGCGCTGCTGCGCAGGAGACTGAGGCTCCGTGCTCTTGATGGTTTTCAAAGCACTCTCAGAGAATGTAATCGTACCGTGTCCGTTGGCCTCGAAGTAGACACCGACATCGAACCGCAAAGCGGCATGGTGAAGGTGCTTCACACCAGTGTTTGTGCAAACAGAGGGAAGCTTTAGCACTTTCTCGATATAATCAGTGCTGGCTCCGTTGGCATAAGCGGTCTGAACGACTCCAATCTTGAGCTTCTGTGCAATTCCAGCACTGCGAGCAAGATCTCCAATGAACGATGCAGCAAGGGTAGCGATACGATCGCCATCAAGCAACCTGAACACGTTGCTCTCATCAACGAAGTAGTATACAATACGGTCGGCATCGCCGTCCAATGAGGCACAACGCTCGAGAACACCGGCCTTGGACGATGGGGGAGCGCGTTGCTTCGTCTTGACATAATCGGCACCGCACTGACCAATGACTTAGCTCGGGCACTGCAGCATGAGCGGACTTGAAAGAGAATTTACCTCGAAGTTCAGGCTATCGGGGTTGATAACGTCGTCATTGATGACCTTGATGTCAAAGCCACCTTCCTCCACAGCGGGCAGATACTTGATAAGCTCCCTGAGCTTTGGCCCACCGACACCATTGGCACAGTCGACGGTCAAAGAGCCCTTGACCTTGACGCCCCGCATCACTCTCTTGAAAGCCTCGGCAAGTTTCTCGTAGTATCCCTGCTCAGTGGGCTCGCCATATTCGTACTGTGTGCCTAGAGTGTTCTTGCACCGAACAACATAGTGGAGCTGGGGGGTGGTCATAAATTTCAGATCAAGGAACTCGACTTCCGTAGCGGTGAGTGCGGCGTTAAGAACTGAGACGAGACGAGAGCCAGACGCGCGAGTGTCACGGGCGAAGACAACGCGAGCTTGATTCTCCATGCTGACATCAATCTCCTTGATAAGCTCTTCATAAACATCCCCGACCTTGTCGAGGGGTGCATTGGCAAGTCTGGTCGCATAGGTCTCCCATTCGGCCTAGAGGGTGGTGAGATGACTTTCTATCAGGAAAAATTATAGCACAATCATACCTCCAGCATTTCGCCCTGGTAAAGTCAGTTACAGTCATCATTCTAGGCGGGTTGGTCGGCAACTCACCATGGGGTCGACGAGCTTAACGCCATTGTCCTCTGCAGGATTGTGACTGGCGGTGACCATGACACCAACCCATTGTCCGCTAAGCTTCCTGGAACGAAGGCCCGCAAGCAAACCGACAGTGAAGACGACGGTGTTGAGGAGATCACTGGCATGGCGTCGGTCAACGTGTAAACAAAGGAGCGATCGCGGGGTATTGTGGAGGCGGGGTCGATCCTTCAGAAAGTTGTTTATTGGGAAGAGACTTACGCCTTCATGCGGAACTGTGGGCGGAATATCAGTCATGCTATTACAGATCCAAATGAGATTGAAACCAGGGGTCAACATACTCCTGCAGTGCCATATTGGAAAATCCTCCCTTCTGGCTTTGCGTACTGAGCAGCCGCTTCAGCGATCGCTTTCTTGGTAGCCGGAGACGCCATTGTGGCGCGAACTAAGTAAGAATGAGGGGCGGCAGCAAATCTCGTGGCAAACTGTAGTTCAAGAGCTTCCAGCAGATAGCACTATCGTGAAGTAAGTGTAGTGCCAAACGAAAAGGGGCAGATGAATTACAAAAAAGAGGAAGGGCAGAGCGAGTGGAGGGATGGATGAGTGGGTGAGACACAACCGGGGCCAGCTCAGGTTAGCTTCTCCGTACTGCCACAATGCGCCCGAGCGGTGAGCCGCTCACCGATGGCGTGGTTTGGAACAACCCACCCCAAGGACATCCGAAGACGAGGCGAGTAAAGAAGTTAACCACAAGTTTGCGGCGGCCTCAAAATGGTCAATATTCTATCATACATCACTACTAATGATACAGGCTCTCTCCGGTCACTGAGACCAGTTCAACCGAACTGCTACTGGCGGGAAGCAGAACCAAGTGTTTTGCAGAATACGAAGCGGCCTCCATGAGCCAGCCTAGGCTTTCAATCTTTCTCCTGCTACATCATTCTGAATGTCTTTGATGAGGAAGCTGGGCCCAAAAAAGTCAGTCTCCAGCACCCTCGAAAGTCCGACCGAAGTAAAGAGCTGAGGAGGGCAACTTACAAGTACCACCACGCCGTGGGAATCACTGTCCCCAGATGCCATAAGCTGTGTGCGTCAATGAGCTCGTTCCAGGGCGGGAAGTCGAGAAGCTCCAGGCTCATGGCCAAGATAATCCAAACCACGATCAGCGCGGGCCAGGTCATCCAAGTTTTACCATACTTCCTATAACGATAGATGCTGAAAGACACCCACAGGATGTTCTGAGCCATCCCTATCACAACATTCGCAATCATGTTGTAGGTGTAGTCCCAGGACCAGAAGCTCAGATAGCACACGTGCAAAGTGTAAAGGAGGACGCAAATGGTTGTCCAGAGACGGCGCAGAGTCGGCTTATGGCGGGGGTCTTCTTCATCTAGACGGAAAATTCGAATGATCGCAAGATATAGTCCGTACATCACGTTAGCTCCAGCCCCAAAATAATCCAGCTTCTCGGTCAATGCGAGGTCTCGAGTGTGAAACAACGCGCTAAACGTCCAACACGCTAGCCCGCAGTATCCGAACGCCATATAGTAGGGCCTGAGTGAGTGCCACGAGGGGATGGTTTCTCGGATTCTACCCATGCCATGCCAGTGGGCGAGGAAATTGAGGAGGGAGAAAAGAACAGAGAAGGGCTCTTGCATGCCGAGGATTCTGCGGAACGGCCATTTTCCGTGGAATTGTAGTATTGGGTTTAGCATCGGGGGATCACGAGCGACACGACGGTCTGTCACGACATGTTGGCAGGTATAATCGCACTCGGAAGGACACGTCCACAGCATGAGACGAAGATGGAGAGCTGCTGACGGGTCAGTTGAGACTTATGGGTATTGACAAATCGCATGAAACTCACGAATCACCGAGTTTCCATCATGGCAGTTCTCAGCCTTGCAGACCTGCTCACATATTAGCTATGTCATCGTCTGCGCAGCTCGAGCTGGCTTGGTTGGTATACCTTGACGCATTCCTTGAAGTCGGGGAGGTGATCGCCGAGAGACGCGGCCGATTTGCCAATAAGAGTAGCGAAAAGGAGAAAGACGAAGCAGCAATAGAGCTTTGTCCTGGTTGAGCCTAGAAACATAGTGACTTCTGTATTGTTGTTGCACAACCAGCAGAATGGTGAGCTCAGGAGGGAGACCCATAAAGAAGCGGCGGCGCGTGGCACCAGCGGGGGCGGAGTGGCATTGCGCGGCAATAAAAGAAGAACTCGGCATTTTCGATCCCAGGTCTGGACAGTGGAAACAGCATGGAACCTTTATCAAAGGATGAGTAACAAAATCCAATTGATATTGCAAATAGTTGTTCCTCTTCAGTAAGCAATATCTTCTCATAAGATACTAATGATTCTAGTAGCTACGAAATTGACAATAAGAACTGCCTGAGTCACCGGTATTTGACACTATGTATACTCGAGGTTCCGATACAATGGATGCAGAGCATACTAGAAGCCGCCACAAATGAACATAATTTTGCTTCTGTAGTCCGTGTGTCACAAACACTCAATACATTGTCCAATTTCCACCCTTAAATGATAAACCGAGGTTCCCCGGGCCTGTTTCCTAGAGTACAGGAAACTTCGGAGCCACTTTATCTCGAATCAGTAGCATCAGAGCCCTTATCAGCTCATAGGGCTAGCAGGATCACATGCTGATAAACCAAACTCGAAGTAATCTGTCTCAGACAAGGTCTAACCGTATGGGGTCTAGTGCATGTTGCCTTCCAGAGGAGAAATTCCAATAAGGGCAAAGGCCAAAAAAAAGACGGCCGCTCGAAGGGTTCGCCGAAGCGCTTTGTACTTTTTCACTTCTGCATATCATTTTATCACTGGTTAGACTTGTTGATTCTCTCCTCATTTCGCCTGTATCTACGCCCCTGGATCTGCGATATATTTTTTTTTATATTCTCAGCCTAGGTCTCCAACAAGCAGACGACTGATTCGCTACCATGGCCGGAGCAGAGAGACAGCAGTCCGCAGAGCCTGCTGCAATGACCAGCAGTGCTGATCGCATGGTGGGAATGGACCATGCTGAAGTCCGTTATTTCACGAGGTACATTACATTTCCTAACAGCTTATCTTGACATTGTGCTAATTGTGGTTAGTTATGATCACCACGGTAAATAATCCCATGCACAGAACCTATCTAGTGTCGGGTGAATGCTAACGTCAAACCCCGCTTAGGCATTCATGAGGAGATGCTTGTAAGTCAATTCACACAGCCCTTATTGTAATAGTCTACTAACCTCTCACTCTTTAACAGAAAGACGATGTCCGCACCAGATCCTACCGCGACTCTATCTACCAGAACCGTCATATCTTCAAGGACAAGGTTGTTCTCGATGTTGGCTGTGGTACCGGTATTCTTAGCATGTATGTGCTTGACTCTGTCATGTCTATATCTATAATTCTGATGTTGATGACTCCCTAGGTTCGCTGCGAAGGCCGGTGCTAAGCATGTGATGGGCGTTGATATGTCCTCCATTATCGAGAAGGCCCGCGAGATCGTCGAGGTCAACGGCTTAAGCAGCAAGATCACCCTTCTCCAAGGAAAGATGGAGGAGGTTGTCCTGCCGTACCCCAAGGTCGACATCATCATTTCGGAGTGGATGGGCTACTTCCTACTCTATGAGAGCATGTTGGATACTGTTCTCTATGCTCGCGACCGTTACCTCGTTCCCGGCGGCAAGATCTTCCCCGACAAGGCTACCATGTACTTGGCTGCCATCGAAGATGGCGAGTACAAGGATGATAAGATTGGATGTAAGATTAATCATTCCGCAATGTCTGCACGGTTGCTAATGAAGACTAGTCTGGGACAATGTCTATGGCTTCGACTACAGCCCCATGAAGCAGATCGCGCTCACCGAGCCCCTTGTGGACACGGTTGAGATGAAGGCGCTCGTCTCTGACCCTTGCCCCATTATCTCGTTCGATCTCAACACCGTCACCAAGGAGGATCTCGCCTTCAATGTTCCCTACTCGCTTACCATCAAGCGTAGCGATTTTGTCCATGCTGTGATCGCTTGGTTCGATATCGAGTTCGGCGCTTGCCACAAGCCGATCCATTTCTCCACCGGCCCCCACGCTAAATACACCCATTGGAAGCAAACCGTCTTCTACCTGCGGGATGTTCTGACCGTCGAAGAAGAGGAGGTTGTGTCTGGCATGCTGGAGAACAAGCCCAACGACAAGAACAAGCGCGATCTTGATATCAGCATCACTTACAAACTGGAGACTACGGACCAGAACCGCTCTGCTGAGGGTGGTTGTTTCTACAGAATGTAAGTACCCCGGCAACTGTCAGCGACCTGACAAGGAGGCTAATTATCGAAGGTGCTAAATCAACGCCTTAAACACTTTATCATTGCTGAAACGATCCACCAGTGGGTCGGCGCTATGATTGCTTTGACCGGATCCAGCGTGAGAGATTCTGGCGGTGATTTGAAAATATTTACCCGTGGGTAGCATGGCATTTAAAGGGAAGCACGCTTGCATGACACTGGGTCGACGAATCGGTTTTCTTGACTTGCTTTGTTTGTTTATGCCATTTCATTTCCGTTATGTTCCGGCGTTATATTGGAAGGCAGGAAACGGCATCATTATCTGGCGCGACACGGAGAGATGGTTTCCACAAGGACGATTATGAAGCTCCTCGAACTTCCCAAGTAGATACCCCGAGTCGATGCTCAATCTTATCATCTCTGACGATCTCCTTATATTGCTCAGTCTCTACTCCATTTTTCTGCATACCTCTTAAGTGTTCACAGCACACTTCATGCATTCATGACCTTTGTAATGCATTGTATTATATCTTTTCCTGAACGTTTGGACCGACCGATCCAGTAGCACCGATCCACTTTCAATATCGATGATTAGGCTGACTTGGCGGCTTCATTCAACGCGGCCTGGCGCTTTCGGTCCAGGTGACATTAGCCTCGGCTTATTCGAGGCCCCGCAACGGAGCTGCTGTCTGTCTGGGGTACAAAAGCATACCGCCCTAACAGTCTCAGCTTCTTCTGGATGTCGAAGGCAAGCAAGTCTACATCATCTCCCGAGCAGTTCAATCTCGTGTTCGCAAGCATTTGATCGCGCACTAGACTGAAATTGCTTCTCTGAATCCACCAGCCAACTACATCAGCCCATTCCAGATATCACCAGACGCCCAGATGTCTGCTCCCGGGGCCGATCATGAGTTCGCCCCCCAGGAGGTTTCCTGGCAGAAACGCGACATCCTCTTGTTCGCTAACAGCATTGGCTGCAAAGCCGATGAATTGCACTTTCTTTATGTATGCATCTGCTTTGTTCGACGGGTTGCGACAGGATGCAATAGGATGCATGTTCATTGACCCTTGTGCAGGAACTTCACCCCCGATTTGCAACCTTCCCAACCTACCCGATTATCCTTTGTATGTGCGGGACAATCTACTTCTGACGAAATGGGCACTGACACTCCAACTTGCATGCAGCCTTCAAGCTCACTGATCAGGAAGTGACGGATTTTTATGCTCGAGCAGGCGGTGCGCCAATTCCCGGGGCTCCCAAACTCGACTATCGTCGAGCCGTGGATGGTCAGCGGCGACTCGTCGTCGTTAGACCCCTTCCAACGTCCAGCACAGGTCGGAAATTCGAGTTGCGGAACAAAGTTATCGGGCTTTACGACAAGGGCAAGGCTGGAACTGTGCTCGAGACAGAACAGTCGATTGTGGACCAAAAAACTGGAGACATCTATACCAAGATCTTCAGCAGCAGCTTTTTCGTCGGACAGGGTGGGTGGGGTGGCCCGAAGGGTAAGCCCGACTAAGACACCAAGCCTGTCAATTCTCCCCGACTCATGGTTTGCTGCAGGCCCAAGCACGGTGAATTACCCCCCTCCGGAGGGTCAAATGCCGGATGCCACCCATGTGGTTCACACAACTCCTGAGACAGCTCTACTGTATCGGTAAGACCTCCTAGATATTTCTACGAGTCTGATCTGTCGTTAGAACTTCTAACACAATTGTCAGTCTCAATGGCGATTACAACCCTCTACACGCAACGCCCGAGCCAGGTTCAAAGATGGGCTTCGGTGGCACAATCATCCACGGGCTGTTTAGCTGGAACTCTGCCGCTCATGGCATTCTGAGAGAACTTGGACAAAGCGAACCGGAGAACATGAAGGAGTTCCAAGCGCGCTTTGCCTCTCCAGTGAAACCTGGCGACAAACTCACTACCGAAATGTGGCGGATGGGAAGGCTGCAAAGTGGCGAAGAAGAAATTCGTTTCATCGTAACAAATGACCAGGGCAAGGTGGTGCTCAGTCATGGTCGTTGCCTATTAAAATTCAATGGCTCGACGGCCAAGCTGTAATTGCAGCATGCGGTAAATACTGTCATACTGAATTCTTTTGACTATGGAGGGTAGAGGAACAGACCTCTTCTTGGAAAAAACGGGTGCTGCCAGTTGTATGTACCGTTTAAAGACCTAGCCTGGGAGCAGAGTCCCACAATAGTGTGAAGCATCTTCATATATTGACACCAATGCTATTAATTTAGATTGTGATCGAGTGGGGTGTTGGACGGTTTGCCTCGGCCCCCGGGGGCTGCACGTGACATGAGACGGTCGAATGTCAATACTTGCGGATAGAGAGATTGGATTTCTCCGCCACTCCGTGCGGGGAATACCATTATCAGGTTGCAGATTTCGCGACAGACACAGAAATGAGTACGGTAGGAAGACGGCTTTTCTCTCGGGCGCTCGCGCCTCCAAGCCTTTTTAGGTAGGGATCCTAGTACAAATTGTTACAGTACTGGCTAACCTGTGGCATAGGAGCGCAAATGTTATGTCCTGCTCTTCATGGAACTGTGCTCTCTCGGTGAGTACTATTCCCCAATCGCGCCATTCATTGAAAAGTTCATACAGGCTAACGGTCTCTTTGCAGAGCATAAGGCCACTTTTCACAGGACCAGGTGATATCCCTCTGACAGAACTGCCGCCTGATACATAATGGGTTTACATACTGAATATCGAGGACTGATTGGAAGCATCAACTCAGCCCCGAAGACGAAGTTCGAAGCTAAGCAAATGGAATTCCCAAAAGAGAGCTTCGATAGACTGTAAGGATTGTGGACTGTGGAGTACCTTACACATGTCAGACCGAGACAGCTAATGCTTTAATGAAGCGGACCATTCTGGCTACGGTAGGAACCGAGAATATCAGTACTCATTACATGGAGGCTTATATTGCGAGAAATTCTCTCTGTTAGAGAAAATTGCCAGTGCCGTCATTGCGTTAATCCCAAGACCAAGCAACGGCAAGTAGACACTTTTGCGGTTTGTGGCCCCATGATCCTGCGATGTATTCTGCGAATGCTAATTCTCCCACTTTCGTCCTCTATTAGATCCCTAAGGATGTTCAGTCTGAGTCAGTCACCTATGCAACATACGGTCTCAAAGTGGAATGTGAGAGCAATTCCGTCATCTCGAGTCACGCCGAGGCTGAATCTCAACAGGGTCTGATGGGCATTTGGGGTTATATCCATATCCATGGCTCCGAGCCTATGGTTCCAAAAGGCCGGTGACCGTCCCGATTGCAGCTGTGCATACTGTCAAACCCAGGTACCACCACTTAAGATTAGATGCATGCTTCGGAGCTCACCATATATGGTTCTAGGCCTTACGAAGCTTATGCACTCAAGGCGGAATTCAGGCCATACCCAACAGTCTCATTTGAAGATGTTATGTCTAGTGATAATGGCGTACTTCGGTGGCTCGATAGAATTGTAAGCACCCTCTCCGGAACTCAGTGGTCGGGTTCTAATTCCAAATAGCATATCTTTGGCTTCTGTTTTGTCAAAGATATGCCCGCGAATCCAGCCAGCACTGAAGAACTTCTGAAAAGGATATCTTTCATCAGACCCACACATTACGGTATGCTTAACTTTGACAAGACCTTTGCGTTGAAACCTGGGTGAATTCTAAGCTGAGATTTTGAAGGTGCATTTTGGGATTTCACGGCGGATATGACATTCAAGGACTCTGCATATACGAACGAAGCCCTCGGCGCACATACCGATAATACTTACTTTACGGATCCTGCGAGACTTCAATTGTTCCACCTTCTGTCTCATCAAGGCGGGGCGGGAGGTGCTACTCTGCTTGTCGACGGCTTCAAAGCGGCTGAAGCGATGCGAAAGGAGAACAAGCCGAACTACATGGCGTTCATGCGCACTACACAACCTTATCATTCCAGTGGCAATGAAGACGTCTGTATACAGCCTATACATGAATTTCCGGTGTTCGAAGTTCATCCTCAGTTGGACCAACTGTACCGGATTCGCTGGAACAACTATGACAGAGCACCGAAGGCGAACTGGGATAGTAAAGAGCTGACGAAGTGGTACACTGCGGCGCGGCACTGGAATGAAATACTTACTCGTTCAAAACACCAGATCTGGATCCAGCTCGAGCCGGGAATGGCATTGAGTGAGTGCTGTTTACCCTCGGCGCTCCTACATTACAGCTAACCCACGGATAGCTATTGATAATTGGAGGATGCTACACGGTCGTTCGGCATTTACCGGAAAGCGCAGAATGTGCGGTGGCTATAGTAAGTGCTCTTGGTTGATGACAGCTCCTTGCCCTATTGCACCATGAGGCCTGGCTGCTTTGCTGACTCGCGACAGTCAACAACGATGACTTTCTTTCTCGATACCGGCTTCTCAAGTATGGCCGACAGGCTCTTCTGAACAATATCGGAAATTATAATGATAGGAGTGCGAGGGATAACCCGAATGTAGTGATATAAATGGGTTGCAGATGCTAGTCCCATCCATGTACTAGAGCCATACAACACTTGAAGAAGCGGAGTTGCTTTTCGAGGGCCGAAACATTTGTAATAACATCACGTGACATAGGCAGGACAGCTGACGTTGTTTGGCCGAAGCTCAGGGCAAGCCGGCTCCAACGCAGCTCTCAAGTCTCCCATCTTCCTGCTCTCATTCTTTTTCTCCCCCCCTCCCACCTCTTTTCTCCATATAGCTCCCAGACTCGCAATTAATATACCTATTTTCTATCCTCTGTAACTTCCACATAATACTGCCACCATGTCCACCTTGGAAGACCTCGATGACTTTGAGCGTGAACAGAGAGAGAAGAAGAAGGATCAGGGCGATGGCGGCGACCGAAAGCCCGAAGGCGACGGAGATGCAGAGATGAACGATGCTGATGCCAAGAAAAAGGATGAGGAGGATGAACTGCTCGATGAGGAGATCGTTTCCTCTAGCACAGCAGATATCGTCAAGAGGCGGCGAATGTTGGAGAACGAATTGCGGATAATGAAAAGCGAATACCAGCGCTTGACACACGAACAGAATACGATGAGGGAAAAGGTTAAAGACAACCAAGAGAAGATCGAGAACAATCGGTATGTTATACTTCACATTGTTATCAGGTTGCCTTCTGTGCGCGCCGCTTAGTGGCGATGGCGATACTCTATCTAGGCACTCTCACTGACCACACTTTATAATCATCCAGACAACTACCCTACCTTGTCGGAAACGTCGTTGAGCTGCTGGACTTGGATGTCGAAGCTGAAGCCGCTGAGGAAGGAGCTAATATCGATCTCGATGCTACCCGAGTTGGCAAATCTGCTGTCATCAAAACCTCAACCCGCCAGACCATCTATCTCCCATTGATCGGTCTCGTGGACCACGAGAAGCTGAAGCCCGGCGATCTGATCGGTGTCAACAAGGACTCATACCTAGTCTTGGATACGCTACCGGCCGAATATGACAACCGCGTCAAGGCCATGGAAGTTGATGAGAAGCCGACGGAGAAGTACACAGACATTGGTGGTTTGGATAAGCAGATCGAGGAAATCGTCGAGGCCATCGTTTGGCCAATGAAGGAAGCCGATCGCTTCAAGAAGCTCGGTATCAAGGCACCGAAGGGTATGTGCTACAATAGATTACCGGTCTACCGGCCCTAACCCATACTAATTCGCTTCAGGTGCTCTGATGTACGGACCCCCCGGTACCGGTAAAACACTCCTCGCCAGAGCGTGTGCCGCCGAGACGAATGCCACATTCCTGAAGCTCGCCGGTCCCCAGCTAGTACAGATGTTCATCGGTGACGGTGCCAAGCTTGTTCGCGACTGCTTCGCCCTTGCCAAGGAGAAGGCTCCTTCTATCATCTTCATTGACGAGTTGGATGCCGTCGGTACCAAACGTTTCGATTCCGAGAAATCTGGTGATCGTGAAGTGCAACGAACCATGTTGGAGCTTCTTAACCAGCTCGATGGCTTCGCCTCCGATGATCGGATCAAGGTCCTCGCGGCCACGAATCGTATCGATGTGCTGGATCCGGCCTTGCTCCGATCCGGTCGTCTGGACCGCAAGATCGAGTTCCCCTTGCCCAACGAGGAGGCTCGCGCCAACATTCTACAGATTCACTCCCGCAAGATGGCCGTGGATGACGGCGTCAACTGGGCGGAACTGGCTCGCAGCACTGACGAGTTTGGAGGTGCGCAGTTGAAGGCTGTGTGTGTGGAAGCCGGTATGATTGCCCTGCGCAAGGGCATGAGTAAGGTTGGACACGAGAACTACGTTGATGCCATTTCGGAAGTACAGGCGAAGAAAAAGGACACCAACATGGGTATCTATGTTTAAGAGTATCATATCTTTTTGCGTCACGATAATAAATCCCACGATGTTCCTCTAATTTGTTCTCGGCACCCGTCGCGTGACAACAATTTACGTCCATTGAAGCATGAAGGCATCTATGCGAGCATAGTATCGCTATGGAAAAGGACGTAATTATAGCCCTGCCAAATAACCTTAGGTAGTAGACGGTCTATTCATTGGTCCCAATATGTCGGCTAATAGAATCATAGAGTATCGATCGACTAAAAAAAATCATCATGTGGGTATTGAATCCGGGCGTGAGAAGTATTTTCAGAAAGTAATCAACAAAGAATAGAAGTAGACGAAAAGATCCATCAGATATCGCATTCCGAGTCTACACGAGTCCTCAAAACACAAGATCCCATAACTCCTCGAACGATAGTAGCAGGGCAAAGAAGAGACGAAAGCATGCATGCTCTACTCTAGCCCTGCTCCTGATCCATCTCATCCCGAGACCGCTTCCCTTTTCCAAACTTCTTCCCGGTCTTGTTGCCTTTCTTCTCGTCGTAGTCTTTCATCTGCATGATCGCCTGTCTTTGCGCCTCGGAAACATTATCTGACAACATCATCACCTCGTCCTTCGGACAGTCATACTCGGGCAATTTTTTCTGGAGGGCGTTCTCGATTCGCATCCACAGCTCGATGTCGTATTGGCTGATGAATGAGACGGACTTGCCGGATTTTCCGGCACGCGCGGTTCGACCAACTCGGTGGACGTAGCTGGCGGAGTCTAATTTTGAGGATAGGGTGTCAGTTCATGTGCCCCAGGTCTTCTTTTCGTAGTATATGCGGGAGGGGAACAAGATAAGAATCATACCGGTAGGTAAATCATAGTTAATGACAGCATCGACACTGGGAATGTCCAGACCACGAGCCGCAACGTCCGTGGCGACGAGGATATTGCGACTCTTGGAGCGGAACTTGCCAAGCGCACCCAGGCGCGCCGATTGGGAGAGTTGGCCGTGCAGTGGGATAGCGCCGAATCCAAGCGCGCGGAGCAGGAAGGCGATACGCTGGGTCTCGTGAACAGTGCGCATGAAGATGATTGTTGATTGGCCGGCGAACTCATTCAACAGGTAGACGAGATACAGGTCCTTGTGTTTCTGGGGAATGAAGAGGTAGGACTGGATGAGGGTGGAGACGGTCGAGTACTTGGAATTTTCGCTTTGCACGGAGACACGCAGAGGGTTGGAGAGGGAGGCTCGCTGGAGGGATTCGACCTTCGAGCTCATCGTCGCGGAGAAGAGGAATGTTCTGCGCTCCCGTGGGAGGACTTTGAGGATCTTCTCTAGGAGTGGGCCGAAGTCCATGTCCAGCAGACGATCGGCTTCATCCATAACCAAGTATTTCAGCGAGCGGAGAGAGAATCCCTTCGTGTTTTCGAGGTGATCCAGAAGTCGGCCTGGCGTGCAGACCAGGATGTGCGGCCGTTTTGCGATGGCGATACTTTGACTGAGCATATCCATTCCACCCACTATAGTCACGGCTCTCAGACCGATCACAGATCCCAAGGCTTCGAAAGCCTGCGTGATCTGATAAGCCAGCTCGCGAGTAGGAGCCAGCACAAGGCCGAAGAAGGGTTGAGGCTTCTCCATGAGTGCCTGAAGGATGGGCAATGCAAATGCCGCAGTTTTACCAGAACCAGTCTGTGCTAAACCGATGATATCTCTGTTTTGCAAAGCGAGTGGGATAGCCTCCCGTTGAATCGGCGTTGGTGCTTTGTATCCCATCGTCTCACAGGCCTCACATAATTGATCGATTAGTCCGAGTTCCTTGAAGGTCGTGACCGGCTTCTTCTCGGCGACTTCATCCACTTGCTCCGGAGCAGATTGTTTCGAGCTGGTGGACTCAGCATCGCTGTGAGCTTCGGGTGTCTCATGGGCGACCTTGCGCTTCTTAATTGCTGGCATGATGTGTGATGTCTGTATATCTCCGATATCGAAGTATGTTCTGGATCGGCCTTATCGAGGAAAGAAAATAATTTTTGGGCGCCGCAACATCATTGATCCGGGCTCCTCCGCGGCTTTGCTCCGCCCTTAGTTTTTCTGCGGGTCGAGAAAAAGTCCTGCGTCTAATCCAGACATTGGGGAAGGTCCGTCCATCTTTAGTGATCATCTCCCCTCAAATTTTGATTCAGAGCTTTTCAATATGGCCAAGGCACGTACCAAGAAGCGCACTCATGTTCGTGCGCAAAATGCCACGGCTGCTGCCAAAGGCGGTGCCTCATCTATGAGCAAAACTCCCAAGTCGATGGTCATTCGAGTTGGCGCTACACGGGTCGGTTCCAGCGTCAGTCAGCTGGTCAAAGATGTTCGGACGATGCTCGAGCCCGACACGGCTGTGCGGTTGAAGGTATGATATACCGAGAGACTTCTGGGCGTTCAAGCAAGGACTGTGTAATGTTGACTTTTTCGCTGCCCAGGAAACAAAATCAAACAGACTTCGGGATTTCACGACAATGACTGGTCCTCTGGGCGTGACCCATCTTCTCCTTTTCTCAAAATCCTCCACTGGCAACACAAACTTGCGATTGGCGCTCACTCCCCGAGGCCCGACCCTGCATTTCAAGGTGGAGAACTACTCTCTATGCAGAGACGTCGAGAAATCGTTGAAGCGCCCGCGCGGTGGTGGTCAGGACCACAAGACGCCCCCGCTGCTTGTGATGAACAACTTCAATTCCCCCAATGCAGACGAGAACTCCAAAGTGCCAAAGCGTCTTGAGAGCCTGACCACGACTATCTTCCAATCTCTCTTCCCTCCGATCAACCCTCAAGCGACCCCGCTCACCTCCATCCGCCGTGTCATGCTGTTGAACCGTGAACTCGCCGCCGAAGGCGAAGAGGAAGATTCCTACGTCCTCAACCTTAGACACTATGCCATCACTACGAAGAAGACCGGTATTTCGAAGCGTATCCGTCGGCTCGATCCCAAGGAAATCCGGAACAAGGAGAAGAAGAAGACCGCTGTGCCCAACTTGGGAAAGCTAGAGGATGCTGCAGACTACTTGCTCGACCCTTCGGCTGCAGGTTACACTTCTGCTAGTGAAACAGAAATGGACACGGATGCAGAGGTCGAAGTTGCGGAGAGCACCACTCGGAAAGTTCTTTCGAAACGCGAGCTACAGCGCATGAAGTCCGGCGACAAGGAGAAGGCCCAGAAAAAGCTAAGCAATGGTCCCGAGGTTGAGAAGCGGGCGGTCAAGCTGGTTGAGCTGGGCCCGCGCATGAAACTCCGGTTGCAGAAGGTTGAGGAGGGTCTGTGCGAGGGCAGAGTGATGTGGCACGACTTCATTTCGAAGTCTGAGAAGGAGGTCAAGAACCTGGACAAGAGCTGGGATAAGAAGAAGAAGGAGAAGGAAGAGAGGAAGAAGCAGCAGAGGGAGAATATCGAGAAGAAGAAGGCAGAGAAGGCTAAAGCCAAGGCAAATGGAAAGGAGGTTGAAGACGATGATGACGAGGATATCGAAATGAGCGATGACGAATGGCTCAGCGACGATTTTGACGAGGATGACGAGAACGTGGTGCAGGATGAGGATGACGAAGAGGAAGAGGAAGAGGAGGAAGAGGAGGAAGGCGACGAGTCTATGGATGATGAGTAAATCACCAACGCCATTCATATGATGCTCTTCAAGTTAAGCCGTCAAGAACATAGGCTGCCGCATCGTGCTCCCTGCGCTCTTCAATTACCTTCAAGCCCTTACCATGACCACTGTGGCCACCTCCTAACCCACAAATGCGACGCGTGCATGATTCCATGCAGGCAACTCAGCGTATCGCGCTAAGTTCAATGTGCTTGTGGCCGCGTTCCCAGTATGGTGCTCAAGAGGTGTCACTCGACCATGCGGCGTGGACTATATGTGGCCGATGCGACTGAAACAGGGACAGGCGGGTGAGAGGACCGGACCCAGAATCGTGCCTCGGGAGGCATTATAGCTATTTGATTGAAGGAAAAGTTATGTATCCTATGATTCGTTAGGAGTTTCAAATTATACCCACGATTTCTGGTTGCACATGCAGCAAGAGCCATGGACGAGTAAGAATTGTCATATTGCCTATCATGGAACTACGTAACCTCATAAACATTATCGGATATTATTCTAGCTTTTTTTTTTTTTTTTTTTTGCATCAACAAATCACCGCTTCAGCTTCTCATCCACAATGCGAGACACCATCTTCTCCAGAATATTGAAATCGCCGCTCGCAGAACCAGCAAAGTAAGCCTGTACACTCTTCTCAACATACTTACCCACAATATCAATCTCCACGTTGACATAGTCCCCGGGCTTCTTCGACGCGGTCACAATCTTCTCCTGAGTGTACGCGATAAGCATGACCTCGAAGTACCCCTCCTCCCCGTCGACCACCTTGGTGACCGTCAAGCTGGCGCCGTCCAGCGTCACGTAGCCCTTCTCGACAATATAGCGCATGACGCCCAAGTCGCGCGGCTGGAATCGGAACACGAGGGCATTACTGTCCTGAGTGACGGAGAGAACCTTTGCGATGGTATCGACGTGGCCCTGGACGAAGTGGCCGCCCATCCGGGTCTCGCCCAGCACGGCGCGCTCCAGATTCACCTTGGAACCCGTCTGCAGAGAGCCCAGGTTCGTGCGGCGCAGGGTCTCCGGGGCGACGCCGACCTTGAACCAGGTCTTGTCAAAGGCCGTTACCGTGAGGCATGTTCCTGTTTGTTCCCCAAAGGTTTTGGTAGTGAGTCAATTGTTTTCCGGTTTGCTGATAAATCAACAGGAGTCCGGGGATGAGGTAGGGTGGTTGAAGGGGAAAATGCGACATTGAAGCGAGAGGTGACGGAGAACACAAAATAACAGGAATGCAATTCTATAGGGAGGTGCATACCATTGACAGCTATGCTATCGCCAAGGTGCGCATCGACGAGAATCTCCTCACAGTCGGTAATCGTCAGCGAGGTACCCCCGCCCCCGCTTGATGTGGTATCGAGGGATTCGAGGGACGAGACCGCTGGGAAAGTAAGTAGAGCATCGTCAGTACAAAACGAATTAAAGATCGCGGGACCATTTCAAGACGACTTACTCCCAATCTTTTCAACAAGTCCGGTGAACATGGTGAAATATGCAGGAGTACGCGGAATTATGAGATCGAAGCCGGCAGATCGAGCGGGTTGAAGATCAGAGAAGTCGAGCGGCAAGCGGTTGACCTCGGCTTGGGCCGATGCCGCCGCCGCTCGGTGATGGCTGCCGATGGCTGTTACTCGTTCGGTTTCCTTGCGTCGGATCCTTGACATATAATAGAGACGTCCGACTGCTTTTGCTTTGTTGATTTTGATGATTACACACCGGACATAATTATTTTATTCTGTTATATGACTATGAGTTTTGCAGTCTCCTCAAAATTGCCGCGGGCTTTCATTGCGTGCCGGCCGCTCAGCCATACATACCTTTATCTCTCTAAGAGCAACAGATCATGGCGTCAATACTCCACTGCGCTTCCCGATGATACACTTCCTCTGAAAGGCATCAGAGTTCTTGATATGACAAGAGTCTTGGCTGGTGTGAGTAATCTGCATTGACCTGCCACGAGCCGTTGTTGACAGTGCATGCAGCCATACTGTACACAGATCCTTGGAGATCTAGGGTACGTTGCCGCTGCACTTTATGGACCTTGCAGCATGCAAATCTAATACTAGTTCGCCCCGTACAGGGCAGATGTCATCAAAGTAGAACACCCCACGCGTGGCGATGACACTCGTGCTTGGGGACCGCCATACGCTACGTACACTGATGGGTCAGAAGGGCCCGGTGAGAGCGCTTACTACCTGGGAGTGCGTTATACCCTTAGAAGGATATACTGAGTCGAACTGTTAACATCGGTATTCAGGTCAACCGTAACAAGAAGTCTATTGGCTTATCCTTTGCTCATAAGTCCGGAGTTGAGATTCTACATCGGCTTGCAAAAGAATGCGACGTGCTGGTGGAGAACTATCTGCCTGGTAGCCTCAAGAAATACAGCATGGATTATGAAACTCTCAAAGCCATTAATCCCAAGCTCATCTACGCCAGTATCACAGGCTATGGCCAAACGGGGCCATACAGCAACCGCGCCGGATACGACGTCATGGTTGAGGCGGAAATGGGTCTGATGCATATCACTGGTAGCAGGGAGGGGGAGCCGGTCAAGGTTGGTGTCGCTGTGACGGACCTAACCACTGGTCTTTACACGTCTAATGCTATCATGGCGGCATTGCTCGCGCGAGCGCGAACGGGGAAGGGGCAGCATATTGATGCATGCTTGAGCGACTGTCAGGTCGCGACTCTGGCGAACATCGCTAGCTCGGCTTTGATCAGTGGGAAAAAGGATTCAGGACGGTGGGGAACGGCACACCGTGAGTATCTGAGGCCGGTGCTATCTATCTTTTGTTGTTTACTGATCCATTCTCAAGCATCTATTGTGCCTTACCGAAGTTACAAAACCCGTGATGGCGATATCCTCTTCGGCGGCGGGAACGACAGACTGTTCGGTGTGTTATGTGATCGACTGGGTTATCCCGAGTGGAAGACCGATCCTCGGTTTGTCACTAATAGCGACCGAGTGAAGCATCGGGATGAAATTGATGGACTGATCGAGGAAAGGGTAAGGCAAAAGACGACGCAGGAATGGCTGGAGATATTAGAAGGGAGCGGGATGCCGTATGCCGCGGTCAACGACATTCAAGGAACACTAAATCATGCACATGGTAAGACCGTTTGCTCCCGACCGCTCATTCTCCATGTAAGATGGCCCTAACATCAGAGCATAGTCCAAGCACGCGGCATGGTCACCGAGGTCGATCATCCGGCCTGCGGTCCGATCAAGCTGGTGAACACACCGATCAAATATTCCCATGCAACCCCTGGTGTTCGAACGCCACCCCCGACCCTAGGACAGCACACCGATGAGATCCTGGCAGAAGTACTCGAGTATGGTAAGGAGGAAATAGCTGTGTTGAAGAAGGAAGGTGTAGTGGCATAGAAGTCATTGTTTTAAGATATAGTCCCGTTGGGATGTCGTGGGTTACGCTTGAGTTGATGTGTGGTCCGTAAGGAGGATCATGTCTCTGCCGAATACATGGTTAAGTTTTGTGCAGCTGTCGGCTGAGCCGCACTGAGATATAGCATATCAAAGCTTGGAAACAATTAAATCAAAGGATACCAGAGTCCGTTTCTCAGTCTGGTTGTCGGACATATGGCAAGAACTGCATCATCGCGTATGGATTGTCAACGAATGCAGTCAGTTCCTTCCAAGGGCGCGGGGATGAATTCCTATCGATCACGTGATGGTATATAAATCTGGATCCGTTCATGATGGTCATCTCCTGTCTCACCCGTGGCAGTGTTGGTTCAATATCAGTGTCATTGATGTGCCCATTGCCGTTGCAGCGTGAGTGTGCTTAGCAGGACAGATTCGGGGGGATATGTCACAGCAAAATGGAGGAGGTTCTGCCTCCCTGGCGTCTATAGAAGCAGCGCCACCCACCCACGGACTTCTGCGCACCATCACTTCGGGTTCGCATTCATCAGCTTCCTCGCTCCCACACAACATTGGCTCACCATCAGTCCCATCCTCGTCGAATACGACCCGATCGTCGAATACCCCGTCGAGGAAGGTGGATATACCGCGGCTCTCAGCGGCCACAACCGAGTTACTCGCTCGAGTCACTGGGAACCTGAAAGGAACACAGCAAAGATATGATAATAAGTTTATCCGTTGGAATCCTCTGGCTGCAAATCGAGTTGGAAGCAATCCGAACAGTCACCAGAGAGGCGCTATGAGAGCCTCTTCAACTATTATCGAATTGCCTACGGCGCCGTTCACATATTCGAGCAATGTGGTGCCACCTGCGGTTTCTCCAAGTACTGCTACTTCTACCGTTACCCGAGAAACTCCTTCAAATTCTACTGAGAGCCTGGTTAATATCGCATCAAAATCAGCAGCAGCAGTGCCCTCTAAAACAGTTCCGACAGCTGACTCGTCTGAAATATCATTGAATGGCTCTACATCGGTGCCACAAGCAACACCGCCGCCGGTGCTGTTGCCCTTACCATTAACACAGCCTCACGCTACTGTTTGGCCAGCTAAACCTCTACCTACAGGAGTGCCTACAGCTGACTCGCCTGAAATATTATCAACTGGCTCTGCAATAGCGCCACAGGCAGTCATACAGTCAACGCCACAGGCAGTCATACAGTCAACGCCACAGTCAGCGCCATTACCCGTATTGGTGCCTTTATCACCATCACAACCTCCGACTACTGCTTCGACAGCTAAATCTCCGCCCACAGTAGTCCCCATAGCTGACTTGCCTGAAGAATCATCCGATGGCTTTTTATTGGCGTCACAGCCAGCACCAGCATCACAGCCTCAGACTACCGTCTTGACAGCTACACCTCCACCTACAGCAGAGCCTGCAGCTGATTCACCTGAAAAGTCATCAGATGGCTCTGCATCGGTGCCACAACCGGCACCACTATCACGGCCTCAGACTATTGTGTCGACAGCTACACCTCCGCCTACAGCAGTCCCTACAATTGCCCCGCCTGAAGTATTATCACATGGCTCTAATGGCTTTATAGTAGCACCACAACCAGCGTCATTGCCCGCGTTGGTGCCTTTAGCACCATCACAGCCTCAGACTACTCCATCAACGGCTAGGCCTTTGCCTGCAGCGCCCCCAATACCTGAATCGCCTAAAGTAACATCGAATCGCTCTGCATTAGCGCTACAGGCAGCACTACCGCCGGCGTTGGTGTCTTTACGACCAACACAGCCTGAGGCTACTAGTTCCGCGACTAATTCTCCACTTACAGCAAGCTCAGCATTTAAGTCTAAAAGGCCTACGACAAACGGCTGCCGTAAGAGAAACAGTACCACGAATGGGGCCAAGAACAAGAGACGCCGTCGCAATAGGGACAGTGACGATGAGAGTGTCATTCGGGCCGGTGATTCTAGCAGCGACGAGTCTGACATCGCGCCGACGGCCACTCAGACCAAGTCTGGCCGACAGGTCAACCGACCTTCTTTATATGTGCCTCCACCTTCGGTGCCGGCTGTTGTCAAAGAGACCAGTAACTGCCTGGAGACGTCGGACAACACGCGTGGCTCTACTGAAGCGACTCGGAAACGTAAGCGCGTTCAACGCAAAGCGAAGGATGTGTACGTCACATGTACCCGCTGCCAGAGGGGGCATAGCCCATTGAGCAATGCGATTGTGTTCTGCGATGAATGCAATGGGGCCTGGCATCAATTATGCCATGACCCTCCCATCGGCTTAGAGGTCGTTACAGTCAAGGAGAAGGAATGGGTTTGCGGTGAATGCAAGCCTGTGCCGATTACCATTGTTCAGCCAACGGTCGTCAGGAGTAATCCGACACTTGCGAGAGCACACCCAGTCTCAATTCCGGCATCCTCCTTGATAGTACCCCGAGCCGAAGTGAGTGCGGAGGGCTACTCGGCCGAAGAGCGGCGGGGGTTTCTGTCAGGCTTGTCGCACGCAACCCTTGTTGAGCTTCTCGTGAGCATATCGGGGAGCAACCCCACCCTGCCAATGTTCCCCGCGAACTTGAAGGAATATCGCTCTTCAAGATTTTCGTTCCGTCCTGGTTGTTCAGCTGTGACAGATGCTTCTACTTCTGTTCAAGTGCCTATCGGAGAGACAAACGGCTTGACGCATACAGCCAGTTCCATGGAAGAATCAACAAGGTCATCAACGGTAGTTGCGGCGGGTGATTCAACGGTGCCGTTGTCTCGAACAAGATATGAGGAGCTTTCCGATGAAGAATCAGAGTATGAGTTTCAAGAACATCGTCTGTATCCTCGCGCAGGAAACGGCTTCCGGCTGCCAGTCGGTTTGGATGACATGGACATCCTCAGCGAGGACCCTGCTTGTCCGACATTTAGCTACTCATTGCATGGGCCTGCTCAAGTCCGGGCTCAGATGAAACAGAGCGTGCCGGTTTGGGGTTCGTGAAAGTGGGCTCTATCTGTAGAGCTATCGTTAGCTTTCCATCATTCGACCTCATGAGTGTACGATCAACATGATCCGTTAGATATTCTAGAATCGCTCCTACGTTGGGAATGAAACTTGGGGAGTAGGGTGGATTTCACTCAAAACACCCAAGCTTTTGATTATTAATATTCCGTTGGTGCTTGTTCTCGCTCACACCCGGAGATTTCTTATTGCTTCTACTCTGGGGAGGTATATCATCCCTTGCGAGGTCTATATTGTGCCACACAATGCATTTTGCGGGTGTACTAAGAAGGCGGGGAAATAATCCGCTGTCCACCAGTTATGACGCGCCTGCTCACCTTCGACGGTGGATCCCAAACAATGCCTGCGACGCCATGCCGGGGCCTTGCCGCGCCACAACATGTTTCATCGACTTCGTGGAACATTATGAAGTCCGCGCGGCTTTCAGGTTTCAAAGAAAGACCGGTATTCTGTGGCGAAAGCCCGATTGCTGCACGAGCCCGTGTCGAAACACATTCGTATAGAAGTTCAGCATTTGCCCGGGTTCCAGCCTGGTAAATGCCCACTCCTAGGCAAGCCAACGACAGCGGGTCCTCTGAGCCCCAGGGTGTGAACGCGTTGCCAACGTTGTTAATTCCCATCACGGCGTCTAACTCATGCTTGTTGATCATCTCCACTACCGGCAACGTCCCTCGCGGCCGACCTGCACTGTCTCCGGAAGGAGAAGGAGAAGCCATATAGAGATCACTTGTCGGCAGCCCAACGAAGCTGACCGGAAGGTCATTGTCCTTGATTTCCTTCGCAAGCCTTCTCCAATCGCGATCGTTGAAAAGGGTGAGCCGCGTGCAATGGCCTAGTATGACCCGTTTGCTTGTGCATCGGGTCGTCCAACCCTTTTCCTTGAGTGTCCGCAGGACAAACCAGACCAGGGCCTCTTTTGCAGGGTCGAGGTTGTAATCCAGGTGAAAGTCCACATGCCTATCATGTTGCAAAGCGCGCTCAACAGCCCATTCAATATTCCGCTTTGCTGCTTCGACGCTCGATTCCACGTATGGCGTCGTACCGATCACATCTACCTGTGGCCGTCGGATCGCCTCCTCCATCAGCTGGAGGTTCTCCTCGCCATGCTCGTCCGAAAATATGGGATCCTGTGCGAAGCTCACTAGCTGCACCGTGCAGGCGTCCTTCCATGTATCCTTGAGACTGATCCCGGCGTCTAGGCAAGTGAACCCGACCGTCTGGTCCACCTCCACGAACGCCCTCATCGCCGTGACCCCAGCGGTGACGGACCCTGCAAGTAGCCATTCGCCGCGTTTCAGGAGGTCCGCATAAGTGAATAGGCGTTTGGCTTGCGTGGTAAAAGATAAGGCTTCGGCAAATGAGCCAGTCGAGGGGAGAAGATGTGCATATTCGCGTGCGCTATGGATGTACGCCTTGTCGAGGTGGATGTGTGGGTGCGTCAATGCTGGGAGGGCGAGAGGCGCGCTAGGAGCAGCGGTACCGGACTTGCCCTCGTGAGGGATGATGGACTCGATGATGCCTTGATCGTTGATGCAGATGTCCGAAGTTGAGTCCGAGTCTGAGTCTGGTAGACGCACATTCCCGATGACCGACGTCGGTGGCGCTAGATTCGGTGGTGGCATGGTGTATGCTGGGCGACAGTAGAAGTATATTGTGAGTAGGTGCTGACTCGGGTTGGATGTTGATCTACCGTCTGTGATTGTCACAGCGAGATGCAAATTAGTTGGCTGTGTATAGAATTCCTCAGTGATATAAAGAAACACCCTGAGACAAGCCAACGGTCCGGCGCGGTCTTAGATATCTTGTAGATAAGATCTTGCCCCAGATCGTCCTGATGTCAAATAATCGATGGACCAAATACAGCCCCACCTGCCCACTCATGGTCCTCCGTTGACTTCCCGATCGCAGCAGCGCTTCTCCAATTGTCATTCTCCGAGCTAATTGCTTTTCTCTCTCACTTGCCATTGACTTCACACAACCACGTTCAGAGGTCAACATCTCTACAAATAGATCTCAAGGTAGGTGATAGCCACTTATTCACAATCTAGTGTAATAGCCGCTAACCAATCAAGCGCAGCGACTCCAGCGCGCTCGGCGCTTCCACCCACCATCAATCCAATTCCCATCAGCATCTCCTCATCTTGCGCCTCACTGTGCAGCGACCATGAACACGTCTCTTTCTCAATAATCAATAAGAAAACCCACTCTCAGCAACAGGCCCCCACTTCGTCACCGCCACATCCGATCAGAATGCCTGACCCGCAACCACCACCCCGCATCCTCACGACCCCAAAGCCACCTCTCCGCAATTCCTCCCAGAATGGGCAATTAAAGCAACGACGAAACCCAGCCTCCACAACCCTAACCCTTGACCTCCTCCTCACTGTCCTCTCGCGCACAATCTTCCACCCCTTCGTCGCCTGGATCATCGTCCTCTGTCTCCGCGCCCAAGCCACGCCCTACACGGCGACGCCCTTCATCGTCGCCGCGGGCTACGCAATCCTTCTCTCTCTTCTGTCGATCCTACAGAGTCTGAACCAGCAGATTGCGTACGGGGAACCGCGGCGCGTCGATCTTAGCGAGGAGGTCGTCGTGGTTACGGGCGGAGCGAGCGGGTTGGGGCTGCTGATTGCCCGGATCTACGGGTTGAGGGGCGTGAGTGTTGCTGTGCTGGATGTGAAGAAGGAAGAGGAGCTGGAGGGATGGGGAGAGGAGATCGTTGGGGTGCAGTATTATCGATGTGATGTTGGGGATCGCGCGGCGCTGGAGGCGACGGTGAGGAAGGTGGAAATGGAGGTATGTTCTTTCTTTATTTTCTTCTTGGTTCGGGGGGATGGTTTGCTGGGATGTGTTCTGCAGAGGCGGACGGGGGTGATGGGTTACATGCTGGTTTACGTGACTGAAGACATTGGTGGCTTGGAGGTGTTTATGGCTAACTTTTATTGCTTCTTTTCTTCTTCTTATTCCTTAGCTAGGGACACCGACTGTGCTGATTCATTGTGCGGCCGCTCGAATCAACGGTCAATCGCTTCGAGATCTCCCCGCGGAGGCGTTCCAGAAGACCATCCGAACCAACTTGCTCGCGGCTTTTCATGCCTACCAGGTTTTCCTGCCACGGATGCTGTCCGCCGCCACGGGCGGCACCATCGTGACTGTCAGCTCAGTTCTGGGCCAACTATGCGCGGCTGGGCTGGCAGACTACTCGGCGAGTAAAGCCAGCTTGAGCGCCATGCATCGCACGCTAGAGGCGGAACTCCGTGCGTCGGCCGACGATGACAAGGTGAAGATGATCCTGGTGGAACCCGGACAGATTTCAACGCCGCTTTTCCAATCGGTCAAAACGCCAAACCGCTTCTTTGCGCCCGTCCTCGAACCAGTCCATGTGGCGCAAGAGATCGTTTCTGCAATTGACAGCGGGAGAGGCGCCGTGATCCGACTACCCACATTTGCCATGCTTGTCAATTGGTATGCGGTGATGCCTGCGAGTCTGCAGCAATTTGCGCGGTATCTGAGCGGGATTGACAACGCCGTGACACAAGCCTCCTCGTCCCAGATAAAATCGTCAGCCACCACTACTCCGCCAAGCAACCAACCACCACAAAGCGAGCCGCTTTCCGTAGCCAAGAAATGTTGAAATGATGGCGAGTGGGCGGTTGCGATGAACATTTCAAGAGTGTGGAACCAGCCACGCGATGAATATAGACAAGGCAGATTCTTCCACTCAGTTTCAACGTAGAGCGTAAGATTGCCCCAAAACTTCCCAGGGAGAGCAGTGACCAATGGAAAAGCGCAGTATGTGATGAAGCCTCATCTACTGCTCCGTGGCCAGAATCATTTTCTCGCGCTCGCTCTGTCTCTTCTTCAGATTGTCCTTCTTGGTGTGCTTCCGGACGTTCTCCTCGCGTCTCTTGATGGCCATCAGCTCCTCTCTCTTGATCTCGCGAGCCTTCTTGATCGGCTTGGGGACGTGACGCTGGCGTCTGATTCTCTTGATCTCGGGCATGTGCTGGTATCTTTGGATCAAAGCCTGGTCGTACTCCAGCTTGGTGCGCTGGCGAGCACTCTTGATACCGCTGCGATCGGACGCATTGGCGCGCCACAGGCGGATGTTGCCATCGTCGGAGCCCGACAAGACATACTTGTTGTCCGGCGTGAACTTGGCGGAGAAGACACTGCAAGGTGTTAGTAGAATGCAAATTTAAAATAAGACATGATAGAAACGTACCGTTGCATGCGCTGTGTGTGGTAGATGTCGCGAGAGTGGCCAGTAGCCCTGTTCCACAGGCGCACCGTCTTGTCGTAGGAGGCCGTGACTAGCTCCTGACCAGTCGGGCTAAAGTCCACATCCATCACTGCCGCAACATGGTCCTTGAGGACATTCAATGCGCGGTCCATCTTCCGCATATCGAACAGGTAGACGTTGTGGTCCTCGTTCGCCACGGCGAAGTTGAACGCTTCCATTGGATTCCAGGAGATAGCGTTGGAGGCCAGGCGGAGGGTCATTTTCGTCAGGGGCGACGAGGTGCGAAGATCGTACATGATGATCGAGCGATCGATGCCGGTAGAGCCAATGATAGAGGTTTCCGTCTGGTTGAAGGCAACCGACGTGATCGTATCAACGTTCGTAGGCCAGTGAAGAGTTTGAGAAGGAGTGGAGGAAGGGCGAGAAAGATCGTAGATCGAGATCTGGGACGACGCGGCAGCGAAGTATGGGAGATCACGATGGTGCGTGACCGAGGTGAAGGCACCCTGGCCGAGATAGGTGGCTAGTGGCGGGGACTCGGACGAGGAGTTGTATGGGTCGAAGAGCTTGATGGTCTTGTCGCTGGCGCAAGAAAGCAACTTCCGGTCGGGCGTCCAGCATACACCCTTGACAATGTTGTCGTGCGCCTGAGTTTCCCAGACTTCTCCCTGCGTAGTCAAATCCCACACTTTTACCACACCGTCGCCGCTACCACTGGCGAACCGTTCCAAAGAGCCCGGATCCTTGGCCATCGTGTACACACCGTCCACATGTCCGTCGCCCATTTGACCCAGAAAGGGTGCGGCGAACAGACGCTCTAGCTTGGTCGCATTGAGAGCTCGAGTGTATTCTCGGGCACGCTCGAAAGGATGTTGCGCCGGGTCGAGGTTCCGAGGCTGTCGAACAACAGCGCTTCCCGGGGCCTGCTGAGAGGAAGTGGGACGAGAAAGAGCTTTGATTTTCTGCAGGAGTTATGTCAATCATTGTCCGACTAGTAGATAAAGCCGTTTAGCTTAGACATGCTCACCATGGCGCTCTCACGATATTCTCTATACCGAAAACTGAAGAAGAGAAATTCAACTCGGACATTAAAATTTCTGGGATACTTTTTTTCCATTGGCGGCGGGCGGGTAGGGCCGATTGTGGTTGGCTCGCCAAGCCGCGGGCGGTGAGGGCGGCAGCTGCAGCTCGGACTCCAGCGAGTGACGATAGCCAAACCTGTAAGCTTCCTGTCCTCCTCCATCGTCCATTATACCCTCCATCCCATTACTCATCAGCTTTCTCGCCTCCTCACATAGTGTGCTAATAGCTACGTCTCTCTCGGCTTCAAATTGTCACCGCAAACCTCTCACCTGCCCCGCCTCTTCTCCCACAGCACCGTCTTCAGTCATGGCGCCCTCTCCGACAACTGCTGGGCGGATAGAGGAAGCCCGGACGCTCGCAAAGAACGACCCTTCGAAAGCTGAGAGCATCCTCAAGGAGACTCTCTCTCAAGGCATCGGCTCGACTGAGGCCTCGTCCCGTGATTACGAAAATGCTCTGGTCTCGCTGGGAGAGCTCTACCGTGATCAGAAGAAGCCGCAGGAAATCGCCGAGTTGATCAAGACAAGCCGCGATTCCTTCTCTTCATTTGCCAAAGCAAAGACAGCTAAGCTAGGTAAGACGGTGTTTGTGTGTTGATTGCGCATGAAACATAGCTGACGAATGTGCCCATCTCAATAGTCCGCCAGCTGCTGGACTTGTTCAGCGAGATCCCGAACACCCTTGATATTCAAGTCTCCGTGATTAAGTCATGTATCGAATGGGCCGTCGCAGAGCGGAGATCTTTCCTTCGTCAGAACCTCGAAACTCGGCTTGTGGCCATTTACATGCAGAAACAAACCTATTATGATGCCCTCACCCTCATCAACTCTCTTCTTCGCGAGCTGAAGCGCCTGGACGACAAGCTCATGCTGGTCGAAGTACAGCTGTTGGAGTCGCGCGTCTATCATGCATTGGGCAACCAGGCCAAGGCACGTGCAGCCTTGACGGCTGCCCGTACATCGGCCGCCTCTGTCTATACCCCTCCCAACCTGCAAGCCGGCCTGGACATGCAGAGTGGTATGCTCCACGCAGAAGACAAGGACTTCAACACATCATTTTCGTACTTCATCGAGGCGCTAGAGGGATACAGCTCTCTCGATGAAGGCGAGAAGGCAACCGCCGCTCTTCAGTACATGCTCTTGTGCAAGATCATGTTGAACTTGGTGGATGATGTGACGAACTTGCTGGGATCTAAGCAGGCTCAGAAGTATGCTAGCCCACGATTGGAGGCAATGAAGGCTGTGGCACGTGCTCATGCGGATCGATCCCTTGAGGAGTACGAAAAGGCTTTGTCGGACTACAGGTTCGAGCTGGGTAGCGATGCGTTCATCCGCAATCACCTTCGCAGATTGTACGATGCCATGTTGGAACAGAATCTTATCAAGGTCATCGAACCTTTCAGCCGAGTCGAGCTCGACCACATCGCTAAGATGGTGGGACTGGATACGCAGCAGGTGGAAAGGAAGCTTTCACAGATGATTTTGGACAAGGTCATCATTGGAGTGTTAGACCAAGGAGCAGGATGCCTGATTGTTTTTGACGAGACGGAGCGTGACCAGGCTTATGACGCCGCCCTAGATACTATTGCGAAGCTGAGCAATGTGGTGGAGGAGCTGTACACTAATCAAGCCTCGCTGCTGGAGTAGACGCAGGTAGAAGCTTATTGACTTATGTATGCTCAAGCAATGCTATAGTACTGCAAATACCTCCTAATAAGACAGCTGTTAGCAGAGTTGTAGATTGGCTTCAGTCGACCGAGATGGTGGCTGTTGCTGGGGGATTGTCCCAAACGGGTAAAGCGTGACCGCGGCGAAAGAATCGCGACTTACACTCCGAATCTCCAAGTTCCTCTCCGCCCAGAACATCCAGTCCATCTCGTACGCGCGCCTTCACCTTTCATCGCCGTAGGGCTTCCGCGTCCAACATCTTTCCCTTCTGAACCTCCCTTGAATCCTTCCTTGCAGTTTTTGTTATTGCATTGGGCACCAGCCATGAACGCTCCGATCCCTCCCAACTACGGCCGTGGGTTCCCACCCCAGGCCGCCCAACGTTCCCCTGCCACGCCTCGTCGCGGACCTCAAGCACCAGGTTCGTCCTGCCATCTTCCCTTCAAACAATCGGCCACCGCTCCTCTCAATGCTTCACAAGTAACATGTGTTCTGATTCTAAGTAGCACCAATGCCTGCTCCGATGTCTCAACACGGCGTCCCTCCTCAACTCCTTCCCATACAACAGCGCAGTATGATGGCCGCCAACGCGGCGAACGAGGCCGCGCTCCGTCGCAGTCGCAAGCCTACAGACAAGAACATCCCCGACGGAATTGAAGAAGTGGTCATCGGCGAAGGTGTCCAGCAGTATAAGAGCCTCCGCGACGTCGAAAAACGCCTGGACGCGGCTATCGTGCGCAAGAGACTAGACATCCAAGATTCAATCAGCAAGACCGTCAAGAAATACCGCACCATGCGCATCTGGATCTCCAACACGGTGGACAACCAACCGTGGCAGAATGCCTCCGGTCAGAACGGCGCCAGTAACCCCGGGTCTGGACGGTATAAGGTACGCATCGAGGGGCGCCTGCTGGATGACGATAGCGACCCGACGGCCCCGGAGGACAGCGACGAGGAGGATTCTACTGCTGCGGATGATCAGGCCGGCAAGAACGGCGACGCAATGGAGCAGGATGGACCCGGTGCGACCAAGACCAAGACCAAAGCCGCGACGTCGTCCAAGCGGTTGCAGCAACGCTTCTCGCACTTCTTCAAATCCGTTACGATCGATTTTGACAAACCTGCCACCACGAACCCGGAGGATGTCAAGCCTATCACATGGAACAAGCCGCAATTACCCCCCAACGCCGTTACGCTTCCCCCCACTGCGGACTTTGATTCCATCCAGTTTTCCCGCGCGTCGCAGGAGAACCTTAACGTGACGGTTAGTCTCGTACGCGACGAGACGCCGGAGCGGTACAAACTGAGCAAGGAGTTGGCGGAGGTTTTGGATGTGGAAGAAGAAACCCGCAGTGGGATTGTTCTCGGAATCTGGGATTACATCCGCGCCATGGGGCTACAGGAGGATGAGGAAAAGCGACTCGTTCGCTGTGACCACCGTCTACGATCGGTATGTGATCTTCCTCTTCCTCTTCCTGTTTCTTACACCTCGTTCCTTCTCCATCGTATCGACATACTAATACTGTTCCATTCAGATCTTCAATCGCGACCAAATGTTCTTCCCCCAGATTCCTGAAAGCATCGGCCCGCATACCAGCCCCATCGACCCCATTAAGCTTCCCTACACCATCCGCGTCGACTCCGACTTCCACAACGACCCCACCCCAACCGTCTACGATATCCAAGTCGCCTTGGAAGATCCCTTGCGCTCCAAAATGCTCGCCCTTACCCAGAACCCGCAGTACACCGCCGCCATGCGCCAGATCTCCACGCTAGACGACCAGGTCGCGCTCATCGTGCAAGCCCTGACGCACTCGCGCGCCCGCCACTCCTTCTTCACGGCCCTGAGCAAGGACCCCGCCACCTTTCTCCGCCGCTGGGTCAACAGCCAGCGGAGGGATCTCGAGACCATCCTCGGCGAGGCCACGAGAGGCGGCGGCGAGGACGCCAGTGGGCCCGAGTTCCGGAGAGGCGGCACCGACGGCGCATGGGATACCCCCGTCGCGAGAGAAGCGGTGCGGTATATGCTTGCAAAGCCCGAGGCGGCAATGGGGAGGGCTCTTTAAAAAAAAAAAAAACCTACCCTACTCTTTTCTCGGGGGCTTTAGTGCAAATTTCCCCCTATTTTTTGTAACATCGGTACGTATAACGTGCCCACCAGCAATTCCTCAAATGCTCTGCTCGCGACCCAAGGATCACCTCTATATGATGAACACCTCGTTTACCCAGCTCACTCAGACACACACAAAGTTGTGCATGCTGTTAAACCACGATTTTTTAAACTCACGTATTTTTATTCTCTGATACTATGATTGATCCCTCCTCCGCTGGCTTTTTTATTACTGTCATTCTCACCTAGTTCTCGCTAACCGGTCTTAAAAACTATTTATGGAATAGATCCCTACCTCGGTGAGATAGACAGGTTCGGTCTGGTCTGGTCTGGTCCGGTCTACTTATTTTCGGACCCAACACACCAGAAATCATGCTTCCGGCGATTCAGGTGAACGTTTGATTTAGGAGGTAAAGAGGGAGTGGGGGCGCTCACGTGGTGTTTGATTTGGGATTATTTGCTTCAAAACGCTCTAGTCAGCTTATTTTCTGCTGTTTCACCTAATATTACTGGAATCACCTCGACTTTCTCGGCCGCAATCTTCTTATTCTTATGTACTACTTGGAGAAGTTGGGACGGTCGTGTCGAGTCTAGGGTTATCACATTGCGAGATACCAGGTTTGACTACGACGGACCAACTGGATGAAGACGATGGTAAAGATATATTTCCGTTTCGAATCACGTAACACAACATGAAATTCTGAGCCAATTAGAGAACAAGAAAGAAAAATAAACCTCATAACACTATACAATCCCGTCTTGCATGAACTTGGGACACAGCGGGAAACAAAACTCGATGCAGGGGGGGGGGGGGGGGCATCTCGCTCAACCATGTAAGAATCGAAAAGGATAAGCATGGGATTATTAATTAAGCAACAATGCAACCGCGGACGGAATCATAAACACGATGGCCTGGGCCTGCAGGGTCCCGCGGAGAAAGGAATCTAAAAATGTAACGGTCTCTTATTGTGGAAGGGAGATGAGGTTGAGTTGGAGGGGTTCTTGCATCTCTACCTCTTATTGTTGTACTGGAGTGGAAGGAAATTTCACCCACAAGTCCAAATAACGCAGCTAGTGGGCGTGTTTGAATGGAGAGGGCTGAGGCTCTCTTGGGCAGAAGAGCGGAGTGTCTATGAAGCCACATGAGCCTTCCTCTTCCGCAATTCCTCGGCGAGACCCGTATCCACCGCGGAAGCGAGCTTCTCCTCGGATACATCGTCCAAGAAGGGGCTGCCTTCCTCCTGCTCCAGCTTGGAGGCCGCTTCCAGGACGACCTTCTGAGCGATATCCTCCTTCAGCCGGTCGAATTGCTCCTCCTTCTTAGAGTCCGTCACGACTCCCTTGGAACCCTTCTCCTTCTCGCCAGCAGCGGGGCCACGGAAGCGCTTCAGGACGGTCTCGACCATCTTGGAGAACCAGAAGTAGTTGAGAAAGTTGAGGACCACGTTCGAGATGACGTAGGTCAGAACCAACCAGGTTGGGGTCCCGGCAGCGGTGTAGTTGGCATACTTGGAGAGCTCTAGCTGAGCTTGAGCGCAGGCTTCATTCAGACCGCAGAGAGAGCCGTCACGATTCTGGAACACCTGGGCGGTGATGTCGATGGGCTGGTTGAGGGCGGTCGCTACGGCGGTAGCATCCCAGGTTTGATTGAGGGCGTACCACATGTCTTTGTAGACGGCGACGGATTGCCAGGTACCCCATACGAGACGGCAGCTGAAGAAGGTGAAGAGCAGAAGCATACCATTGTACCATTGAAGCTTGCTGCCAGTCATGTTGACCTTGTCGAGAAACCAGTGGATGTTGAGGAAGGGGCTGGAGAGTTCGTAGAGAATGAAGACTGGAGAGTAGAAGTTCACGAAAGGCCTCTGCAATTAGATATGAGCGGTTAGTCTTGAGGCTGGAGCTTTCAGATGGTACAGGGATACACGTACGAATCCGAAGCTAAACACCCAGAGGGCACTGATGCCATGGAACAACATTCCGACACCAAACATCTTGATGTAGACAGCACTGACGATCAGATCATAGATGAAGTAGCCAGCAGCGAATGCAGAGACCAATCCGCAAACTCCTGTGTAGCCGTAGACTCGTTCGGCAGTGTTCATGGAGGACCGCTCTTCGTCCACCCACATAGCCCAGAGGGCCATGGCGTTGATGAAGGTGCTCTGCACCAAAGATACGACATGGACATCCCAGTTGAGCTTAGTCCGTCGATTTAGATTGGGGTAATGGCGTGGGAAGAGTATGGGAGAGAGCCAGGGGGAGAGGAAGAAGTGGATAAAGAGGTAGCCGGTGAAGGCAATGATGATCTCGTGAGCATGTTCGGTGACAGCCGGCACATTTAGATAGAGAGCCCAGGGCTCGACGGCTTCACGCAGCCATTCTGGCGGCGGCGGAAATGGGTCCAACATCCCGGTTGACCACTCCCCAAGCACGACAAGGGGGGCTGAGTCAATAAAATGAGTGGATGAGGAGAGGGACAGAGATCAGTTATGGGGAGGGGAAAGGAGGAAGAGGAGGTGGAGGAGGAGGGGGGAATAATTGGGGGAGAGAAGGAAGACGCCCGGCGGAGACGGAGGACGGAGACTAACGGCCCTTAGTCGGTCTAGACTAGACGAGATTAGAAGCAAGGAGGACCAGCCATGGTGGAGAAACAGAATCCTATTTAAGTCTCCAGTTCATGCTTGAGGGGGGGAAATTGGGGGATCATTGCAGTCATTCCGTTCAATGCATGCAACGCATTGTTGTTTTTGCCCGGTTCTGGTTCTGTTGGGAAAAAGGCTGACTCAGCCATGGGGAAAGAGCATGTGATCCAAGCCAAACAACACAAAAGTAATCCATCCATTCATCAACTCATTTCAATTCAACTAGTATGACTATCATGCATAATACTTCATCATCACAAAGGAAATCACAGAACAAAGGAGAGCCATTCCAACATCGTCCAACCCCAGTTTTCTCTGGGATCTGGGACCTTATCAACAAACACATTCAGCTCAACCAAACGCTGGAGTGGGTAGTAGTAGTAGTAGTAGTAGTAGTAAAAGTATATGCTCATGAAGAATCAACATCACGCGATGAGGACCCCTCACTGTTCACAGGGTACAAAAGAAGACAAAATACAACGTCGTGCCGCCGGATCTCATGCCACAGCACTTGTGACCTCAGGTCCGATGCCACTGTCACTGTGCTGCCCGTAAACCACCAATTTCGAAGAATCCTCGTCTAATTTGAGCGGGTGATCGTACTCCTCTTCCTCCTCAGAATCACCTGCCCTTGTCGTTTGAGCGTCATCATCAACGTCCGACGCCTCGTTTCCCCCCGCCTCTCCGTGACCATGATCGTCCGCTACGGACCGTGGGCCGACTGAGCTAGCGGCGCTCACCCGTCGATCGGCGGCAGAGACCACACTGCCGGGTCCGTACACGAGGCTGTCCGCATAGGTGCCTGTGTAGCTAGTTCTCCGCTCGGTTCCTGCGTCGCTCTCTTCCCCGCTTTGGTTCTCGTCCTCCTCAGGAAACACTTCGTTCTCCTTGTTGGCCACGGAGCTCTTGCCACCCCACGAAGCCTTCCGCTGAGAGAAGTTGGATTTGACCGAATGGCTGCGCTTGAGACCCGTAAACCCACTGCTAGCACTCACGTGTCGATCTCCGGTGCCTCGATTTCCAGTCACGTTACTGAGACTGAGGATACGCCTTTCCTTGCTGTTTGTAGGAGGCGCGCCTGATCCAGCCCGCGATCCAGCCGGAGCTCGCTTTTTCAGCGCCATTCCAACACTGCTGCCCAGAAAGTTGCGGACATCCCTGGTATTGGTGGCAGTACTTGCAGTACTCGGGCCGCGGGCTCGGGATCCACGACCTTTCTTCATATTCAGACTATTGGGTCGGCTGAGAAGGACGCTGCGAGCATGGTCAAGGACACCTTCCAAGATCCGCTTTTCCAGGCTATCCGCGCGGTCTTCCATGAGCTGCATTTCCTCATGACGAAGATCAAGAGCCATTTCCAAACCAGCAACTTCCTTCTTGAGACTCGCCGTCTGCCTAAGAAGATCATCCTTCTCAGACTTCAGGCTGTGGATGATATTCAGAAGAGAGTCCTTTTCCTCACGGAGGGTTTCAATCTCAGCTTCCACCTGCTCGCGCTGTGCATTTCGTCTCTCAAGGGCAACTGCCGCCTCTTCAGCCTCTTTTCGACGTCGCTCGTTGTCCTCTGCTATCATGGCAGATTGCGCAGCGAACATCTCATTCATCCTCTGAGAGGTCTCCATAATGTCCTTGTGCATCTCATCGAGCTTCATCATCTGATTGACTGATGAATCGGTGTTGGTGGCATGGTCGATCAATGTGTCCAACTTCTCATGGACTGGCGCATTGGAATTGGTAGCATGGCCAAGGAGCTCTTCAAGCTTCTCGTAAACCTGACCATTCGTACCCGTAGTATGACTCAGAAGTTGATCTAGCTTCTCATGGACTTGATCATTGGTGACACGTTCAACTAATGTGCTCAGTGTCTCCTGAACCTGGTTACTCTTGGCGTGTTCGAGAAGACTGTTGAGTTTCTCCTGTACTGACGTGTCGTCGTACTTCTCAGGCTCCGGTGGCGGCAGGGCTGGAAGCAGTGGGGTGATGGTGGAAGGGATTGTGGAAAGGTCCATTCGAATTTCCTGCGCAGACTTTTGGGAATGGTCATAATGCTGTCCAACGACAGCGAGAATTTGTTGAATTGATTCAAGCACTTGTGGATGAAACTCATGCAGCTGGCTCTCCACGCGATCGGTGGCAGCAGCAGCTTTCTCAAGGTCTGATCGAGCTTGCTCCTGCTGTGTCTTGACTTCGTTGTGCATCTCCTCCAACTTGTTGTAAGACTCATCAACTTTCTCGAAGAACGTCTGGGCATCGATAGTCATGCGCTCGCATGCTTCAGTGACGCTGTTGCCCATGGATCCAATTACAAGCTTAATATCTTCCGCCAGGGACTTCGTGCTCGTAACAGCCTCGAGGTGTGCATTGTCACGGTCTGCAGCCTCAGAAAACTTGGTCTCCAAAGCAGTGTCCATGGCCGCGTGAACCTCGTCGTACTTGGCCATAACCTCACCGAGCTTCTCGTCGATCTTCGAACCCAATTCGACGATGATGGCTGCTCGGGTCTCATCCTGCTTTATCATGGCAGCAGCGTCTCGCTCTTCCTTCTCGAGCTTGGTTGCATCTTGCTCACCTCGTGCCCGCTCAAACTCCCGGTTGATGAGCTCAGTGAGTTCGTTAACGTTCTCCGCAGTTGTAAAGCTTTCTGCAGACACTGCCAGGCCTTCGAGTAGTTGCCTGAGCTCCGAAAGCCCTTGGTCACTGCCATCCAGTTTGCTCTTGAGCTCGTCCCCGAGGCCCTCCACGACAGCCCTAGCCTCTTCAATCTTCTCTGCAAGACCTGCATGCTCCACCTTCCGTGCATCGAATGCTTGTCCAGTCATCTCGTTATCAGCATCAACCTTTTCGCGAAATTCCGTCACGAGTGCAGTCAGATCCTGGATTTCCGTCTTGGTCGGCAATGTCTCGATGTCGGGCAGCTTGAGCTCTTCAATCTGGGTCTTCACCTCGAAAATCATGGCTTCAACAGTCTGCAGGTCCGCTTTTACCAATTTCTCGGCGTCGTTTCCTTCAGGTGTTGCTTGGCCCTTCGACTCGTCAAGGGCGACCCACATGTCCTTCATCAGCGTTTCTAGGGTTCCAATCTCAGCTTTTGTCGGTCCTTCCGACTCAAAGCGAGTGGACAGCTCGGCAATGGCCTCCTTTGTCTCTGCGACAATAGCTTCCAAGCCTTGCAATTGTTCTGCCCTGGCAATCTCATCAACAGCAGGGAACTTCATCTCGTCCAGCTGAGATTTGGTGTTTCGGAGTAGTGTTTCTATGGCATCCGTGTCTTCCTTCTTGGCTGTTGTCTCGTTCACGGGCTGATCGCGAGCGACGATTCCAGTCACAGCGCTCTGAAGCTCGTGCAATCCAAGCAGAACCTCATCAAGATGCTCCTTTTTCACGATGTCTTCAAGAAGCTCGCTAGTTCTAGGAGCACCTTCGATAGCCTCAACCTTGGTCTGAAGTTGTGAAATAAGGGTTTTAAGTCCCTCAAAATCATTGCTGACATTCGGGTTGCTCGGTTCGCTTGGAACATTGGCCAGCATCAATTCTCCCCCGCGAGTTGTTTCGGGCTCATCGTTCTCTGCATGGTTTCCCGTATGAGACTGGCGTAGCAACTCCACGTCTGCTTTCAGACTGCTGAGACCTTCCTTGAGAGTGTCTAGAAGCTCGGTATGATCGATTTCCACTGGCTTCACCAAGAGCTTTGCAAGATCCTCTTTGATTGTCCCGACACCGTTGTTGACTGCGTCAATGATTTCACTGGTGGCCGCAAGGAGATTTTCACCCGCGTCCTTCGGCTGGTTGTTCTCCTCACGGAATGTGTCCAGACTTTCGCGCAAGGCAGCAATGATATCCTCTTTGTCGCTGTGCTTTTCGGTGGTTTCGGCCGGCTCCGCGCGAACTAAGCTCATATTCATGGTGTCGCGAAGCTCCTCGATGTGCTCCTTGATGATCTTGGTTATCTCATCGTTGCTCGTCGACTTATGCTGGTCGGAAATGTCGCGAATCGCATCGAGTATCTCATCCTTTTCAGTCGCAACATTGTTACGAATGAGAAGGTTGCTCATTGTCTGACGGAGGTGTTCGAACTCCTTCTCCATAGCGTCAAGAAGCTCAGGTGTATCAGGATTACCGCCAGCACTGTTAGAAAGAGCAGTTTCTGTTATGGTCTTCTCCATATCAGCTTGTAGCAGTCGGAATCCTTCTTTGACTGTGTCCATAATTTCATGCTTGGCAGAAGACTCCGATACAGTTGTGGCATACCCTTCCACCTCCTGTCGCACGATAGCAATTCCATCTTTGATAGCGGTGAGCAATTGCTCGGTGTCTCTCTCGTTCGTCGCGAGATGTTGACTCAGTTCTTCTTTCATGCCATCGAGGTGCTCTTGAAGCTGATCGAGCATTTGATCTCCTGAATTTTGGTTTGCAGCGTTTGCTTCTTGTAAGCCAGCGGATATAGCTTCCATCAGGTCGTCTCGGTTGAGTTCGATTTCGCGGGTGACGGCATTCTGGCTTTCCATTCCTTCTGCGATGGCATTGAGAATCTCGTCGCGAGAAATATTTGGTTGTACACTAGTGCTAAGGGCAGATTGCTGGGCAGCGAACGCCTTGTTGATGACATCGGCCACATCCTCCTTCGTAATGTGGAGGTGCTCCGTAGCCTTGGCCGACGCGAAGTGCGCCTCTAGGCCCTCCGACATGGCACTTAAGATCTCATCGCGGCCAAGCCCCGAGTCAAGAGAATCTCTAGTGAGGGCACTTTGAGACGTGATGGATTCGGTGACTGTCTGCAGTATCTCCTCGCGGATTCCATCGAGATGTTCCCGTTCAAGGGGGCGAGGAGCTGGAGGTTCAAAGTTCGCAAGGCATTCATGGATTGTTTGAACAATTTCCTCTTTCGTGATGCTTGGTGGTTGCTCGAAACTCTGCATACCAGCTTGGACAGCTGTCAGCACCTGGTCATAGGTAACAGCCTCTTCGTGCTGCGGCTTATATTCCTTCAGACCTTCTGAGAGGCACTCAAGGATTTCGTCTCGCTCCAAGCCAAAATTCTGTAGTTCAATCTCAGGCTTATACGTTTCCCACGCTTCTCTTACAGTCTCGAGGATGTCGTCTCTTTCCATGATAGGCCCCTGAGGCTCCGGACGCAGTTGTGAGAAGTCGAGCTCGTCTAGAGCTTGCTTGACAATGGAGTATATCTCTTCGTCATTCACGGCAGTTCGAAAGTCGGAAAGTGACGATGAATGCTGTCTACTCTCTTCGATAATCGACGCCAGTTGTCCTTTAAGTTCGTGTAGACTATTCTCGACGATCGCAGCAACCTCTTCCTTCTGGAGCCCACTAGGCTTGTCTTCAATGGCTCGAGAAGACTCAACATCTTCAATCTGGCGGGCCAAGTTTCTGCCCATCCCTAGAACCTCCCCGCGCAATTCACGAACCAGCGCTTTCACCTGGTTTGTCATGCCGCCTCCTTCTATGACACTATTCTTGACAATCTTCATGATAGCGAGCATCTCCTCGGTGCGGTGATCATCCACAGGGACGAGAGCACGCTCTGAGTTGACATTAATGTCATCTGCCCCCATGGATTTTGACCGAGTCAGAGTATTTTCTGCCCTTTCCTGCTCAAAGTCGTCGAGGCTGCGGGCATTTGAGCGAACCAATGCCTTGCTTTCAGCATCTTCCTTGATTAGGCTGAGGATTTCCTCTAGCATGTTTGTGACAGCACTCTCGTCCGGATGACCAGGAGCCTCCGGCACTGGCTTAGCTTTGATCTCTTCCACGACCTCAAGGAGCTTGTCTTGGTTGTCTTTCGTCGCCATCTCTCGCAGTACTTTCTCTAGCAGTGCGATACTCGCAGATCCGTCGGAAATTGGCGTTGGTGATCCGCATAATTCGCGTTCCATTGCTGCGGCAAAAGGATTAGGACTAGACATTCGCGGTGCCGAGTAGCTCTTTTTCGAATTCGGAGAACTATCCGATTCCCTGTTGTTAATACCATTCTCAGAACCCAGTAGAGAACTGAAATCCCACCTTGTAGCAGCCTCAGGATCGAGAAACTTCGAAGCCAAGCTGGATGACAGATCACGGAGGCTTTTTCGTATATCTTCATCTCGGGCGTTGGTCGCGGCCTTGAGACTCACAAGGTCCGTGGCGTTGTCTTTGCTCCGTCGGCTCAACTGGGCCATTTCACGCTGCAGATTGCTGGCGATATCGGTGAGACTGTGGATCTGAGTAGATAAGGACTCAAAGCTAAATGGGTCGGGACGCTTAGGTCCCACAAACGGGTCGGAGTCATGAAGCTTATGTTGGACATCGCTGTCCAAAGGCAATTGCATGTTCTGTAGAGCTAGCATAGTTGCAGAAGGTGGAGTGCTTTCTCCGAGAATCGGTCGGGAGAGGTACCGGTTAGAGATGAGGAGGTTGGGCATGTCTCGGTCAGCTTCTTTACAGTCTGGCGAGCTATTGACGGGCGTCTTTTCCTGTGTTTTAGAGCCTTGTTCCAGGACAGATGCCCGTTGAGGTCTCTCCGGCGACCTGTTCTCCAAGTAATTGAGGAACTCAGAACGAGCATCTGTGTTGTTCTGGAAAGACTGCATACGCCTATGGAATTGGCCTTTGATTAGGGACTTCTCTGGTGATTTAGGTGGCATCGAGTTGGTCGTGTATGGACTGGGAGAATTTTCGCGGATCTTTTCTGCGAAATTGGCCGCTGCGGCTTGAATGCCTGGGGAGACATTCGATCTGGTCACAGGGCTGGTAGAACTGGGGTTCATGGGTAGCGGAGGGGGTGCCCGTTCGGGATCCGAACTGTCCCACCTTCGTTTCCACGAATCCAAGGTCAGTCATCACGCACTATAGGATGTGAAACTGGGGGATCATCAAAGACCCCCACTTCAGGGCACGGATAACACGTACATGGGCACGGACTGATGTCTCAGCACCAATTCTCGATCATGAGAATTCTCGCGAGTATGTGAAGGCATGATGGCCTTTCGAATGTGTCTGTGGGTGGAGTAGGTGGCGTGTGTCTGTCGATGTCTGAGCGGAAAGTGGATCGATGGATAGATATCCGCAATGTGTGGGAGCTATGATCATAAAAAACGCGCAGCAAGTCAAGGTCGTGAAGGCATAGCAGGTCGTCAGAATGTGCAAGTAAAGCAGATGGGAATGAGCTCTAGAGAAGCTGGGCACAGGAGAGCAAGAACAAGGAAGCCAAAAACGACAAAAATAGCAGAAATGAAGTCAAATGCGCTTGCTACAATAGAATGGCACGAGGGCGGAACTGAGGAAATAACGACGACAACGAACAACAACGGCAACGCGACGAACGAGGACAGATGCGAAACCGGGGGAGGAATAAACTCCCGAGGAGATCAGTTATTATAGCGGGCAGTTCGACCATGGAAGTGGAGTTGAAGGGAGAATTGGTAGCTCATGGGGCATCAACCGCCGTTCGGTCCAATGTGCGGCGTACACATCAAGGATGGGCTCATAGCAACCGATGCCCTGGCTGGTTGTCCCGTAAACAAAGAGCCAAGCCTTCGGGGGGGGCTGGGAGGCAGGGCGGTGAGACGTTTGTTGGGTTTGTCTGTCCGACGGCCTGACGTAATACCGTTGACACCTCAGCGCCTGAGGCCCCGAAATGAAAGGTCTCGGGCGCTAAACTGCTTTCAGCGTGCCTTCCCAGAACGGCCTAGCAGTTATCAGTCGGTAAGGTGGCCAATGGCAGGCGGGCACACAAAGCCCTGAGCCCTCTTCACTCAAAAAAAATAGACCGTCGAACGCGGAGAACCTCACTCACTCGACCGAAGCACATCGACAACCACCCCATCGACCTCCGCTCACCGGGACTTTCACAATGAAGTGTTAGTGAAACGCTGCATCAGCTCGATTCTTTAAGCTCGTCTTCGATCGAAAAACTGACAGAATGTTACGATAGTCATGAAAGTGGGCCGTGTGGCCATCATCACCCGTGGCCGTTACGCCGGTAAGAAGGTACGACAACAATCTACTTGAAATTTCTGGCGCTGGAATACCTATATACCCGAAGGACGACGGAATCTGGGGGGGAACCTTTTTTTTTTTCGTTCGCGACAATGGGAAAATTGAAAGAGATGGGGCTCGAGGGAATACATGGTCCAGCGAACGAGTGAAGGCGACAACCACGATACGGAGAATAAAGAAAATCGGCTTGGATGACACTGGATATATGCTGACGAGGGTTCTTTTCGCGATTTGACAGGTCGTCATTGTCCAGCCTAACGACACTGGCTCCAAGGCGCACCCCTTCTCCTACGCCATCGTCGCCGGTATCGAGCGCTACCCCCTCAAGGTCACCCGCCGCATGGGTAAGAAGACCGTCGAGAAGCGCAGCCGCATCAAGCCCTTCATCAAGGTCGTCAACTACAACCACTTGATGCCCACCCGTTACACTCTCGAGCTTGAGGGTCTCAAGGGTGCCGTCTCCAACGACACCTTCAAGGAGGTCTCCCAGCGTGAGGACGCCAAGAAGAACGTCAAGAAGGCTCTCGAGGACCGCTACACCAGCGGCAAGAACCGTTGGTTCTTCACTCCTCTGCGTACGTTTCATCGGTGCTTCCAACCTTTTACTCCGGCGGTATGCTGATGGCTATACAGGTTTCTAAACGGGATAATTGGGGCGTTTTGTCGTTTGAGCGCGCAAGGTTCTAGATGAGGCAAAGGGAAAAAGAAAAGCATCGAAAACTTCCAGTCATGAGCATGGGATAATGTGAAATATACCATAGCCGGAGGAAGAATGGGAACGTGTCGATGTACAGGTCCAGGACTTGGCCCATTTTCTTATTTTACATGAGGGAAGCCACTCAGATCTGGCGTCCGTCTCGAAATGAAATGGAGAATATGAACAAATTCAATTTCTTTTCTTTGTTACGAATTGTTCTTTCGCCTGGAATATCGCTTCTGGCTCCCTGGCCACTGACCCAATCTACCTGTTCTAGCTACTCCCAATTCACACGCGGTTGAACGATATCAACCCGAAGTCGGACTTTGTGCAGGCCTTCTACCGAATTCATCGTTGCCCTCCAATCCAATCCAATCCTCTCTTTATCATTCGATGACAACAGTGTTGCAGTTGTCAACCGCTCACCTACGCATCCCCTGGCAGATAATGGATCCATGATTGGCACCGCTAGAGTCATATCTGGTCTAGCTGAAATCGGCTTCCTTCACTTGCCACCCTGTGCCCCGCTTCCCGAATCCAGACATCCGATATTAATCAGTCTCTCAATCCACCCCAAAACTCGTAGGGATCGATGTTGGGGTAAAAGCGGAGTTTTAGGAGACAAGTCACTCCCACGACCCAGGTACATGTAGAATTCCGTTCGCTGCCTCAGTTCATGGATGGTGACGCCCTGCCGGCTCAGGGAAGCCATTGGCTATCTATTGTTCAGCCTACGGACAGCTCGTCGGTAATGCGACCTTCCTCAGCACAATAGTGATACGTGTACAGCTGGCAATGAACATTGCCGCTTACGCATAATGATGTAGATGTAGTAAAGGGACGTAAAGTATATCGTCCACCCTATCCCTTTTATCTAGAAAAGGGAAGCAAACACACCGACCGGATGGTTTTAACCATGTTAAGGTACAATCTTTACCGATTCCCCGGGCCATTCGCGAGATCTTTCCGAATGAGGAGGCCCTGAACCCGCGATGAATTCTTTCTCAAGCGGATGTATGTGCGGTTTTGAAGTCGTTGTTCGGTTTCTCTCCAATCTTACCCCCACGGACTCTTGGCCAGTCCGGGTACGCGGGGCTTCTGCGACCATGTGCAGCATTGATAAGGCAGTGAATGCAGGATCTTACAACATCCGCCCGGGCATACGGGAGAAGTGTGGGCGTCTCCGTGAAGTTGCGTACGATGCATATTGCATACAGGATCTTGAGGGAGGTGCGGTATGAGTGCATTTCGAGGCCAAATATAGCACGGAATGAAGGCATTTAGATAGGGCTTATTGATGGGATTCGACCTGTCAAGAAGTCAGTAACGGGCTGGATAAACTCTACACTCTAGCGATCCAAGTCCAGAACGACGGATAACCGGGGCGACGGCACACCAGCGAGATGGGAGGGAGGGACATAGCTCCAATAAGCACTAGAATAGGCAGTTTCGAGACGGGTGAGAGTCTAATGCATGGCATGGAGTCCAATACACTCGGCCTCTCACGCCCAGACCACTCAGCGCACCGAACTACTGCAATATAACCCAGTCCTAAGGCAGGACCATCACTCAACCATGCAGGATGTTGTCGGATGGAATCTTGGGTAACGCCGTGGATGCCTCGGGGTACTCATATCGAGGGAAATGATCCGCCAACAGGAAAGAGCATGGATCACTTTCATCGGCGAGTAGGTAGAGAGTTTTTATGCACCGTACTCCGTAGACAGATTCGTTCCTGTAGGTAGTCGACGCCTTTGCGGTTGGTTTTCCTGCTTGTGACAGTAGCCGCTCGCTGATAAGGAAAGGCGCTAGACAGGAGGAGCCCAGCTGGTGTACTTTGCCTAGGAACAAGACCTGGATGTAGATTGCACGTGCATGAGACCTTGGAAATCAATCCGGGGATGATCTGTTTTGTACTCCGTACAGCATGAGGCAACGAAGATTTATGTGCATAGCTCAATATAGGAAACATGGTGTGTAGGATGTACTACTATGGGCAAGTGGTGAGGAATGTTAAGGTAAGTCCGTGGTTGACAAGGAATATCGCGAGACCGAGACCCGCAATCACATGCTATCGTCTCATCAGCCCATTTTGATTGATTAATCGACCTCTTTGTTCATAGGGCCGGATTCCATCAACTTCATCACTACCACCATCACCACTGCCACCTCCATCATCCCTTACCGCCAATAGTCGCCGTGTCGACTCTACCTAACTCAGTGGTTGTCTAATGCTTCGGGGCGGTACCCTGGCTGAAACCACATCTTCGCCACATTGACAACGCAACCGTAACAGTCTCTAGTTAATCGGCGGCCGACGGCGGCTCCCATAGCTAGTTCCGAGTCGAAGTACAGATAGGTGGCTCTGGCTGTCATAGCATAGACTCCACCCACCTTTTCATCCTCTCTCCCTCATTTTAGTTCTCTTTCTTCGTTCTTTTTGACTGCGCCTGCACCCATGTTTGCCTCCCCTGTAAATTTGTTCGATTATTGCAGGCCGTTCGAGAAGGGCAAGAAGAGGGGCCAAACCCTGGTCGAATTTCACTTTGCCATCAAGCATTATCCCGAGTTCTAGACTTCGAGGTTTGATGGTAAAATGGTTACCTATGACGAAGAATGTCGCTAGCACGAGCAGCACCCCTTGTACCACTCAGGCTGTTACTGGGTACCCCTCCAAGAATGAATGAAACCAGTTGGTCGTTTAGTTCTTAGTCCGGGCCCGCTATCACATGCTGCCAACTACTCCGATGTTTAAAAAAAAATTGATAGGCCAAAAATTTACAGGAATAGTAATAATTATCAACTATTCTCGTCATACTCAATATAAGAACTGGATCAATTGAAACTAATTTCGGCTATTGATAGCATGTGGTACCTCTGATCGAGCCGAGTCGTCTAGCTTAATTGTCTGGACTACCTGCGGTTCAGCTTTTCTTGATTCATCCCGACTGCATGTTCTTTCAAGTTGGCAGGTTGACTGTCTACATTAGGTAGTACCCTCCCTCCTCCAGCACCTGCATTTCCTTCCACCTCCTTCCCACTTCCCAGCCGACTATCTCCCCAGAACCTTTATTTCACAGCCCTTGCACTTTTCCGGTTCCTTCGTGCTGTGTTCGTGACTGTCTTCCGAAGTACTTATCGTATTCTCACCCACCCCTTGCCATTCTTGATATCGTGTGGTAATCGATCGATTGCTTACACACCCAATCACCAGGTATGTCATGCTATAACTGTTGTCATACTTACACCACCACCCTATATATTGTGCGGGAACTAATGCCCTCCCTCGACCGTAGACTTCCATGCCTCACGCGGAAAACGGAACGATGGGCGAGAACTCTGTTAACGGGGAGAAGGTCCATTCTCACTTTCTCGATGTAAGTGGCTTCAATCGAGACTTTCGATTTAACATATGACCATGCCTAACTAAAGTACTTGCTCACCACCAGCACTTGACATCTTATCCGGTGGTTTCAGATTCCATCACCGTCTTTAAGACCAACAAGTATGGCGCAAAATCACTGGAATACGCGGATCAGGGCTACAGCCGTCTGGCCAAGCCACTTCTCCCCTACCTCTCCAGGCCTTACGGCTATGTTGCTCCATACGTTGCTCGCGTGGACTCTCTTGGCGATCAAGGCTTGGGCAAAGTCGACGAGACTTTCCCCATCATCCGCGAGGATACCGACAAGCTGAAGGAATCCCTCCGCGACGGAGCCACTTTCCCCCTGCGCTTCGCCGGTGACGTGAAGGCCCACGTGGTTGACACCTTGAACTCCGAGTACAAGAAGTGCGGAGGGGATGGCCTCATGGCCGGAAGCAAGGCGATCATCAGCACTAGTCTGGTCCTATCGCAAGAGTCGTTGGCCTATCTCAGCTCCCTGCTGCAGGCGAAGAAAGCACAGGCCAAGGAAGCCGTGAACGAAAAGACGGACAACTAGTCCTTAATATGTGTTTATTGATACCTCGCGATAATTTTCTGTGTTGTCCCTTGGGATTGCCTTAGGGGCCTTCAACGTCTGTTTCCTCTCGTCTTTTGCAGTCTTCTCTAGAAAGCTTTGCTATGTTGTGTTTTAACCGGGTCGGTCGGCGGTGCGCTATGCGTGATTAGTTCTCTGTTTTACTGTAACGAACATCGGTTTCCAATCTCTCTGTGCTCAAGTGACTGTACGTGTGTGCTTAGTTATAGCTTGCATTTGGATACACCTTATGGGTCTCTGCTCCTGATAAGTGTATCCCTTGTGGATCGAGAATACCTATATTTTTAAGGAACACGATGAGAGGCTTGCTGCGGTGGCTTCATAAGTATTCAAAAATGGAGCTCGATTGGCAGTTTGATCGGGTATGAAGACAATGTACCAGAAGCAAAAAGACATCTCCCCGACTGGGAGTCGAACCCAGGTCTCCCGCGCTTGTTCCCAAATGGGGATTGACAAGCGGAAATCATGACCGTTAGACCATCGAGGACGTTGCTTGTATGGCTGCACAATTTTTGCATCATGATGGGCTGTTACGGCTTGTGGTACTCATCCTTCTCTTGGGAGGAGCCCTGAATGAGAGCGGGCATGACTTTCTTGGCCAATGCTTCGAACCCCACCAAAGCTTGTCAATCGGCAGGTGCGTGAATTGATCGAACTCTCCTTTAGAACTCTCTTATATTTTGCCGCACAGACTCGGCTAAGCAAGAGTTCCCAGTTTTTCTTTAGAGGGCGAAGGGACACGGGTCGGCAGCATGGTATTAGTTTAACAATGCTTGAATACTCTATTGGATTGGATACTCTATTGCAAAGGAATCGGAAGTAATACGAAGAGGGTGTTTATTCTGTAGCTTCAAAGACTCAGACCCTCTTCGCGTCATGTAAATCATGATTAGTTAATATGTAGGTAAACTGTGCGGGTAGTATCTTCACATTTCACGAGTAATCGTCTCTCTATAATTCATTTGATTCGTCCGTCCAAGTAACGAAGGCCCAACGCATGTGCAGCGGACTTGTTTGTTCTTGTGAAGACGCCTGGCTCATGGATCACACGGATCCAAGTTGTACGTCTGAGTCAAGGTACGGGTACTTTGATTGGAGCTGTGATATGTGAAAAAAAAAAATGCGAGTTCAGAGAACTGTTTGCGGCTTGGAATGCGTGAAGATGAGCCCGTTTAACCGGAGTTGAATTCTTGATTCCTGGTTGTCTGTAAGAGCCACAAGCAACGGTGGGCAAACCCTCGCAGCAGTGCTTGTTGATATGATTGCTCTGCTTGTGTGTGAGTGCGAAGGCCAATCCTTTTTATTTTTCTCTGCTTTGTCCCCAACTTCTTCAAGATGCCGCTTAATCAAGTACATACAAGGCTACCATATCCCAAATATCGTACCCCACCGGCTGCGTATGGATACCCTCAAACCTGAGGTGAGTTGGGCGGGTTTTGCTGGGGGGAGCCGGGCGCGCATGTAGAATGGCCGGTGAAGAGCGTACTATCAAAGTGTGCTGTGCCGAATCCTGTAGCGGGTGATGGGTCGGAAGCAATAGAGTTAGACTCCAGAGTGAATTCCCAGGGCGAGGCGGGGTTTATACTCAGGGCTCACCTGGCGCGGCTTCTCAATTAGAGACAACCAGCTCGAATGAGGCACCGTGACGATAGTCGCCCTCTCCCGAGAATCTAACCGTTAAAATAAATACTACGCAATTGACCGCGAGGTCGAGTAGCTATTGGACGAATTGAAGCACCGACTAGACCTCCTCAATTAGATGCACCGACACCGCCGCCTCCTCCGCCTGGTGGACCTGCTATACTTCTGTTACCACTGAGAAGAGGAGTTGGACCTCGCACATCAGGATCCCTTTCTACTTCCGTGGGATCAAAAGCATCAGCTGAATCCAGGGGCGAGACAACCCAACAGGGTCGAACTCCATCATCTCTCGGGCACTTTATTCAGCTTCGGTCTATATCTAGACCTCTGTCTGGCGAAAGATTTGAGCCACCTGACTTTCCTATGGTATCTACTACACTCTTAGTATCATCTGAGAAGACTCCTGATATATCTCTTTCCTATTCAAATCAAGTCCTGGAGTCACTCAATCACGCTATGAGGCTAAGGAAGGTTACACGAGGTGTCCGTCACTTCAGAAAGTGTAATTTCAGTCGATTCTTCCAACGATGCCCTGGGGCTTAGCAGGGGAGCAGTGAATGACTCAGTCGAGTCAAAAGTGCGTAGAGTGGGACCACAGTATTTTCCTCATATATACAGATGTCTCTCTTTAGTCTCTCATGACTCTTGCTCTTCCGTTCTCCGCGCTCCATTATCTCGGTGCCGGCTACCACTTTACAAAGCACTGTTACCAGTACCGTTGACACGAACAAGCAGTCATTTTCAAGTCTCATGAACTTGCAAGATGTCCTCCTCTTCTAAGACTAGCTCTACTGATTATTACATTTGACAATAACCCATCGTGGGGCGTGGTTTTGAGTAAGTACTTTTTCGCTTCCAGCCCCTATCTAATCTTCTTTTTATTCAAAGGTGTTAGAGCAGTACAGTTACTACCTTGACATTCTTTCTACTGAAGCTATCATACTTATCCGAGGAAGAAAAGATGGCGCTGAGTGATAAGTGGGTAAGTGCAAGCGCGGAGCCCTACAGTGTGCTACTTCGTACATGTTGGTCATCGCCTTCGGGAATTGGGAGGCTCTTCGGCAACGTACTACTCAAGTAGTTGATTAAATCAAAACCCATACTTATTAGTGGTAGCCCTATATGCTGATTGATCCCTCAGGAGTTCTAGCAATACAGTGCCAGGTGACTTGCTAGGGCTTACCATGACAACAAGCGCAGCAACAGCTATTTTGCCGTTGACAACGACGTTCAATCCACCCAGCTCATGTATTAACGATCTCTGGCTGGTGAGCAGCAGCCCCAAGACCTGGATGGACCTGGGGCCTGCACACACATCTGAATATCTCCCGTCAGGCTGGAAAATATCAAGTTATTATTCTCCAGGGATTTGTCCAAGTGGCTATAAAATTGCTGCCAGCGGCCTCGTATATAGTGGAACTGTCACTGAAACCGCGGTAACCTGCTGTCCAACGTAGGTGATTCATTATTACTTCTGTATATCAGGGTTGATTGTTATTGTTCGTCTGACAGTACCCGGAAATCCTAGGAATGGAATACAGATTTACTCGACCCGGACTACTTATACACCAGGATGGACTGAGCTGGAAGTCTGCACGTGGCAACCGGGAATAGGAACCACCACCGAAATCACATATACCTGGCTGACACAGACGGATCCATGACAAGCACGGCCAGCTCGATGTCCAGCGACGGCCACATTAATGGATATGGTGTCTCTATCCGGTGGCAGTCGACTGATTTTAGCACTCCTTCAGCCACGATGACAGCGACCTCTACTGCTCCCGGAACATCATCCACAGCCTCGCCCACAGCCTCACCCAGCGAATCTTTCACTGAGTCTTCCAAAGAATCCGCCAGTAAGAACGAAGAGAATACCACTCACTATGTGGCTCGGTAAGGATTTTCCTTTATTAAACACTCCTCTTCTTATGGCACTCATCTCTCACAAAGACTCGCTCACAAGAGGCAAGTTCTAAAAGAGCCTCCGCCGCATTGATGTAGTCCCGCTCAGCTGACAGGAAAATCTCCTCTGTCTTTGACAATTTGGGGAAGGCCGCCACGTCGAAAAGAGCCTTCGACGAGGAAGGCTCCTCTATCTCTACCGGTTTAGGCGAGGCCGCCACCTGCCGATGACGAAGCGTGTCCATGAACGGCTCGATAAACTTCCTGTCCAACACTCCATGAAGAGTATCCCTGTCAAATTTCTTCTCCTGAAATGAAACGGGATAGGGAGGTCTGGGGCCATGGCAGTCCTCTACATAGAACCGAACCCAGTGACAATCATGGACTACCGCCCAGAGGGGCATGCTCTGCGGAGACCGGTTGCGGAGAACATTCGTGAGAAAGCCTACAGTCCAGCGCTCCCAAGCAAGCGGTTCCAAGTGGCGGTTGTAGCACTTGAGCCCCAGTCGGATTACGAAGATGTCGGGAATGCCCTCGAATTGCTGGAGTTCTTCGGGCAGCGGAGGTGGGACGGGCAACCTACCTGGGGCTACCACCTTTACTTGCTCGGCGAGCAAAGCATGGAGCGTCCACTTCTCCCCTTTGACGGGCATGCGCTCGAAGTCGAAGAATGGAGGCGACATGGCGGTCTTCCCTAGATCCACAAGGCACTTTGTATGTTCAGAAGCATTTCTGTCCTGTTCTCCAAGGAAATGAAGTAAGCAATGTTTAAGGTAGATGAAAGCAAGAACAGCATGTACTGGGTATTGGGCTATTCTTATATAGTTCTCTTAGGCTTGCTGAGATTGCCATCTAATCTGTATCACCAAAAAGTAAAATAACCGTTATCTTGTCAAGATCATTGTGTAAAACGCTTTATTGGGGCCTCTTGGGAATTCATATCTTGCTATCACAATGTCTCTTAGGTAAGAGACAAACTCCGTCCTGACTGGCAGACTACGCAACAGACAATGAATTGGCACCATGTGTTCCGAAATCTCACTTGATTCGATAGACAACTACGCGACGATCTCCGTCTTTACTCATCCTTCCCTGCAGGAGTCTAGCTGGGAGTCAAGGCCTGCATTGACAACGTACCTCTGGTCAAGAGACAAGCCTGTACTCGTGCTTAGATATAGGAAACAGACAACGAGGGCACTTGGGCCTTACTGAGGTCTCGACTCAATTTCAAAAAAACACTGCTCTAGAGTAGGGATCTCTTCCGTTTCGGGTCTTCGATCTGCCTGTAGAATTATCTCAGATCCCTGGCTAATCTAGGGTTCTTGTAAAGATGTAGCGAAGACGGGCTTGCACACCCAGAATGGTCCGACAGAGTCCCAGCATCCGCACATATGTCGTAGTTTGAGTTCGTGAGTACGGCACTTCGGACATCACAGTTCGGCAGAGTAGGCGACCGATATGCTACCCAGGTCTTTACATAGCAGCATGAACAGCACCGATACACAAAAGTGAAGTCCGTTGTCTCTCGCTCGACAACAAAGACACAAATCAGAAATATAGCTAAAGTCAATTCCATGTCCCCGGTACATAAGACTGAAGTCGAATTCAGACCTGGCGCGGGATTATCCCATTCTGTACAAACAATACCACCGATCACCGTAATCTTGGAAGTCTATTTCACGCTTAGCGGGTCAGAGTAGGCTGGCAGTATTCGGCCAACAAGCAAAAAAGAGATATCTCCCCGACTGGGAGTCGAACCCAGGTCTCCCGCGCTTGTTCCCGTATGGGATTGACAAGCGGAAATCATGACCGTTAGACCATCGAGGATATTGCTTGATAAATAATTCTAGCTTTGATCTTATTAAGCATATTTTAAAGTATCTCATTTTCCGTGGTTTGTTAGGGCTATTGATCTTGCCAGGCATATGTCATTTTACGCTCTTCTAACTTCCAAGTCATGTTTTGTTTCATTCTATTGGATATCTACTACTATTTTTGCCATCTGGACCTATCCAGAGTCTGATAGGATGAATTCTGTATGCTGCGCTCCTGTTGAACGAGACCTGTACGCCATGTAGATTGCCTACTGGTTGTATCCAGTAAATAATTGGGCTCAGGTGTAAAAAACGGCCAGGACTTCGTGTTTTCGTGAGTAATCTGAGATACAAGCAATTAACGTATATTTCTATCCGTGATGTGTTCCCCAGGCCGTGAAGAGTGTGTGCGTATTCTGCCTCAGATAAGCTTCTTTGATAGGCTTGACCGGCCAGCATCTTCGCGTATAGTCTTATGGGAGAGTCCTGGGTCATATCCACAGATCTCGTAGGTTTATGGGAGCCGGGAATCACCAAGGGCAACTTAAATTTGGTGGTAGTCGGGATCAGAAACAGTGTATGTGTGTGATTTAAGTAATTCGTCGCTCGCTTCTTCGGTCTTTCCAACGTCAGGCCCAATCCGAATTCGAGTCATATTCGCTATAAGATATGAGAGGGCTTTTAAGATGAGCCTCTGAAGTCGGTGCTTTATGGAAGATTAGCGCTGGAGTGCAGAGTGAGTAAGGTGGCTCGGTGATATTTTTATTCATGGGCTGTCATCGACCCAAACCTGTAGGGCTAAACGAGAACCTCAGGGTGTGTACTCCGTAGCTTGGTATAGTTTGAAATTTGAAGGTAAGGATTTCAATTGTTAGTTTTGTTGTGTGGAGGGGTGCTGACTCAGTTTAGACTGGTTAATCAGTAAGAACTGTAAAATGAGTATGAAGAAATAGTCCTTTGATTTCCATCTCCGGTGGAGCCCAAGATGTGGTCTTGGAAGATCACAACTCCGGTGGAGGGAGAGTCTAAACTCACTGTCCCAAGACCAACAAAACTTCACGCAATCGCAAATTATCCGCCGACTACCTTGGCCATGATTTCCCCGCAGTATTCATTCTTGGCACCGTGGGGCAATGCCACAGTCTATGAGCTGTATAAATAGGGCTCTACTCCGTGGTTAGGTAGGCCCGTACACCGGCCGCAGAAAGAGACCACCTACTTCCGCAATGCACGTCGCCTCGATTATTTCCGCCACAGCCCTCGTGGCTCTTGCGACAGGCGCCGCTTTACCACGCCAAGACGATTCAGACTACGGGTATCTTCTCTCGACATTTACAGACGCAGACCCTCGAGTCTTCTGGTATCTCTCTGCAGCCGATGACCCGCTGGCATTTACTGCGCTCAATGGCGGTGACCCCGTGTTAGGATCAACAGTTGGCACGCAGGCAGTGCGGGATGTATTCCTCACGTCTAATAAGGAGAAGTCAGAGTACTTCGTCATCGCCACCGGTAAGCCCCGCGCTGTCCTGGCAGTGGAAAATGTGACTAACTGAGTGTTACTTATAGACCTCGACATCCATGCGGATGGGTTCTCTTGGGATGAGGCAACACGCCGTGGAAGTCGCGGATTGACGATCTGGAGATCCGAGAACTTAGTCGATTGGTCTGAGCCTACGTTAGCAATGTACATACGGCCCTCGCCTTCTCCAATCCCCCTCAATCCAAGCAAGTTCCCTCCCGCTAACTCCTTCAAGCGTCGAAGACGAGACCGCGGGCATGGTCTGGGCCCCTTCGGTCGTTTGGAACTCCACAGAGAGCCAATACTACTTATTCTGGGCCTCTCGGCTCTACGCCACCAATGATATAAACCACGAGGGAACCGCGACCCTCGACCGCATCCGTTACACGACCACTACCGACTTCGTGACCTTCGCACCTCCGAGCGACTACGTCGCCCTGGATAGCGAGAATATCCCCCTTATTGACCAGGAGTTTCTCGCACTTGGCGAACCAGGACACTACGCGCGCTTTCTCAAGGACGAGAACGTCCTTCACGTCTACCAGGAAACAACCACCGGTGGATTATTCGGCGAGTGGACCAGGGAGCCAGGGTACATTCAGGATGGAGTCGTGTATGAGGGCCCGGCGTCATTTCCGGATATCAAGGAAGCCGGAAAGTACCATCTGCTGCTGGATAACTACGTGGAGTATGTGCCGTTCGAAAGCACGGATATTGCAAGTGCGGACTGGACGGCGTCGAATCGCACAGGCTTTCCGAATGGGTTGAAGCACGGGAATGTGATCTTGGTTACGAAGAGTCAGTATGATGCCATTATTGCTCGGTATGGAAGATAGACCCGAGCTGCTGCTGCTGCTAGTGCCGAAGCAGGGCTTGGGGACGGAGAAACCTTTCGATGATGGAGGCAGTTGATCGACGAACCCCGTCGGGATATTACCCATCGGGGACGGAGTTGTCCGCCGCCAAGTATATGGACTTCAAGAGCAAGTATACCAAGAGTGTTATTAGCCAAGCCAATGTCGAATCACATTTTTTATTAGTCCTCCGCTACCAGCACGTCTCCCCATCCCTAAGCTATAGAGTCTTCTTAATAGACCGACAGGGTATTTGGATATCAGCATCGGGTACACTAAGTGGAAATGTCTGGTCATAATGCAAATATACCAGCTTAATAATATATCAAATCCTCGATGGTCTAACGGTCATGATTTCCGCTTGTCAATCTCATTCGGGAACAAGCGCGGGAGACCTGGGTTCGACTCCCAGTCGGGGAGATTTCTTTTTGCTTCTTTCCCCTGTACCTAGAAATGTGACATTCCTTTTAATCTTGATTCTCTCACTGGGTGTCTACCTGATCATATCGCCCAATCGAGGGCTAATTAGCAATTCAGAAGAGGTACGGGACTTGGGGTTATAATGGAGCAGAGACTCAAGGGAATTCCACGCCCGCAACTCAGAGAACTGCCAAACAAATAGCTGGAAGATTGAGACTGTTATCGCCAATCTTGGGCTAGTCGTACAGTTCTTGTACTTCTTAGAATATCAGCATTCTGTCCCTTCACACTTATATTAGTTATGATCCATATGAAGGCGGGAATGAACGTTGTATACTCCCAGCTCTTATCACCATGTGACTGCACCTAAAAGGGCAATATCACGTCCGAGTTCCACAATAGGCTTGGCGCGTCGAGCGCGTCCGCCATTCGGACAAAGAAACCACCACCATGAGAAATAGCCCCTCCACTGCCCCCCGGAATCGCAAATCAATCCTTCTCATGCCGGTGCATGGTGACGTCTCAGTGAACTGATCATAGGAGAAATTCACCCATCGCCCAACGCGGATCTAGTGTCATACGGAATGCCTCCTAACCGCAAACGCCGCGCGGTATGTATATTCCTCTCCTACCAATAGGCCCAGATCTCTTCAAAGAGCCAAAGAACACCAACATCCAAAACGAATACAGGCCCCAGAATCCGAATCGAGCGACGATGCAGCAGACGGAACCCCAGCTGCCACACAGAACGCCTCCCGCCGTCGGAGACGCGACTCCTCCTCCGAGGGCTACGCGGACGAGGGCTACGACATCCGGGCCCCGACGAGCACCGACATAATGGTCAAGAAGCTGGTGCGCCTGGCCCTGGCCAGCGAGTACTCCCGCCAACCGCTCCGCCGCACCGACATTAGTGCCAAGGTCCTAGGCGAGCAAGGGTCCCGGCAGTTCCGGAACGTGTTCGAGGAGGCCCAGCGGATTTTGGGCGAGAAATTCGGGATGCAGATGACTGAGTTGCCAGTGAGGGAGAAGGTTACTGTCAATCAACGGCGAGGTGAGTGTTACCCCTCGCGAGATCTGCGTGAAAAAGTGCGGAACGTGGTTTGCTGACTCCGTCGGGATGTTTTTAGCCGCCCAGAAGGTTGAAAAGGCGTCCTCATCAAATAAGTCTTGGATACTCACCAGCCTCCTGCCGCCGGAGTACCGCAGGCCGGAGATCTTGCGTCCTGGCAAGGCTCCATTGGAAAGTACCTACACTGGACTTTATTCGTTCATCATCGCTGTGATCCTGCTGAATGGTGGCGCGATTCAGGAGCAGAAGCTTGATAGGTACCTGCAGCGGACGAACACGAATACCTACACACCGATTGATCGCACGGACCGGTTCCTTCAGCGTCTCTGTAAAGAGGGATATTTGGTGCGAAACCGCGATGTCGATGGCGGGGAAGAGGTGATCGAGTACATTCTGGGGCCGCGGGGCAAGACTGAGGTCGGGGCTCAAGGGGTAGCTGGGCTGGTTCGCGAGGTGTATGGCCGTCAGGATGCAGATGAGTCTGATGAGGAATTTGAAATTCGTCTGGCGCGAAGCCTCGGGTTCAAGGCGCCAGAAGGTCGTGCGGAGGCACCAGCCAACGATGCCAATGAAGACCATTAAGATCAGGGGCAGCAGGACCAGAGAAGACACCAAACCCGACGGCGTGGTCGGCTCGAGTATGGCCCCGAGGGAGGCGAGAGTGATTGATTTAGCACTATGTCTGATGGGTTATTCTTATGCGTTGTTCACTTTATCCCGATCTTGCTTGACTGAACGATACCCTAGTTTACGCCATAGGTTTACATTGTTACTGGAGTTTCTAATTTGCTGCTGTTTGCTGCCATGACGTATGGGTGACTCTGTAGGCCAGCTCAACCAACTGCGTGGTGCAGTATTGATTGCAGCACACAGTCCGGCACATGAATACTGGAGTGGCAGTCTGACCGCACGTCACACAGAATTGCGCCTGCATTCAGCCCTGTAGTTACACCATCCTTGCATTCCAGGGATCATACCCCACAAACTCAAAATTATCGTCGCTCGCATATATCTATATAATTAAGAAAATCGCTATACAAGTGAGGTGTGTGATCGCTATTACATATTTACTCGCTGTCACTGGCGCTGTCGTGTACGGAACCATTCTCCGCATCCTCCCGGAGTCCTTCTGCCATCACATATTCTGCTTGTCCCAGGATAGACTTGATCTCTGGGTTATTGTAGACGAGCTCAGCGGGCTTCTGGCCGTGCTTGTTCCGGACCCGGGGGTCGCAGCCCGCATCACACATCATCTTGATCATTTCCAGGCCTAGTGCAGCGTCCTTTTCGTTGGCGTAGCGGACTGCGACGTGGAGTGGGGTGTCTCTGTCGAGACGGGTCAGGGGGTCACATTCGAAAAACTGGATGTCGAAGAGGGCGTCCATGGTATCGTCTGTAGGTAGCCAAACGGTCAGCTTGAGTCTCCGGGTAGGTGAATTTAGTTGTGAGGGCACTGGGGTAGGTGGGGAAGAGAAGCACTGACAGCTGCCGTATGAGGCGCAGATATGTAGTGCATGGTTTCCCATGGAATCCGTCACCCCATTGAAGAACTCGGCCACCTCTTCATTGGACTTGTTCTGCATGCTATCCAGCACCTGTTCTATCAAGTGAGGCTGATCGCGCCGGCAGGCCTCCACGACCAACTCCCGGGGAGAAGCGCCCTATGTGATTGGGGTCTAAGTATGAGCAATGTTGAAAGGCAGCGGAGGTGACGACGGCACTCACTTCGTCTGCCATTATGGGTTTGTATGCGAGAAGTTGAAGGTCGAAAGGAGACGAGAAAGCACTGTCGAGTTTGGGGTACTGGTATTTCAAGGAATGATTGCCTAGGAGGGATTGAAGCGATGCCGCCGGGGTAGCCGCGAAGTTGTCAGGAGGCGGTGTTGGGAATAGCTAGGGAATCAATAGAGGATTAGCACGAGGCATGTGGGGAGAAGAATGCTATATTTAGGCTCAGTCAAGTGAGGCCCGGCCATGGAGAACAGTATCAGACTGCGACAAGCCTCACTTACTGTTCGGGTCAGTGTTGCGACTTACAAGCTTCTGTTTACCAGCGTAGATATGGTTGTATGCCTGGTCCCTCCTATTGTTGGTTTAGTTCCCCGCCGGCTCTCCGTCAAGAAGAGCGTCTGCCGCGGCGGACGGCTGATCGGAAGCTACGTTAATCCGACCCGTTTGCAGTCTGCCCCGCGTCCAATCGGCGGCTGTCCATCTCGCCCGCCCAACCGCATCACCGGTCGATAAGAGCCTCAACCAGCTAGCCTTTATCGCTGAGATCGCAGCGACGCATGCGACCCTGATTGCGACAACGGTGACAGCTGGACTGACTTTTTTTTTTCACTTCCCGTAGTCGCCTTTATGCAGGGCCACACTATGCGAAAGACTTGCTACACCATTCCTTTAAAGAACTAAACAATCTCTTATTGACGGACTTTCTAGCCCAAGAAAATCCTCATCATGCCGTTGACCTGTGAGTCCTTCTCTTTGCGCAGGGGATTCCGCCCATCCATAAATACAGTTTTGGGGGACTGACTGTCTGACTCCTGGTATCCCGATAGTCTGTCCTAACTGCAGCAATGCGCTCACCATCTCTCGCGCCGAGCCGACCTCGAGACATCCGTTAGGCGTCAATCGCTTCGAATGCCGCACCTGCCCGTACCAATATGTCCTAGAACAGAGCTGGTTCGAGAAGACTCCGATGAAGCAAAAGGAGGTCGAGGATGTATTCGGAGGCAAGGAAGAATTTGCGAATGCGGATAGCGTCGCCAGTAAGTTCCTTCCCGATCTTATTTTCCGCCATTGTATATCGTTACCGCCAGGCTGGGTTTGGGGAGACAAGAGATGTCGGAGAGAGAAGCTTGGAGGGAGGCTGACCTGTTGTGCTCCTTCCACAGCCCAATGCCCCGCAGAGAACTGTAATGGCGACCGTGCATATTTCTTCCAGCTGCAGATTCGGAGTGCAGATGAACCGATGACTACATTCTTGAAGGTGGGTGCCAGTCCTTTATTTTTTCGTCTACCCCTCCCGGCGGCTCTCATGCGGATGTATGCATACTGCCCGACATGCCTTGCTGATAGCGGATATCACATTCCAGTGTACCACGTGTGGCGCCAGATGGAGAGAAAACTGATGCCTCTGCCCCTCGATACTCAATTCGAGAGTATATGCCTATCATTTATTTCGGAAAATCGTTTTTCTTCTCGTGGATTAGACTATAGAGGGAAGCAGTGGGTTTTGTGTTCCCGATGCAGCTATGGGTTGCTGTTGCTTTTTTGGAGTCGAGTCCTGCTGTCGACCTTGGGCCCTTGTGGTCGCCTAAGATGATGTATACATCTAACTAAAACAGATACCCCTCAATAGATTGTTGACCGCAACACGTTCAATGTAGTTAAAACAGCACTATGCTAGCTAGTTCAGACAAGAGAAAGGCTAGTCTGTCAGATCAAGCGCCGAAACCAAAAAAGATTTTTCATCCCGTGCTTTTGTTTTTTTTTTTCGTTTTTTACCTTTTTAACGACAACGGACAGATAATCCCCTAATCTGGATTGGTTCGACCTAAGGTAAGCTTCCTTTGTTGTGTTCTGTTGGTTCGTAGCCAGTCCGCTGCTCATACCGTACCAAACTTTGAGTCATTTTTTGTCGCCCCCCTCCCCTTCGGGGTCTCGAATAGGTAAAGGCCAAGAGAGGATGGGGAGCGTCAGAGCATGCGAAGGCGAAAAAGAGAGACAAAAAGCACTGACTATCTACTCGGTGAGGGGCACACATAGACAGCATGGCTATGATGGCAAGAAATAAAAAGGAGGGGCGGCGGCGAAAACAAGAAGAAGAAAAAATCTGATCGTTTGTAGTCTAGGCAACTAGATGTCTATCAAAATCAAACATGTTGATTTTTTTTCAACAGTGTCCACCAGGATGGAGAAAATCTAGTTCATCAAACACCAACCACCGGGAGGACAAAGTCAGTATCATAGCAACACATTATTCTCTTTCGCTTTTCTTTTTTAGGCTTTTTTTTTTTTTTTATTTTGGCCCGTTGTTGCGGCGAGGTTGACCTCACATCAAAGCCCACAGTGGATCGGGCGGGCGCCACTCGGTCGTGCCACAGCTGGCTATCAACGGACAAATCAACGTTGCCCATCTGCCGCGGGGTTCAGTTGCAAACAAGGCCAACAAGCCGCATCGGCAGCAGGACCAAGCAACCCACTCCCTGCGTTGATGCCCAGGATTTCAGTCCAAACCAGAGGAGGGGATTCTACGGCTCTGGGAGTATGTAGCAGTGGGAGGCAAGATTCGAAAGTGGTGGTCTAGTACTTACATAGTCTAGTAAAGGGTGTGAAAGTGAGAAGAAAAAAATCTTTGATGTGGTGGAGACAGTAGTGAGGCTTCCGAGTGGTAGGAAGAGAAAGACAGAACCAAGTAATGATGGCATGGGCTGGGCTGCAAGCGTGTGTATCTCTCAGACTCTCACACACTCATTGACTTGAATCCAGGCTCCGCCCAGCAGGTGAAGATTTTTGCGCTGGTCCCGCACCTGATTAGTGGGGCAATTTACCCCTCCATGTCCAATGGCGCCCATTATTCGTCGAGGGTTGAAGCCCGCCCGCTTAGTCGCCCTCTCGCTTGACCCCTCCATATAAGGATTTCCCCTCCTCCCCCTCCCACAGAATTTTCTTCCTTCCCTCCTCGTCCGCTTCAGTACGTATATCTTCCCCCCCTTCTTCTCGCTTCCCTCTTCTCTCTTCCTCTTTCTTTCTTCATCCCTCTCTTACTGACTTGTGTTGTTCAGCACCTCTACGCATTTGTGGCCGTAGTATCTGAGCAATTCTCTAGAACCTTTTTACAAAAGTTCATATCACAACACCGTCACCATGGGGTACGTTATCTCTCAGCCCTCCCAGCCAGGCTCATCTTGAGTCCAAGAGGCTATTTTCATCAATTTTTGTCATCAAGTAACTGGAACCTAACATGAACCTTCTCATCCACAGTAAGGACGAGCGCGCTCACATCAACATCGTCGTTATCGGCCACGTCGATTCCGGCAAGTCCACCACCACCGGTCACTTGATCTACAAGTGCGGTGGTATCGACCAGCGTACCATCGAGAAGTTCGAGAAGGAAGCCGCCGAGCTCGGTAAGGGTTCCTTCAAGTACGCTTGGGTTCTTGACAAGCTCAAGTCCGAGCGTGAGCGTGGTATCACCATCGATATCGCTCTCTGGAAGTTCCAGACTGCCAAGTATGAGGTTACCGTCATTGGTAAGTTGTCTCGTGTTACTCGATCCTTCTTCGATCCTCATCTAACGGTTCATCATAGATGCCCCCGGTCACCGTGACTTCATCAAGAACATGATCACTGGTACCTCCCAGGCTGACTGCGCTATCCTCATCATTGCTTCCGGTACTGGTGAATTCGAGGCTGGTATCTCCAAGGATGGCCAGACCCGTGAGCACGCTCTGCTCGCTTTCACCCTCGGTGTCCGTCAGCTCATTGTTGCCCTCAACAAGATGGACACCTGCAAGTGGTCCGAGGACCGTTACAACGAAATCGTTAAGGAGACCTCCAACTTCATCAAGAAGGTCGGCTACAACCCCAAGGCCGTTCCTTTCGTCCCCATCTCCGGTTTCAACGGTGACAACATGCTCGAGCCTTCCCCCAACTGCCCCTGGTACAAGGGATGGGAGAAGGAGGGTAAGGCCGGCAAGGTCACCGGTAAGACTCTCCTCGAGGCCATTGACGCCATCGAGACCCCCGTCCGTCCCGCCAACAAGCCCCTCCGTCTTCCCCTCCAGGATGTCTACAAGATCTCCGGTATTGGAACTGTGCCCGTCGGTCGTGTCGAGACTGGTGTTATCACCCCCGGTATGGTCGTGACTTTCGCTCCTGCCAACGTCACCACTGAAGTCAAGTCCGTTGAGATGCACCACCAGCAGCTCAAGGAGGGTCTCCCCGGTGACAACGTCGGTTTCAACGTCAAGAACGTCTCCGTCAAGGAGGTCCGCCGTGGTAACGTTGCCGGTGACTCCAAGAACGACCCCCCCATGGGTTGCGAGAGCTTCACTGCTCAGGTCATCGTCCTCAACCACCCCGGTCAGGTCGGCGCTGGTTACGCTCCCGTCCTCGACTGCCACACCGCCCACATTGCTTGCAAGTTCGCTGAGCTCCTTGAGAAGATTGACCGCCGTACCGGAAAGTCTGTTGAGTCTTCTCCTAAGTTCATCAAGTCTGGTGATGCTGCCATCGTCAAGATGATCCCCTCCAAGCCCATGTGTGTTGAGTCCTTCACTGAGTACCCTCCCCTTGGTCGCTTCGCCGTCCGTGACATGTAAGTTATACCCCCC